ATGCAGCAGTTGGTCAAACCCAACACATATAAGCGCGAGCGCGCCATGGGATATTCTACCGGCACAACTAAGACTCCTTTAGTTTCAAAGGCGTCATGTCGTCAAGTTCTGGGCCAGGCTATGGATTTGAACTGTCTTTCTTGGATTGTGAGCCTGGGTTTGTCTGAACAACAACGTCTGCGCTCGGATTTGGTGGTTTCTACAGCACTAGTTAGCCCATTGTCTACCGGGACGGTAGAGAGAATGGTTGGGGGCGACAAGCTACATATTCGTCATCCTTTGAGTTCTTGGGATGCGTTGAGACGGCCTGCTAGAGTTGCAGCTCAGGCAATTGGAGGTTTTTTTTGCGTGGAGGTTGATCCAAAGGAGGGTACGGAGAGTAGTACCAATTCTTTGGAGAAGGTTGCATAGCAACCAATGAGAGAGTCGTCTCGCTCTAGTGTGCCTATAGAGAAGGATTGGAAGCCATTGATTAGTACCCAGATCATAGGAGGAGAGAGATGACGGTTGACACAAGTACTACGTGCCTAGAGGAATTGTTTTGCCTTCGACATGAAGGGGTTAGGTTCTTTGATTGGATCAGGCATACGGATGAGTTGGCTAGTGATACGCCAATCTTTCTTCGTCCCTATTGGTATAGTGATATGGAGAGGGACTTGATTTGGAGTAGGACGTTGGACCTACTAGAGGTTGGGTTAGTGAAGTTGTCGCATGGTGAGTATGCGTCATGCCAATGAAGAAGGATGTACATGACAACTACACGGATAGGCGAATGTGTGGAGATTACCGTCCTATCAATCGGCAGACGAAGTCCGATAAGTATGAGTAGATCTTCGATGGTGGGACGTGCGAAGATTTTTAGTACTTTAGATCTTCGGGCAGGATATCATCAGTTGCTGATTTGGGAGGAGTACAAGGCCAAAACAGCGTTTTGGGACGTCAACTCTCACAGCAAGGATTGTTTGTACTAATGGTGATTCTTACCCTTTGGGTTGAAGAATGCCACAGCCGAGTTTCAGAGGGTTAGGGACAAGATCCTAGTGGGGCTGGATTTTGTCAGATGTTACATTGATGATATCTTGGTGTTTAGCGACACAATGGATGATCATCAGATACATGTGCAGATTGTGTTTGAGCTATTGAAGGCTCATGGTCTGCGGTTACATCCGAGGAAGTGTAAGTTCTTCCAGGAAAACGTTGAGTATTTGGGTCATGTGATCTACCCAGGTGGTTTGGGAGTTCAGTAAGCGGAGGTGAAGACTATTGCACGCATCCCTCGTCCAACGGATGTGAATAGAATTCATGGGTTTGGCGAACTACTACCGGAGATATGTGAAGGGCTTTAGTGCTATAGTCAAACCTTTGAACCAGTTGTTGAAGTTAGATCAAAAGTGACAATGGGGAGATGAGCATGAGAGAGCCTTTGTTGAGCTCAAGGCTAGGTTGGTGGCCGGTCTCATTTTGAAGAGACCCATCAGAGGTCGTCCAACCAGTTGCACACTAATTAAAGTATGTTGGGACTTGGAGCGGTGTTGACGCAGCGTGATGATGAGAGCAAGGAATTTGTGATTGCGTATGCTAGTCGTTTAAACAATGCAGCGGAGTCGCGATATAGTTTGTACGAGGGAGAGTGTTTAGCAGCAATGTGGGTTGTGGCACACTTCCGGTGTTACTTGTTTGGTACGCAGTTTACCCTTGTTACTATAACCCTTGCTCTCATCTTACAGGAGTACGACTTTCAGGTGGTGCATAGACCTGGAGTTGCAAACTTGGATGCCGATGGTTTGAGTCGGAACCCATGCACCAGTCAAGAGGATGACACTGGAGCTAGATGGCATGGTGAGGCTGATGAGGAGATGGTGTCTGGTTGGCATGCATTTGACTTCTTGTGTTTGTTGCATGGAGACTCTAGTAGGGAGTACCACTAAACATGTTGCTCTAGTCAAAGAGTGGATGGTCAATCTTCAGATCCTAAGGTTGATGGTGTTACGGATCAGCGTGATATTCACGATGATGTCTTAGTGTTGAAGTTCCTACGGACCAGTATGGTGCGAGGCATAGTGGGTGCCAAGGAGCAAGATCTTGTTCTCTAGCGAGCGAAGAAATACCGGTTGAAGGGATCACATGTTCTCCGAGTGTGGGAGGACGGAAGGGTACGAAAGCTACAGCATCCGGCTCAAAGAGCGCACATCGTGCGACATGCTCATGAGGAGTTGGGACATTTTGGAGTGAAGCGTACATACAACTTACTCCTTGGTCAGTATTGATGGCGTGGTATGCATACTCAGGTTGAGCAGTTGGGATCATGTTGCATAGTTTGTGATCGGCTGATGGCATCGTTCAATGCCCCGACATCAGAGTTACATCCATTACCCATCATGGGGTTGGATTATTGTTGGAGTTTGGACTATGTTGAACCAATACCTTTGACAATACGACATCATCGCTATGTGTTGGTCATGGTGGAGCATTTTTCCAAGTGGATTGAGTTGATGGCATTACCTGACAAGACGAGTAAGAGAACTGCAACCTCCGGGCTGACTCTTACTCAGGTTTATTTCATATGGCTTTTCGGTAGCTCATCATGGTTCTAAAAGATTTGGATTCCTTCTCATACTCATAGCCCAAAACATCCTCTCACACAATCTCTCAAGGTATCATTCCAACTCACACACACATTGACACTTCAAGGTACTAAAAATTCGTCACTCTTTCATATATGAAACAAGTCTCTACATATGAACTCTCTAAACTTGCCTGAGAGGCTCTTCCCTAACTCTCTATATATATTACTTGAGAATTTACCATAATAACAAATCGTAATTTTTATCTAACTTACTTTTACAAAGACAAATCATAGTAAAGTTGACTAGTTATCAATATGTGTCAACATGCCATTGGCCTCCTAAACCTTCTAGATGTTAACTAATCTATAGATTGAGGTGGCGACATGCCATTTGTGCCTTTTCAACTTCTAGAACTTACACTTTCCACTAAGTCAACATTAGACTTAGTCTAACCAATGGAGTACTCCTTACTTTAGTCAAACCAATTAAAACTAAACATGAAGTCCAAAAGTCTTTTGTCTTGGAATCTACACTTTTGTATAAGACAAAATAGAAGTGCTCACTCAAATCTTCTAGAATTTCTCGAGTTATTCCGCCAAGTATAGACATTATAGCTAGACTTAGTTATAACGAGCTAGATTTAGTCATAACTATCCTTACCATAATTAACTACTTGGCTAATTCTAGTTCTAGTTCACACATACAACATCAGGTCTTACAAAACATCGTATGTATTTTTTAACAGAATGTTTAGTCACTTTGGTGCATCAGCTAAGGTGTTGACCGATCACGGTACATAGTTTCAGGGTGAGTTTCAGGTCTTGTGTGACAAGACATTGATTGATCATCGGACCACGTCTCGAGATCATCCGGAGTCGGATGGTTTGGCTGAACGTGTTGTACAGACGGTGAAGAAGGCGTTGCGCAAGTATGGCCTACAGAAGGGTCATCTTGGAGTTGGGATATTCAGATATCATGATTGGCCATGGGATATCGGTTCAGTCTTCAAGCATCCTTGGCTTCCTTCTCACTATATTTTCTGTTGTACGGCCGAGATCAAAACCTGCCGATATCGATTCGTCGTGAGTCTAGCGAGGTGGTGAACCTTGATAACCCAAACATGTGGGTGAGAGTATGTTCTCAACGTGCAGAGCAGTTTCGGAGAGTTATGTCTGCGGCGTTTGAGAATTTTGCGATTGTTCAACATAGAGATACATTGTGGTACGCAACCATCCGGGGAGGAGGTTATTGATTATCAATTCATAGGTTCCATGAGGGAGACTACATATATCTACAGCACATTGCACCGACAACATTGGATGTGACGGCAGTACACACTATCTTGTGAGTGCGGGAGGTGTTATCTTCTGGAGATCTCATGTTGGAGGTTTGTGACGGTGTTGTTTAGAGGGATCATGTGTACAATTGTGCGCCATGTCATCTCCCAAACGTAGATGGTACTATGGATCCAAACTTAGCAATAGTACGTGCTGGCTTGAGATGCATGCTCTCTAGGTCAGCTGGTCAGGCAGCTTGTATGTTAGTGTGAGATATGTGTTATAGAGGATGGCACATGTCGTGTTTGACTCCAACTTTCGATGTTGTTCCAATTAGACGATGAATTTATTTTCGATGTACTTCGGAGGGGTAGATGATTTGATCTTCACATGTTATGTATTACAGATAGATGTACTTCGGAGGGGTAGATGACTTGATCTTCACGAGTTATGTATTACATATAGGCGACTGACAATGGGGCGATATAGCATCCGGTCTACTGATTCGCGCACACACGAATGTGTATAACATGTAATCGTAGATAGAGCTACCCGGGAGTCAGAGTTAAAACCTATATCACTAGGGAGATGTCACTAATAAGAGTTACCGGTATTGGGAGACTTCACTCTTGTATTATCATTGGTGTAGACTAGACTGTCCACAACCAGCTACAACTGGATTTCTAACTGTAGAGCGTCGTCTACTGTACAAACATTTGCCACCTAGTCTCTACCCACGAAGATAATGTTTGCTTAGATCATCTAGACTTATTAAGTAAAATAAACTTTCGGTTTGTATTGACTCACATGGCTTTTCCGTATGGTCTCTCTATGCCGTCAGAATATCCTTTCGTAACAACGGTTCTTCACTTTTAATTTCTTTCATTTACTTCCATCACTTTGTCACCTTCCCTGTTCCTTTCACATTTGGATTGCGACATCACAGCCATCGGGCTACATCGCCATATGAGTTACAAACATTCATGTACCATAATGTTCAGGAGTCCGGTGAAGAAAAGGCAGCTAAATCAAGTTCCGCTCTCTTCATCGCGTTTCCTAAAACAGTCCAATTACCTTGAAGGGAAGTGGCCATCGCTCGTCTACTTGCCGCTAGAGCTGACTTACAATTCTTCGTAAATTCGACCACACGCCGATCCGAGGCAGTCACATTTATACAACGAATCAGCAAGAGTATCTATCACATATGATGTTACTGGGACCATAGGGTCATGCAGGAAGTGATCGGATGCTTGATATCATTTTACAACTGCTTTTCGTGCTGCTGTCAACAGCAAACAGCAGTGGGCTACATGTCACTTTGTGGCAGAGTGATGTATGGAACAGCTAAATTCTGTCCAACTCTGTACTCTGTACAATTCTATACGATATCTCCACTATGAACGTGAACAACAAAACTTCGATTTTCAAGCCAGCGTCTGAGAAAGTGGATTGATCGCCATCGTGCCTTTGACTACGGCTCAAGTACCTGCTAGTAAACGAATCTTACATGGAGACATGAATCACAAGTTTATATAATAGAATAACTTCAATAGTAGACGAGTTAACCCATCTGGTTGCCTTCTACTGCAGGGCGCTGGACTACCCTAATTCCTGCCCTCTTATCCCACTCCTCGGTCTTCAGGGTCTCGGCCATAGCTTCTTGGCCTCGCCATAAGATCTGCAAGAGAAGATGATTGAAAAAGTTATGTCAGTGCTTTCTGTAAGTATTCAGCTCCAATTGATGTTCCATTGTTGATTCTTTAACAATAGCTTCTCGCGTAAATACCCAAGAACTATTTTTACCATTTCGGCAACTGGACAACTGCATCAAAGTCACATTTGACAGCTGATACATAAAGGACCAGACATAGAGACCCAAAGCTACAAAGCATACAGTTCAACCATTAGCAAGCACAATCAGTCTTGAGATTGAGTATACCTTGTCAGCAACACCAAATTCTACAGCCTTGGTAGGGTTCATGTAGAAAGGCCTTTCCATAACTTTCGCCACTTTCTCAAAAGACTGCAGTTGCAGAGCAGTAATGTCAGAGTCTGTATGTCCGCCAGCGACTACCTTTAGCACTAAGATTTCGTACAACGGAACCGATTTTCACTCTAAGCACTCTGTGTAGCGGGCCACATTCGTTTGAAAAACTGATGTAAACTTTACTTACATTGCCGGTGTGCTTAGCCAAAAGTTTAACGAGCATGTCCCTATTGTTGATAACCTGCATAGAAGCCAAGCGGGACAATCCATATCAATAGGTATCTTGAATGGTCAAAACATATCCACAACCCCATAATCACATAGACCTCAGCCACTATTTGCTGAAAAAGTAATGGAAGCCGATACTTGTAACCAGACCCAACAAATTACTCAAAACCTTCTGCCCACCTCTTTAGCTCTAATATGGACATCAATTGCAGACATCTGCCCTGTTGATGGAAGTCGGGGTTGCTGAATCATAGCTGCACCAGAAAGCGTAAGTTAGGACCAAACTAAAGAGAAACGGTAAATTTTGTCGTCTTGACGTGATAAAGTAAACATAATAACAATACTTTGGTGTGTTAAAGACAACCTCTTGGTATATCCCTACGTCTGAGTATGTACTAGACAAGAGCCTGAGGTGATTGGGGCACGCACCTGTGGCATGTGGAAGCATGTAACGTCTTCCCTTCTCACCGGCGGCAAGAAGTAAGCATGCCTGTCCAATGGCTGCACCCACTCCAACCGTCTGAATCTGCGATGACAAACAACAATGTATTCATCAACTGCTAATAGCTAACCAATATACAGTGGCAACTAACACATGAAGTAGAAAATTGTATTATCTAGTCGTCAGCAAGTCATAATACAACATGAAGAAGCATGTAATAAAATCCCAAAACGCCCTGAACCAGCATGCGTTCTTCTACGATCTGGTGATAACTTTAGTTGTTATACTGCATTGGCAATCACTCCAATCACCCCGCTCCAATAACTCAGATCCCATGTTTCAAGACTACGCTCTGGGCGAACAAGTCCTTAAATCGAACATCAAGAATCATACCTCATTTCTAACTTGCATCAAGGTGTCATATATTGCGAATCCCTCAGTCTCCATACCAACCTGTGAGTAAGAGGAACAAAACAATTATTTGATTAAGCAAGATCCACAAAACACCTCGACTCTCCTCTGTTGAAAGCAGGAAATCAACCGTTCATTGCAATCAGTCAAGTCAAACTTAGTTAATATCCTTCTTCAGGCTTCAATAAATTTGAAAATATTTGCTTTACGTAAGCAGTGGAGAGGCTGATCACGCCATGGATCAAATTTCGAGAACAAAAGGAGGATATTGAGTTGAATTCAAAATACCGTTTCACCGTCAGCACGTGAAGTTCCAGTCGAGTTAATGTACACATATGATGGCTGCCTTGGATCTAACCACTGCAGGTAAAGCAGCTCTGCAATGACTAGCTCGGTCACAGCTGGGACAAGCTGTTCATGAGAATACAATGTCCACAGTCAAAATAAAGTCATCATTTTCTGATCGAAGACACATTCGACGGTATTCATAACATGGCAAGGTGGGTATGTGAGCGCTACGTATGTATAAACACGTATCGAAAAAGCCAAGACTCTCCACTGAAGCTTGAAAACCTGATGGAAGAGTGGAAACTCTCATCAAGAAAAATCTTAAAACAAACCCCAAAAAAATGCACCCGTCAGCTATTAAGATTTCACCCTTGCAATCCAAATATAAACTACATCTTATCCATGATTTCCGTCCCGAATTCGACCCTGTACAGATCAAACTCTTCGGCAACTTAGTGCAATCTCATGATCTTCAATTTCATAAATTCAGTATTGAATGTCTCTCACTCAAATTGGTTGAAAGATATTCAACTCAAAAAGAAAAAAAGAGGAGAGTTCAGGTATTTAGTACTTGAACTCTATGGGGATAATTGAATCTGTGTGAACAGGTAGGATAAGAAAACTCCACCGCGCAACTAAGCAAGCATCTATAAGTAAAACAATCCAGATAATTTCATACATAGAATCAGAAATCTTACGGGCATGCCGATGTACACGATACGACTGTTGAGCAGAAGAGAGGGAAGGTCGGGAGGAGGCCTTCTTGGTCGGTGCTCGTTGTAGGATGTGGAACGTTCAACCTTTGTCACAGAATCAACCAGGTCGAGTAACAGTGAAGAAGGGAAATGATTTGTTCAACAGTGAGGAAATTGAGCGCGCAATAGCACCTAAGTGCCTGGTGGCTTACGGAGAAGTGGGCAGAAAAGTTAACTACTTCAACTAATCAGGGCATACGCTCAGGATTCAAAAAATCATCGACTTTTACTCTACAAAAATAATATAGTAGCTCATAATCAGCTGGCAGCTAAATTGCGGGATAGATTCAACAAGATTTCGAGAACTCAAGAGCAGAAATTCAAGAACTAACTCAGCTCCGTATATCTGTTATTCAAAACTGACCTGAGCGGGGGCGGCCATCATAATTGAGTCGGATATGATATCTAACAACGGAAGTGTACCATCATCTTTCTTCCTAGCATCTGCCAATTGCTCCCGACCTAAGGGAGAGCTAGCAGCAGCGGCTAGATGGTGCAGAAACGGGTCATTCGGGGACGACAAAGGAGGCAAGCCCATAGACACTCTTGCGGGAGCTAATCTAACATTTTTCGAAAACCTCGTTCTCACAATCTGCTTCCTGGAAGAAAAACTAGGCGACGAGCCCACCAAGCCACCTAACAAAGAGCAGCACTCCGCCATGGCTGCAACTCCTATGGAAGCTCCCCTGTCCTGAGACCCTGTTTACACTCTCCTCTTTTCGAGAATCCTCTCCTCGCGGATTTCGCTCACCAGGCGCAACAGTTCGTACGCTATCTATCTCCCGGAACCTCGTCCTCCTCGACCAGGACCTTCAGCGGAATCCAGCGCCTCCGAGACTATGGTATCAATATCCGAAGGCTCGTCCTTTTCCGAGAGCGTTCAGATTCCGAGACCTCACAGATTGTAGAAACGAAGGGATAGCAGAGAGAGGTTCGCCCTTGCACACGTGTGTGTCCAAACCCCCGCTTTTCTTCTTCTCAATTCGCCAACACGCCTTCCGCTGTCGATATTTTGGGGTTGGGTAGTGTCCTCCGACACTCCTCCAACATGGTTATCTGGTACTCTCGTCCTCCGCAAGATAATGTGGATTTTCTCGCGGCCAAGAACGACGTGAGTCACCTGGGACCAAGCTGGGTACCCTTGAATCATTCCCAAACTGGGTTCACTTGAGTAGTAACGTATGGGTAAGCCTAGCCTTTTAGTCGTATTATTCACAAGAAGTTTTCTGCTTCATGTTCAGAGTTACTCAGCCACTATCGTTTGTACACTACAGAAAGTCAATGACCTTTGACTTCTCTAGATTCTTAGGGGGGCATTTGACAGAATTCTTGTGTTATATACTTTAAAATGATAGTCATTGAGACTACATAGATTAAAAAATGTGACGAGGATTTCGAAGAATTTAACCACACCATCTCCTCGTAAGATAAGTTATAAAGAATATGAGGCAAACCAATATTACCAATACTCTAGTATTTTTTATTTAACTATTATTTTTAGTTCAAATCACATCGGATTGAGCCGAGCTCGTGAACATATTTAAAGTCAACAGAGCATGCTGATTTATTTCCGAAAAGTTAAGCTCTTTGAGTGAGGCTCGCTATGACGGCCACAGAAACTCTTTTTCGAAGATTCTCTTCGCTTAAAGAACTTCGCCCAGGCTGCGCTGAAGATGCGACCGCAGTTATTTTATTCTCCATCTCAAACCTAAGCTGACAAATAAAAGCCAAAGGTGAAGGACGCATAGACATAGGTAATCATGTACTGTAATGCCGAAACCCGAACCAACCCAGCATAATTTATATTCTCCACTGTGAGTCGAAAGCTAACTGGTCCAAACTTAAAGTACATTCTTTTAAATAATCGCAGCCCTCATGCATAAATCGTCAAATATATCAATGATTTGTATCAAAAGAAGCATATGCTCAGTGACCATACTATTCGTGTCAAAATTCCCCTTGTGAGACCTAAGAAGGATATGTTTCAATTTTATCCAGCTGACAGAGGAAACGAGGAGTTTCGTTCCACCTACGTTTGCGAAATGTACCATCGCTGTTTGTGATACGGTTAGGGGGTGCCCAGGTTAGGTGCGAGGTGGAGAGGCCTGCATCTGTACAGACAATTGACAAAGAACTGCACGATTGCTACTGCATAACCAACTGCACGCCACGTACCACGTAAACCTTAAACCCCAGTCGCAGTTGCAGGAGGGTGGCAGTCTCCTTCTAGAATCGTTCGCGGTTGTTCGTGTTGTCGACGTGAGCTCTACTCTATCTATCCATTCAGGAAAAGCGAGAAGCAAAAGCTTCACAAAGGCTCGAGAAAACGATCACTTCTGCTCTGCTGCAGAACTCCTCGCCTTGCCAGTGGCATTCCCCGAGAGCTGACCTGCAATCATGGAGAAGATGTTCGGGCCCGCGTACCAGGGCGACCCTGGTGTGCCCCATTCGGATAAGGAGGGATTTGCCACCATATTTTGGGGTGCAATAACCTTCTCTGCCTACTCCATGGTGTGTCCTTACTACTGGGAGCAAGGCGGCAACTACTGGAAGTAATTCATGCGAACCCTGTTTCTCATACTTCGCCCTCGACATTTGCTGTACGGGCACTCGTCTGGGTTCCGTGGTGGATTTGGTTGTACTGCATCGGTGGACGTGCTTTTTGTGGCGAATCATATTGTACATATCGTTGCACCGTTGAATGTGTTGTAGGTTTTGCAGCTGTAGGATTATGTCTGTGCAATTGTCAATTGACCTACGTGAAAATGTGATTGATGATGGTACACCCTGTACTGTTGAATTCTGGGAATGTGGCAGCTGGCACGACTGGGCCATGGTCGCTGAGAATCATCAGATGAAGCGTGCGATAAGGAAGAAGAAGCCTTACAAACCGAAGGTAAGTTTCAATTTCTTTTCTGCTGCAGTAGTATCATTGCATGCAATGCCCAGCAATCAACAGGATCGCCAGCGAGGTCATAAAAACCATTGCTTTCAGTCCCACTTCCTGCACCATAGCCAGTATATGATGTTGAAGATTGGACTCTACATTTGCTAGTGCAATCTAGCAATTAGACTTCTGTGTACTAGGGCGTAATGTAGATCCTCATTTCAATCTTCACAACCAACCAGTTCAAGGCATTTTCATGCTTAGTATATGAAAACAGAATTGGCTTTTGTCGGTGTTCCGTAGGACTGTAATCTTGCGATGAACACTTTGAGTAATTTTTTCTGAGAATTGCTGCTGGGACATAATATTCAGAGTGGAGGATCTCGGTAGAAGAGTTCTTGATTTTAGCTTTAGTTTGCTGATTTTGTCCTTGTGAACTTGCAGTGGAACGAGTTTATGAACAAAGAAAATCGGGAGTCTTATTATCACAACTGGGCCGATTATTTCCCCTAGTCTTAGATCTTGCGGTTATTATTACAGGCTATCACCCCAAATGGGGAACAAAATGAACCAATATTGGTATTGCTCAAGAATTATGAAACGGTGTAAGTTTATTTCTTGGAGTAAAGTATCTTTTTTAAAAGAACATCTTCGCACAACCTCTTATCAGGAGTGAGTTCCACCGTAGCACTCGAGCTAGTCGAATTTCGATCTAGACATGATAAATTTGTAAGTCAAGAAGCCGTTATATCACTTCGAATCGTGGAATGTATCCACAGAGTTGGGTCTCGTGTCTGTGTGCATTACACCTGTTCGATGATAGAACGCTAGACCTTTTAAGTCGACTTACAGTTCCAACATGTCCTCACTCTCCACTTCGCCAGTTCCACTTCAGTCAAAGTTTTGTTTTACACTCGTGGACTCCTTGCCTGGATGTGCATTGTAAGCACAATAATATATTGTGCTTACCTGAATTGGTATATGGTTCACAAGGAGTATTCTGCCGGAATGTTCTGACAGAGTTTACTACTACACAAAATGTGTTTCTGTTCTCGTTTTAAGCCATGTTATGTGTGCATGCATATCGGACCTAACAAATTTAGAGACATGTAGCGTCTTTGTCACAGCACCTCCAGTCAAACAATGAGTACGGTCGGGTTTTTTCACTTCGTGCTGGAGACTGCGCTGATAGATTCTTTCGTGGGATATTGTTGAGTAAAGCCCCGTAGTTCAGGAGGTTATCTAGGTTAGTCAAAAATTGATCAAGCGCTATTTTGAGCCCTTTGGGTCAAACTTTGAATTGTCATAGCCAATTTATGGTGTATTCTTGCCTGGTATATTCAGCCCTGTACGCCCTGAAACTTAAAGTATAATGTCTGGGATTTACAAATCACGATCAAACGAGGTCAGAGAGTCAGGACGTACGGAAGTGATCCGACTCGAGATCTCCAGGTCCTTCCTGTTTTAACACACATGTCAGGATCACTTCGGATTTTCCTCGTGTGACATCCACAGTGAAATGTATTTGTTTTCTTAAATTCTCGTGTGCTGCAACAAAACGACTAATCTATGTGTCAGCTCACCAAAGAAAATTTCCCCTTCTTAAATATTGGCATACGTACAGAGAAGATCACCAACAAGCGATATCTATGGGTGATTTGCCGCTCTCGTGTTAGTTAAACCGGGCATTCAAATATGTTTCCTGAGAATCTCTGGTCATGTTCATCGGCAGTCAATTAGCCTCGCTTATCTCGCTGCGTACAGTTCACCAAGGAGATGTTTTACATTCAAGTCAACAGCTTGAATTACGTCATTAGCATTCCAACAACAGCCGAACGTCGCGACTCCCGAGTTTAAAGAACTCCGCCCACTAGATTGAAGGTTAATTGAAGGTTTTGTGAGCCTCAGCTGGTGGGTCAATGACTTCTTTTCTCCAACCCCCTTGAGATATAGGCTTCTCAAGCTGCCGATGGGACCGGAGGGCAATGTCACATTTCATGTCGGTAGCGAGGAACGTCGCACAAAACTGTCAAAAGAGTTGCTCACACTGTTTCGTCCGTGTTTGGTCCAATCCCTCAACAGTCGTTTACGCATGATTGTCAGTGCATCCTTTAATTATACCTAGGAAAGAGCCCCTTAAACGAGTATAATCATCCAGATGAATCTCTGACCGCCGCATTCTTTCCCTGAGCTTCATCTCCAGAAGGGAAATGTCACGAAATCTCTCACTCGGTAGCAACTCTGTTTAGGAACTCCCTCGAGAAGAAAATAAGAAACTCCTGGCTGCGCTGTCTACGAGAATCTGGAACGAAGGAGGTACAGACGTGGAAGACACTCGCTTTCCTCATTCACACCCTCCTCTTCGTGCCTCTCAGTAACAGAAGGTTTCGATCACATCACTCTGGAGACAGAAGCTGGGTTCAGAACGGGCGGCTGACGTCATGTTCCAAGTAGACTTTACCATTATAAGCGTTTCTCACAAATTGACGTTCACGAAGAAAACTTCTCCTCTTTGGAAACGCAACTTTCAAGGGCAGGCATGCAGACGCTTGCGGAAGTGCTTATCACAGAATCAGTGAACGCGGAACTGTCGCTTCAAGCTAGCCTCCGAGTGTAGCAAGAGCGAGGCTCACACGGAAAAATCGTTCTCTCAATACCATGCACAAATCAGGTGCTCAATAAACTACCCAGAGAGTCGATGACCTGGGGATGATCACGTTCGAAGGCTATTTGAGCCATAAAGATTCCAGGATTTTTATCACGAATGAAAGGTCGTGCCGATATACTTCCTTGTCCAGTCTTGTGGTGGCAAGATTCTGAATGGGAAGAGGGAGGCAGGAGCCCGGAGCCGTCATCCGTTTACAGAAAATATGCGGATCCTTGTCCCCTACATGTGGCGACCAGAGGTCTTCACTCGGAATATCACTAATTACGCACACGGTAGTAGGGCTTGAAATCAGCGACATTGACGAGAATTTCGAATTCACAGTGTGGTCATGAGAATTAAGACTATCATAGTTGAGCATCCAGTTCCAACTTGCCAACCAAAGTCAACAATCAGCTCAAGATTGGCTAATGATAGTGTCACACAGCTTGCTTTCTGGGACCGTATGAACAAGAGGAAAATATTTTCTTTGCCAGTGAAAGAGGGTTACGCAGAATTCCTGCTCCCTACTCTCCTTCGTGAGGTGAGATTGGAAAGTCAACAGGACCATTAGGCTAATCCTCCGGCGTTTGTGACATCATTTGAGAAGGGTACGTTCAACTCACCTCGAGGAGTGGTGAATCACATATCACCTGGAGGACGCACAATCTAATCAGTTGCTGCATGACAATAGTGAGAGTTCCGCTTATCAGAGGGCACAGTGGAGGGGCAGAGAGGGAGAGAGAGAGGGAGAGAGCCAGGTGTTGCCATAAAGAACACTTGAGTCGGAGAGAGCAGGTTCCTTCATGGGGACAAACAGTCTGATGATGAGGTGTTAGAGCAGAACAAATGTGGATGGAAGATAATCCACACCTGGAGGTCTTCTGCATGCCTACAGTTAATTCTGTTCTGCACACTTTTGAAATGAGGGCAGAACGACCGTCGCCATGTCCTAAAACAACAACATGATGGGCAGGAACTCTGTGGTTGACAAAATATATTTCAGAACGGAGAAAATTCAGAATACAAGTCTTCGATCTTTGGAAAAAAAGTCAAGTTTTATCTGCTTCGCTCTCAGCTTTCGATCCGTTCTCCTTTGGTGTACTCGCTCGTCAAGCGACAAAAGTTTTTCCCGAACTGCAAAATCGTCCACTGTTATCACAAAATTCCTCACAAGAAACAAAAGGCTTTCTCAAGATTCCAAGCCTTTTACACGTGATCGTGCTGTCTCTTCGGGTTTGTAATGCTGTGGCTCCAAAAACATGACTGCGGAGAAACTGGGCTGTACTTAATGCACATAAAGTGCATCACATGCTCTCGCATTTCCCAACACTCAACGTTGGAAATGAGTCACACCCACCAACAGAAAGTCACTCCTGCATTGCCGCTGTTTCTGTATCGAATTATCAATGAAGTACATGATCTACTTTTGAGAAAGAATTCAGGAAATGAATGTTAATTGCAGAAATCTCATTTCCCTGATTATGAATAAAAAGGATTCCGTTCTGGGATGCCACGCAAAGGTGGACATACTGTTCAGAGGGTGCCATGTCATAGACAGAAGAAACAGTAGAACCAAACTAGGAACGAAGTTCACGCGCAATGGAGACGAGCACAGCACGGAAGCGCAGCTAGTACGATTTGATTCGACACTAAAATATGCGGTCAAGAAGAGGACAAAAGCGGCCAAAGACTCGGAATCAGAGTAGATTTTAGGTGGCTCTCTCGCACCCCTGTGAGCTCAAGCCCGGCCAAAGAGTCTACTAGAGCCTGAACAAGGTTTCCTAGTTTATTCTCCACAAATCATACTTATTACTGTCTTTCGTGCAACTCCCGGGCACGCACTTCGACGAAATTCATCCATTCTTACGTACATGTGCAAACTAGGCCACGTTCAGCTCATTCCTTTTCGTGCTTTTGCCGAAGCTGTCGCTGTCTGTTTATCTACTTCTCGATACGGCGCTGGTAGATTTCAATTGGCGGATGCAGAGCCTGTCGTAGTTTAGCCTGTGGGCGCAGCCAGGGAAAAGGTTCGGATTGGAGAACGTGCATGACTTCGTGGGCTAGATACAGGGCTTGTGGGATCAAGAACATGAAGAAAGAACTCAGATACCGAATTACAGCCGAGGATGTCACCGAGGGGATCGACGCCACAGGACTTATTGCAATTGTAACGGGTGAGCTTCTTCCTCAATTATGATCAAAATGCACATCTTACAGGATTCTTCGACGCCCGTCTGCTCAATTTGAAAGAAGAAAGACGGGACCTTCGGCTTCCTGGTCTGCAACCGATCGCTGACTCAATTTGCTCCGGGTTTCCTTCGATACTTGTCTAACAGCAGGCCGTGTGGGGTAGAGATGAAGCACAATTGGCTTGAGTGATCGTCCAGTTTGCCGTTTCCTTGACCACCAGCGATCGTGTCGTCAGTACGTCTTAAGGGATGATTTTGCAGCTACTGCAGTAATGGCCTGCAAGCCAAAGTCTTGAAAGCTCTTACTTCTTTCGATTCAAATGTTCCTCGAGTGTGGTTGGATCGGCCAGTTGTTACGTTTTAAGTTTTTTCTAGGCTCAATTCCGTAACTGTTCGCACGAAGGGGTCCAACTGAAAGTGCAGAAAGTTTCCGAGGAATCAAAGATGTGTGCCTGTTCTGGCGGCTGAAGAGAAGGAATACAACATGATTGATTGAGATGAGCTGGAAGTTAATTCAGTTGGTTAGATACAACAGGTGCTCTGGAATTGGGCGGTCGATTCGAGTTTTGCTGGTCGATTTACTGTGCAATTTGCGCCTGCAGGTGGTACAAGTGGAGTAGGAATAGAAACAGTTCGGGTACTGGCCCTACGTGGAGCATATGTGTTCATAGCAGCTCGCAACTATGACAAATATCTTGCTGCAAAGGAGAAGATCCTCGAAAGCAACTCCGTTGCTCAAATTGACTACCTCAACGTTGACCTTGCAAATCTGGCTTCGGTCCGAAAAGCTGCTTCAGAATTTCTGGCCACCAAGCTTCCGCTCAATATTCTCGTGTAAGGATCAACCTTCTTCCCCTCGACACGAGACCCAGCTGTTGACTACGTTCAAGTTTCAGTTCAGTGAAATTCTCGGACTGTCGTGTCGTATATTGTGCTGATTGATTCCTGATGTACAATAGAGAAATCAATACAGCATGCCTTTGGGAGACTTGAGTTCCTGGTTTAATTTTCTGTCGATTTTGCTAGCAGTATGGTAATCGCTTCGCCCTGTTTTCCTCAGAAATAACGCAGGTATCATGATGGTTCCATACCAACTTTCCGAGGACGGTATCGAGATGCAATTTGCAACGAACTATTTGGGTAGGCCGAAATTCCACCTGAGGAACATGGGCTAAGATTGTCGGTACAAGTGCATTTCCTAGACTACTGGTGTCAATTAGGCTTGTGGACAACTTCCGCTTATATTTGAAAGATTTGAACGGAGGCGTAGACTCCGAGCTTATGCACTTGAAAATCATCGATTGCGTTCTGGTCGTATCTGCAGGTCACTGGCTGTTCACCAACCTTCTGCTCGGTAAGATGAAAAGGTCGGCTGAATCGGGGATCCAAGGAAGGATCGTAAATGTTGCCTCTTCATTCCAACTGACCTACAAAGGCGGCATCCGCTTTGATTCACTGAACGAGAAGGGCGGGTGAGTGCTGACTTCTCTGCGATTGTTTCGACGCTTCTATGCTTCTTGAAGTTGTCGGATTGTCTGTTCCATCAACATTGCTACAAATATATCTTCAGGCTGACCTGATGCCCTGTTTCGTTCAGGTATAGCCCATACTACGCCTACGGTCAATCAAAAATTGCGAACATCCTTCATGCCAAGGAGTTGTCCGCTCAACTGGAGGTATATCGAAAAAAGTCAATTTCTTTGAATGCTGGGTGAAGATCTTGAATTTACTTTTTGGTTAGATCGAAAGGCACATATCTGAGATGACTGTGATGCAGAAATCCGGGGCTAATGTGACGGTCAACTCATGCCATCCTGGCGCAACGTTCACGAGTCTTCAAAGAGCTCTTCCCAGATACCTAACTGGTAAGTGAAACCATAGAATCGTACAGAATAAAGTGCCGTCACATTCTTAGTTCTCAGTTCTCTTTCAGATTCTCCTCTGAGAGTCTCGTTTGAAACTTGGAACCCCTGGAATCATATGCCGCCAGGTGCAGATATTCTGGTAGGAGATTGATGCCTTCCAGTTTCAAAGCAGGGTCTTGATCAAACTTCCCATCTGGATCCTGCAGGTGCTGTCAAGCTCTTCAGTGGAATTTTGTGGAAGACTCCAGCGCAGGTATGGGCCTTATATGTCAAAGCTTCAATATTCAAAATTTTTTCATGGTTCACTCGAGCTCTGAACGTTGGATAATTATGGTGTGTTTCTATCATTGTAACTTGAAGCAGCAATAGTAAAGACAATTTATGCCTCCACTTCCGACGGAGATTCGTGCTACATCCTGATGCTGTGGCATGTTTGTTATGAGCACCTGCAGGGAGCAGCAACCCAATGTTTTTTGGCACTGAGCCCAACTGTCAACTGTGTCAGTGGCGAGTATTTTTGCAATATGAAAGTGGCAGAGCCTGTGGAGATCGCATCTGACCCTGACCTGGCGAAGAAACTCTGGGATTACACCGTGAACTTGACATGCACGGCACAAACATACAACCCGGAGAGGAGCATCACTGTCACAGGAGTATCGTACGATTTAGGAAATCTAGAGAGAAGCCAACCGTCATCGCCGGCTGGTCGATAAATATTTCCGTAGCGAAGATTTGGAGAGGTGAAGGACGAGCTGGGGACGGTGCTGAGGACTAGAAGACAAACTGCAGGCCAGAGTTACTGGACATTGTCAAAAAAGCTCCCGACTGAGAGACTTCATGCCCCATTAGAGAACTTGACGACAGAACTGCAGGCACAATTTTGGCGGTGCTTAGAGAGCTCCCAATGTGGAAACGACTCTCCATCGGAAGCAGTTTAGAAGTTGAAGATGTCCAGAATCAGCTCAGACTTGGTTTACGAAATCCGAAAAACGTGTGAATTACTAGATGTACAGTCGGTTAAGTCGTTATACGTTTACCTTACATCGCTACCGTAGTGAAGCTCTAAGAGCCCCCTGTAAGATGTCTGTGTGCTACACCCCCACAATGAGGTTGAGTGGAGCCATGTAAGGAGATCAATATCGGCTCCAGCCCACGAAAAAAGTGTCATGTAAATCATGATATAGACTTGAACTGGGGATTCCAACTGCACATCATTATGCAGATGGCCCCAGAACATAGAATTTCCAAATGCGAGGATGGCCTACAACGCCTTGGACACGTATGAGTCCATTGTCCTCGCCACTTTTGTTTTACTTACCGATATCCAGAATTGAAAAAACCCAATCGAGCAAGTATATTCCTCAAAGGTGCTGGTGTAAACTCACTTGAGATTGTGAATGCATGTATATTGGTCTCTTTTCTCTACGCATACTATACCACGGTCTGTGTGATCCGGCTTAGGTGAAAGTCGACACTGCATTCAATACGAACTGGCCTCACGTGTTACACATGTCTGTCTGTAATTCGAACCATATGAAACCCTGCGACGAGCTTCACAGCCTTCCACGAATCCCCAATCAAACCCTAAGCTTGATAGGGTCAGGCCTAGAATTGTTCGGAACTCACTCGTTGCAGTACGAAGAGACCAAAGTTCAACTCCGTTTTGGTCAAAGATTGGTGACTACATCCTGCACATACGGCTCCGTGATGGATGAATTGGAGATGAACAAAAAAGTTGATTCTCTGCCCTGGATTCTCTATTCGCTGTGCCATGTTAAGAGCACCATAATTAGAATGTGGGTCATCTCCGGCAGTCAGATTCCAACGTCCAGCTAAAAGTGCGATCTGAAGACGTGAAAAACAGATAAAACCCGGAGGAAGGAGAAGGGAGGATAGGATGTCGATTGAGACCAACCTTAACTTTTGAGCAGCCATGTAGCTTCCTCCAGGTCACAGGCATTATGTTGAAACCAAGAATAGTTGCAGAAGAAGGAAAGCAGGAGAAGTGAGCAGACGAGCTGCTCGCAGTGAGCGAAGGGTCAACGACACGATATGGCCACGATGGCGTGGGCAGCCGACCATTACAGATGTGCTGTAAATAACAGCAGCTGAAGATACGTACAGACTGAAACAGTTCACAACTAGTGTCTCCTTGGTAGTCAAATCTCAATCCAAGTGGGTCCAACCAAACAACCAATCATCAAATGTTTTAAACAGATGTCAGAAACTGGTGTTGAGAAAGCCGACTCAAATCTGAACAAGAGGTTCTACCCGAAGTCATAGCAAACATGATCCAACTTTTTCTTACCCAATAGATTGCTGCCTTGTATGAAGCCAGATGGATTCCGTAAACCTGGGCAACTTGGAGCGCTAGGACCGGCTTCAGCGTGTGGAATTGATCTTTGGCTCACTTGTGTAGATGGGAGAATGTTGTAAAAATGAGAGAAGATGCTGGTGAGAGAAGATGCTGGTCATAGACGAAGTTACTAAGAATTAGAGCTGCATTTTTTAGTCTCCACATAGACAACACTTGATATATTTCCGTCAACTTCAAGAAATGCCGCGTGGGGTCGCTTTTGTTGACTAAATCTTGCAAGTCTGATTCCGTTATCTGGAGTGTAATGCAAAGGAAGAAGCCACGTATTGAAAGTACGGAGATACAGCAAGTATGTTGCCTGTTTGACTACAAAGTTGACTCTACTGTACTGATTCGCATCAAATCCCAATCTGGACGAGTTGAGTCCAGATGTTTTGCTATTGTTGACGATCAGATTCTCGAATTGCTCGTGAGAATAGCTGAAGATTGGATTCCGACTGACATATTTTCATTATCTTACTAATCATGCCTACTCCACTTATATTTTAATGTTAGAATCCTCCTTTGAAGTTTCGGTTCCAACTCCGTCTTTCAAAATGGCTGTGTTCCGTAAACTCCACCTAGAAGTGTTTTCTGCAGTTTCTTATGCGGCTTTCGCATTTGACTGGATATTGCCCAATCCAAGAAGTGGTTTCACTACGTCAAGTTGTGGGTATTCCACTGTCCACACGGTCCGTGGCACCGCTCATTGTGTCGTGGAATCGTTTCTCTTCTTGCGGCTTGAAATTTTTCAGCATGTTGTCCCTCCCTGAAATCTAGAGAATATCGAATTTACCAAGGTGTATACTACAGGATCCTATTTAGTTACAGTGGGCTGAAGAGCTGGACCGAGATGGGAATCGATACTTTTATCTAAAACTAATGTGACACGTAAATGAAGGAGACCGAATAAAGTGACCTATTATATCACCTTTTTTACTACTCACAGTTACCCCTCATTAGGTTGCTTGTGTTTGTGTGCGATGCAAAATGTATCCTCGGTGAGGTTGTGTTGCCATATACTCATATTTACAACCTGAACATCCTTCACATCAACTTTTTAATGGGCAGACTGACTGAGGTTGGAACCTACTACTGGATGACCCAGGTAAGAACCTACTCAAGTAGGAACAGTGCCTAAATTCACACAACGACACAACCTGACAGAAGTTTTTTCATCTTCAGGCGAGCAAGTTACAAAAGAGTCTCGCATCGTGTCCATATTTTCTCGTAGGGGACAATTTTTTTTTGAAGTTGAAGATTTATCATGATGAGATAAATAAGGATCACAAGCACCAGTTCCAACAAGAAAAAAAAATCAATCGTGTGTCATGTCCACAACGACACTGATCAGATCAAAGCTCTGAGGCATTAGTGTGTCGAGTATCCGAACGCACAAGACATCTGATTTCATCGAATATAGACAATCCTTCGCAAATGTGACAAATTTTTGAATGAAATAATCGGAAAAACCTGTAATTTGTGTAGAATGAATATGTTGAACTTTACAAATCTTTCGATTACTGTCAGGACAATTCAGCAATTATCCGTTGACACTTATCTATAAGAATCTTGATAGCCTCAGTAAAAAGCACATTCGGAGGGAGAGATCCAGTAGACTCTATTGTGACTGCACATTACAACAATCAAAATGACGCCAGTGATAAGTATTTTCCATAACTTCAACATTAAAACATCTCACATAAATGCATACAAGAAAAACAACCTTCCACAGCCACTGAAGACAAAAAGGCTAAGCACATACAAATAAAGTGCTCCTTCAAGCGCCGCAAAGACACACGCTTCTCCCAGTCTTCACCCCTTACGCACTCTCGGCAAAGAGTGCAATCCCTGGGTCTCGCAGCTTTTACCCCTTTTCTCCCTGCGACAAAACCAACACCGAGCAATGTTTCTTTTAAAGTCCTAGTCGAGTGTCATAAAATGAAATAAAAATTCTTGACAATATACTCCACCTGAGGTATATAGACATCTTATAACTTTATGGGGTACATTTCTTGGCACAATTCTTCCTGTGACATTCAAAGACTCCAGTCTTCATAATAGAGAGAGCAACAAGACAGGCTTGTTAGTAATTGAATCTAGAGAAGCGAACTGTGTCAGAGCAACTACATAAGATTCTTCAAGGTGGCTTAAGGTGCAACAGCCTATTTTTTACCCCCCTTCGGCTGGGATGTGTGAAGTTGGGCGTTGTTCATAATATTACGACAGAGTGTTCAAAATTAATTCCCTGGAACTTCTTTGATGGCCATGACCATCAACTAGAAGATTTCAAAGGAGGACAAAATCTCCACCAGAATCCACCAAAAAATAATTAACTCTATCTTCATCGCCTGAAGGTAGCATTATATAAAATCTCAACAAATGTTTGCATGCCATAAGTCCGGAGAGTATACTGACGAAAATAAGGAAAAAGGGAAACTCTAAGCATCGTAATATCTGAGAGAGTACTAGACTCTAGTTTTGATAAACCCTCTGCTCATTTACTTCATATGTTATGGCAATCGGAATTTGTCTTCATGTTTTACAGAAACCTACTTCGTAAGAGGAATAGAGAATATAAAATCGCACCTTTTCCCAAGTCTTCGATATCGAAAACTTTCGCTGGACACTTAGCAACAAGCTCCTCCGCAAGATCATCTTCTAGAACTTCTGTTAGTACAATCTGCACAACGTCCAAGGAGTTTATGGCTAAACGCTAGCATGTCACGCGTCTGTTTTCCCAAGCACTTCATATTGTATGTGCTTTGCTGTAAGTATGTAACAATCTTAAATCTGTTAACAATAACAAAACCCATGTTCAATGAAAGACGAGCAAGCTCTAGTGACTAGAGGCTACTCAGAGATTTTCAGCAAGCTCGCTGTCTTATCAGATCCAAACAGGTACGCAAGTCGACGAATCCACCTACCTCTGGATGCATTCTATATCTTGCTGTGGCAACTGGCGACCACTTCGCATGTGTCTTCCCAATGCCTTTTATGGCATGACACTCAAGTTCAATTGCCTGAAGTGAAGATGAATATACTAGTTGATCAGTGATAAGAAAGAGATGACTATTTTGATATTTCGAACAGAAAATGAGTTCGCAACCAAGACAATTCAGAGCGTCAAAAGAGGATGGATTTTAGCTGGACAAAGACCCTCTAACATGTAGAAACACAGGAGACGCCCAAGGAAGACATAATTTGTGAAGCTTACTTGACCAGGTCGAAGTTTTGCAATAGTAATATCTGGATACTGGGAACATATTGGACTACTTGCAAATTCAGGAAGTTTGTCCTGACCACAACCAAAAGCAGTGAACTTTGTCTTCGTGTCGAAAGGCATCTCACTTCCTTCAGGCAACCATATTAACTGCTCCGACTTCACTGCCAAGAGCGAACCAAGGTGTGAGTAATGAGCTCTCCAAGGTCATATCTACTTACCTATTTTGATGTATTTTCGCTGATCACTTTGGGTTATTTTCTTCAAAATTGGCACGAAAAAATTCCAGCTCATATACACATGCATACTTCGTCTCCTTGCACTTAGAAGTACCTAAAATTTGTGAAACTCCTTGATGAGTACAAAAAAAGAACTCTGTTTGTAGCATAAGATACATAAGAGGGTTCTATTTTCTATAACATGGATGTTGGGCAAAGCACCTGAGGCATTGTTGACGCGATCTCCTTTTCGAGTACAAACCACATTAAGTTTGAAAACAATAGTGTTCTTCTCGTTGGCATTTTCGTCATCTGCGAGTAATACCGATTATAAGTTCAAGAGGAGAATAGCCTGGTGCGACAAATCTACGGCATGTGAACTTAAACTCTGACAGTTAAAAGCAAATTCATCAACTAATAATAGGACACAAGTCATATTATTCTTCCCCAAGAAATCTGGACATGATCTGCAAAATAGTTACCTGCTTTATATTCGAAATGACGTGGATCTGCCTTTATCGGTATCATGCCAAGACGATGAGCCAAAACCTCATCTTGGATGACCGATGTGTTGTTGGCAATAAAAACTTTCTCTATGGCCATCGTGGGCACCTGAAACACGAAACCATATACTTAAACATTACTTTATAGACTTTACAAGACTGGACTTTACTTTCTTCTTGTTAAAAAAATGTAATTATTTTAAGTTTGAGCACTCAAGTTACGTTCCTGATGGTCACTAATATGACGTGAGCCAACATTATAAGCATTTCCAAACCAGCTCTCTAATCGGTTGATTGCAACTTCTTTAATAATCGACTTCCACAGTTGAGTTCCTTTTTCCAGTTCTAGACTGTGAAAAAAAATTGTATTATACAACGCACTAAAAGATGAAAACAGTTCGCCCGAGAAAATTTCTAGGTACTCCTGATAGTGCTTTCCTGACTGACCACACTGAGAATCAAAATCTGCGCTAAGTGCGAAACTGAAAATTTCCCACCAACCTCTGCGAGTAAGATTCTCCGAAAAGCATTGGCAAGCGCGGCATCGATTCCAATCATATCAAACTCCATATCATCATCGTTGATATATTTTACTTCAACCTTAAAAGATTTCTTAAAATCCTCCAAACGTAAACTGTTGTCCACCCCAAAAGCCATGTACGCTCCCGAATACTGAACCGACTCAGTCTGCACTCCACTTTCCCAAACTTAGGAAGCCAAAATTTGTACCAAAGCAGCGCGCAGATAAATTGCGACAGAGAATGCAGTACCTATTTGACAACACGAGCAATAAAAGGTCACAAGGTAGGTCAAATACACGTACATAAGAAGGGGCATCAGCAGCACACACGACCCGCGTACGCTGCAATTCCAGATGAGCCGGCAGCTCGCCTTTGGGCAAATCCGGCAGATCCATCACAGAAGGTCGATCCTTCATTTTGGAAGCCAAGATTACAAATTGCCCGCGGACTTCAATTTGGTCCACGGACGCTGCCTTCAACACGATTGCAAATCCCGCTGATAGTACAGTCGATGTCCCGTGCAATGCCCTCGTTCAGTCCAGTTTCTTCTCCCTGGTCCTACACTGCACCAGCGAATTCGTCTGCAGCGAAATTCTCCAGGGGACGGCGTGAAAACCTCTTAAACCTTAAACCCTTCCCGTAGTTTTCCACCGTAGGTAACTTTTGTTCACGTGCTAGATGGATTAAAAAATTTTACATAAATTCTGTGATATAATTATTTGAAATTTTTTAATTCCATATTTTTAAAACAAAATAATTTTTATGCATAATTTTTAAAATATATAAGAACCAAAATCCGATCTATCTTGTATATTGCATGATTTCAAAACAAAATTCAGATGGAAGATATATATATATATATATAGTATTAAGATTGTATGTCATTTAAATAAGATATTATGAAAATACATGTTTTTTAATTATTTTTGAATCATGCTAATACATCATGAAATAAAAAACATGCACTTTAATTTGAAAATTTATGTGTCACAAAATATAACTTAAAAAAATAAAAATAATATTTATCGAACTATTTTATTTATGTCTGTGAATGATTATGGATCAAAACATGTAATAAAAATTTAATTCAGTTACTTTTAAAAACATTTTTAAAATATCAAGTCATTTTCATATATTATTTCATGAAAAAAAATTTAATTATCTTCATATTGTGTGTATGGATTTTTTGATAATAAATTACATTAACTTTCATAGACATTCTAACAGTATTATTTTTGTATCTGGATTTAACAAGTACAATAATTTTTGTAAATTAAATCTTAATTTAGAAGTAAAAATATTTTTGGCATGATAATGAAATATTTTGCACATTTTTCTTTATCGAACATGATTTCATTTCTAAATTTAAATTTCACACACAAAATCTCATGATAAGAACTGTTAATGGATTTTATAAATTAACATTTCAACTCATTTACTTCATAAAAATCACATTTTTTTTTTTTAAATTACTATTATTATTTTTTGAAATTTTAAAATTGATTGATTAGCACGTAATTTATAATATATGAATTTTTCCAAATAGAACATGAATGTAAAGTATATGAGCAATGATATCAACCGATTGATGTGATTATCAAAAAAAAATATTTTAAAAATTGGAATATATAGATAATAAATCATTACAAAAGTTTATTATCCAACTTTAGTTCATTTACAATGCAACTTTGCACACTTGACACTGGTGCACTAGTATGTTTAAAACTATCTAATGATTTTGTAATTTTTATGAATATATATACTAAAATTATATATTAAAAATAGATGAATTTATCATAAATATGAGAAATTAGACTATTATGCAATCTTTTGCAATGTACATCTATATTTAAATATAATATTTATCATAGTAGTTATTATATACATATAAACATTACTTATCTAAATTGTGTTAATCATTGTTTTAGTGTAAGACTAGTCTCAAATCTTATAAAGTATGTTGAGTGTAGTAGTTATGACTGGCATGTCTTCATCTCAATTATATTTTTATCAATAAATAATTACAACCCCTATCAACAATTGTTAATTGTGGAGTATTCATATTTGTGCAAAAAATGATGTTTATTCATATAATTGAACCTCATGATTTATTAATGTGAAGAAAAATCATTTACGTTTTGTAATAATTATTTGCAGCTTTAATTGTTGCATTTTCATGCGTCACATACTGCATGCAAATGCAACGCAATGTTCAACTTCACTATCAAAGGGGAATGTGTTGGAGATATGAAATTTATGTAATGAGTGGAAACTGCAGATTTGGATTAGTCACAAGTAATCAATTGTTAACTCTATCCACGGAAAAGAACCATCTAAAAGAAACCCTATATATTTGCATAATATGTAGAAAAATAAATTTTAGTTATCTATAGTTAAAAATCTGTTTGTTGAAGTTTTCAATGATTGCAACAAGAGATTATAGTGTTGCAGATGATTCTCTATCTCTAATTTATGTAGATAATCCTATCAATTTATTTTGTGTGTTATATATTTCAATGCGTCAAACATGAAATTTGCAATAGAATATTTATACAATTTTATGAAAACTAGTGAAATGTCTCAATGCATTAGACAATGAAGTGAAAATTGTATCAGATCCAATATTGAAGATTCATAAATCTTGAGAGAAAATATTTTAATAATGAACAGGTAAAACGTAAGAATTGTTAAAAGGAAGATTTTCAAGGACAATCATTAATAAAAATATATAAAGTAGAAGCTGCCATCGTGCCCGCAGTCTGACATTGTTTTCGAGCTACCGTAGTACATGGATTTCATACACAAATGACGCCATTGGAACATAACGAAGTAAACACCTCATTCTAAACCCTAATGCAATCTCCAATCCAGGAAGTGGAATTGGTATATCAAATTTGAATGTCTGGGTTCAGGCCGAGCGTCCTTTAATGGAACAGTCTGTGCAAATGACGATTGAAGGGTCTCTTTCCGGGGACTGCAAAGTCGGATCAGCATTTCAAAGTGGCTCTCTCCAGCACAGATAGCCCTGAGGATTGGTTGCTTTTCAAATATGGCGCGGAAATGAAATTTTTAATTATCAAAGGTAGGAGCTCGACGAACTGCACAATCTCCTCTGATTTTGAGTACGATTTTCTTGAAGTGACAAGGTAGTTCTCGCCATATTCGTGAATGTATTGATCCGAATTCATTACAGATTCTGATCATGAAGCACTATGTCGTTGAGTAACCAGTTATTTGCCTCATAGGTTCTTGATTATCTTTAATTGTGTGAGAAGGATCCCGCGTTGTGTATATAAATGTCAAAATATCGCAATCGGAATTGACCACAATCTAACTTTGGAATGGTCTGTTTTGTAGGAATTCGCCTGAACGGCTGAGTAGTGACCAGAACTTGGCCCATTTGTTGAGGTCTTGTCTATTTCGTGATGGAATTCCACGAGTCAGCTTTGGATGCCATCTATGAAGACGATGTCTCTTGTTCCGACGTAGAAGAGGGAGAAATCGAAGGCGAGGAGGTTCAGAACTTGGAACCCATGGATGTGGACCGAGGGGAGGCGAGAATAATCTTCGAGGAAGGAGAAATCTCAGACGATGATGATCCCTCACCGGGCGAAACCTGTGATGGCTCAAACGAAACCCGCGAAGGTCTTGAGCCCAAAGACGGCAATGATCAGCTAGCTAAGGGCAACAGTATGTCTCAGTTTTCAATCTCAATTTCTTTTCTCTGTGTTCAGATGTTTTCCTTCTATTCAGGGCAATCTTTATTTTCCACTGTAAGCCCTCTCTTGGTTAAGGATCATTATCGCTCAACCGTGGTATCTGACGGAGCTTCACCAGCCCATAAACTAGTTATGTCATTGGCAAAAGCTTTCATCGTTTCTACCAGTGTCGAATGAGCCTGTTCCATGTTCAGCATTTTCAGGACCTCTTTCTAGTCTGCTCATTATTTATGCAATTTATATTCTCGCTGACTTCTTTTATGTTACTTATGGGGTACCTATGTCGTTTCTGTTTCTACAGATGCTCTTGGACCAGATCGTTCTGCACGGCCAGCCAGACGCAAAAAGTCCAAGAAGAAACGCTCCGGAAAGCGTAAAAGTGTTGACGAAGCAAGGTGAAACTCGACCCTTTGCATTTTCTCTACATCACATGTATTGGCGCTCATGCTATCTCAGTGTTTCTGTACAAGGCGTACTCACGTCTTTCTTTGAAACTTTTTGTTGGATAAGTTTAATTCATCATTTGAGAGCCAGATGATGAATTAGATATATGTGTAAGTGTATATTATTTTTTATTGTATCACCTCTTAAACTGTAATTTAACTTTTGAAGGTTTGTACGCGAAACATGTATTCATCTTCAAGAGAAAAAAATATCTCTTATATGGGCCCTTGTGAAGAAATTGGGCGTTGATGCTGTACGAGATCTCGTGAACGAGGTAGAGTTTCATCTTTAGCTTATAATCTAGATGTTGATTTCCCACTTTTGCTAAAGCTCAAAGATATTATCCAGGAATGATTGATGGAGCCTTTACAGACTATCGAAGTTCTCTGCAGATTGGTCATGATTGCAATTTGTTGTATGGGGTTTATAAAGTTCACCTAGTTGCGTTCATCCAATTTTGTTCTTCGCTAACGAATACCGAAGCTTGTGCCAGGTGAATGTTATCGAGAAATGTGGCGGTCAGTTTACAAATGACAAGAAACGTCGACGAACACCGGGAGGTGTTCTCTGGAATATTTTACGAGGAAGAGTACAGCCTGAAGTCTACAAGGAGATTATGTCTCAAGGAAACGAAGTTCTGGTATGGACCACTCAATATTGTGTCCAACAAACTGGCAACGGAATGTAGATATATGCACACAAAATAGTTGTTTAAATATGAACCGAGTTATCACACCTGTGTGTCAACATACAAATTTAAGGATTTGCTTGACTTGATTCTTGCATTGGGCTTCAAAACCATATCTGAATGACTTGTTGCTTCTTGTTCAAGCCGTATCTAATCCATCTTTTGACGAATGCAGAAACAAAAAGCCAAACAAGCGAAGGAGTCCCTTAAGAGACAGAGGATGGATGTTGATGAACCAAGCAGCATGAAGCGTCGAAAGATGGACGTGAAGGATGCGGACACTCTAATGGCGACTGTGAACGGAAGACAACTTAATCAGTCCACTCCCATTCCCAAAGTGCGTAAGGATTTGCAATCCTTGATGGATGGCCCAGCGGGAGATGATTCTCTCTTGCCAACTGTGCAACTACAGAAAGCATGGGTCGAAGGAATTAAAAAGAAAGATGCAAGCATCGATGTTGGTATTGGCACTCCAAGTGTGGTCAAATACGAGCTTGGAGCGTTCAAAGATCTGAAAGCCACTGAAAGAAAACCTGTTGACGTCGTCGACAGGTTGCGAGTGCCCGTAGAATACAGTGACTTAGTAACAATTACACATGACGAGTATTGTTCTGTTGGATCTCCTGAGCCTAGAGATTCGTTTCGGTGAATGAAATATCTGGAAATTTCAATGGCAATGTGCGATGGAGCCGTAGTGCACAAGAGAGTTTGATTCCAACGTTTGGTTGCGTGTCATGACAATGGAGTCAGAGATCGAGGTGAGCCCAAGCGTGCAGTTCCCACTTTTCTGCAAAGCCTTCATACTTGCTTATAATGTTGCTTGTAACTTTTTTTGAAACACATGGTTCAACCAACTGAGTTCTTCAATGCCTGATTTATTCTACTGTCGTTATTTGTATCAGATCTACTCAATCTGAGACCGCACATTCCGGACAACTCTAAGAAACTGCTTTCATCGACCCCCGGCTGAAATACGGAGGATACTCTCAGTCTGCGCAGTGATCTTTGCAACTTCTACTTCAGCTTTGCAACTTCAACAATTTCTTGACAAACGTGACAGGGTTTCTGTTACCTATAGAAGGTAGCAAGCAGACATGTGTTTGTGAAACAACTCGGGTCACGTGCAAGCAAGTATTGAACATTTTCCGTCTCTGGCCTTCTATACTTCATCAGTTTCCCTGAAGTAGTTGCCTGTATCAGTTTGTCACAAGTAAAACGAAGTTCCGACAAAGATTGCGGGGTCCATGATCCTTTTGAAACCTGTTGAACGAAAGCATCATCTGATCACATCGATGTCGAAGGTTTCGGACTGCACTGTATTAAGCCACCTTTCATGAGAAGGTTTGATGTTGCCTTCTCATTTCAGGCTCTGAGAAAATAATGAGTATATTGCAGATTCATACATTCCACAATGCGCATCATCTGATCTTACCCTCCATCACCACCTTTTAGAGTGTAGCTGTTTTAAAAAGGCCTGCACGGGGGACATGTGAGAAGTAATAGTTTAAAAAACAGATCAACAACGAGGACTTCAATTACCACGTGGAATCAGTACGATTTGACTGGGACTCCATTTAAGGATGCCTGAAAATATGCTAAATATCAGTGTCCACGTCCTAGACACAACTGCCGTCCCAAGGTTGGCGGCCAAGGCACGTTTGTGAAGTCATCCACTGCCCTCATACGAGCTCCGTTTCTGAACTGTTCACGGCAAAGAAGCACAGATGTAGGACGACACCTCACGAGTCGACTGCTCCTGACGAAAGACCCAAAAAAATCGGGTATTAATGCACGTCTAGGTGTTCTTCTCGGCTTTCAGTTTATTGTTTAAGAGTGTATTTTCCAAATGAAGGTCCTGAAGGTGTCATGAGATCGCTGATTTTGACGTAAAATATTTGAAGAACGATCAAATTTGATTGAGCACACCTCGGAGTGACCTCAGATGGCACATATGACCACCAATACACAATTGGTCACAGATCCGTACCCATGGGGTGATCATAATCAGAAGTAACGATTATCGTGTGCTTGGAAAGGAATGTGTAGAATGCGTGCGGCTTGTTGGGATCAGTGATTGCAGTTAATACTCTGCTGCCGAGGTTATTATGTGTCGAACTGCATGGGGGTTTGTTGTACTGTAAATGTTCTCGTTACAGGACATGCAGTTGACTGGTACCAAAGGTCATCCGTTATCGAATATGCCGGCAGTGCCTCAAACCTGAAAATATGTTCCACGGGTTTTCTCTAGGCAGGCCGTCAGCTCCAAGTCAATTTCACATATCATCTCACTGACCCGGTTCTGGCTTCTGGATAATGGAAAAGTAGTGCATCAAAGTTCAAACGGATTTCGGCACGTCACCTGCCACCACCTGAGTCAAGTCAGACATGCTTTGCTCATGTCTTTGGCTTTTATAACGACATGTCCAGTAGAGTTTGTTAACTGTCATCATCATACATCTACGAGAAGATTAGGATGTACTTCCGATGGAGGTACAACCTAACCTCTTAGGGCCAATGACTCATTCATTTCTACAAATCCTAAACTATTATCAGAGTTATGGACCGTTGAGTGCGAATCAAGTGTTCCATCTTACACTTGACAGAGGTATAGATATACGAGACTGATCGCAATAGCTAGCAGAACTCAGAATCATTCTCAAGATTGTCGACGTTATACAGTACGAATAGTCATACTTCATTATATTGCGTGAATACAGAATCGTACACGTTGAGGGAACATTCATCTTGAAAATTGGTATGGAAGGTACTGGAAATCAGAAGCAGAAATTCCTCTGAAGTCTAGATTTCAGTAGTCCTCTTCCCATGTTAAAGCCATATCGTAAGGTGGATCTCAACCTTGAAACAGAGAAGTCACATGTAGACGAGTAGGTACCGATCTTAACCACATGCTGCTAGGAGGAAATAATTGTCACTGGTAAGAAACGACGGGTACAGTTCTAGGTGAAGCCGCGACTGAGAGAAAGTCTTCATGTGTCCTAACCACCGTGGAGTAAACTTAAGATAAACTGCATCTTTAGCCACTTTGACATGTTTCAAGAATTTTATTGAAATAAAGGAGACAAATATAAGAGAGTGGATCAATAAAGATGTAACTTGATCTTCGGTATAATCCGGAAGCCTCTGCTTGCCGATGTTTGACATGAAAGGAGTATAAGAATTCGAAAATTTCATTCAGTCCACTTTGATGTAAAGTGTTTGTAGTTTGTGTGTCGAACCTCATCGAGTGAGATTGTTCTGTAATAAATGAAGTAGAAAAATCATGTATATATATATTTCAGTATATTATACTAAAGTTTGCAAATTTCACAAGGATCAACAAGCATAAAACTCCTATAAAAATTTCCATTTGAATAAAATACGTTTATGCTATTTTTGTAGCTGGAAGTTGATAGTAAAAGAATAACCCCTAAAAGACTCAATGATATCTTGATTGATATTGAAATTTATTTTAAAAATTGGAATTTTAATAATGCAGTGTTTTAGCATTACATGGTTTAATCTTACACTAAAGCTTGCATCTTTTAGCAGCATGTGCATGATGTATAAAAACGCTAGGATGATAAAAAAAAATCGAATTAAGGGAGTTGATATTTTTTATAAATTTATTTTTTCTAATATATTTTGTTGAAATTAAAATCTAAACGGGCAATGCATCGCACTTTGACAATAGATACAATTTGTCAGTGAGACATGTTGAAATGTTCGCCTTATTAATTGTGTTGAACTTTATACTATAATGTGGGTACAAACTTGAGTGATCGTTAAGAGAATTTTAATTTTTTAATATTTTGTATAGTAGTTGACATTAGGACTTAGGATATATGATACTCTCTGAATTGGAGCATGATTCTCTATTTGAATATTGCTTTACTTGTCTCTACCTATATTAGAAATTCGTTTATGTCTACTAAGAATTTTTGGCTCAAAGTAAACCTAATATTGCAAACAAGGTGTTGTAAAATGAAGATGAATGGAGCACCTAAATAATTTTTCTTGGATGAACAAAGAAAAGGTGGGATAGATGAGGAATAAATAATGATATATTTAAAAGGTATATTCTAATTAACCCTCCCGAACCAATTTGCTATCTCTCCAGAAATTGAATAAAAATGAGATCCAACCATTTAGTGCACTCATAACATCTTTATGGAGGAGACAACCACTTTTAAAGAAACTCGCTAAAATTATTCATAGATTATTCATTACGATAACTGTTAAGTGCATATATTAGAAATATGAACTGTACGGAACACTATATGGCTTTCGGCTTTGGTAGATATCGAATGAGACCACGGGAGCAGGAGCTTGGAAGTAGAACGAATGTTCCTTTTCATGTAGAACATGAAAAGGAAAAAAGGTGGGAAGACCCCATCATGAAAAGTCATTTACTCGCTAAGTAGTAAAAAATGTCCTGCGTTTTTCTTCTTGGTCCTCTTGGCGGTATGGATCGTTACCGTATTTGAAACAAGAATGGTCTTGGGATCCTACGTAAGACATTTTTCGTAGAGTTTTAAAATCATATTTGCTAAAATTATACACGTACCCTGATGGGGTATTCCCATCCTTTGTGCTATATTACTCGGGGCTCGCATGCGTTACAAAGAAACTTCCGGGTCCTTTAATTGCATAAAGTAATGAGGATTGAGCTCTGGAAGAGAAGTTTCATTGTTTGCAAATAGGAGACATGCACATTATGTCCGATGGCTGCGGCTAGATCTCTTGTCAAATCGAATCTGGTGCCAGAAACATCTGGAATTATGAGATTTTTACTTTTCAATGAGAAGGTGACTCACTCAAATAGAAAGAAAAAATTCATTTAAATGGACTGGGCGACTTTACTGTGTTGTGTCAACTGTTGGAAGCTTGTCAGCAATCAAACTTCGACAACACGTGAGAAATTTGGACAATCTGATCGTAATATGGGAAAAGGGAAGGAATAGTAACGATCTAGAGTACGAAGGAAGATATCTCGTATAAACAAGAAAGATTTCGCCCAAGCGCGTTTGAAGAGTGCATTGTATGCAACTTAACTCTAACAATGGTCTCTAGACAAAAAGAATCATTTGAATAAGACAAAATTAGTGCAACGGGGACAATATTCAAACTCTCGGTCATGGGGAACTTGAAAAGTTTACGAAAGAAATTCCTTCTGCTGTTAGTCTATTTGCGCATTGTTATTGAAAAGCTGAAAAAGTTGAAAAGATACACAAGAATCTGCTTGTACCTACTGTCACAACCTTTAATCACATGACACTGACAGGGAGTCCATGCACACATCTTGAAGCTCTTGGAGTTTCTACCCTGCGAAACAAAATAGTGAGTTCCCGTCGCACTGAGTCCTGACCTGATAAGGAGAATCCTGGAGAAATCCAAATCTCCACAAGTGAGAGTAAAATTTCCACCCAACTTTTATAGTTCACGTATCTACAGTACGTACGCCATTTTATGTCGACAAATTGTCTCTTAAATGCAGCACAGGATGGCACAAACAGTAATGTAAGATGCATTGCAGCGCCGTGTCTTCAAATAGTTAAAGCCCGCGACTGAATTCCAACAGGTTTGGAAGAACAGGATAACTGGAGTGAGCTATTAAATCGGGAAATACAACCGGTTTCGAAAAATTCAAACCGCAGTCCTTGGTAAGTCTAGCTCGATTTTGGTCGAATTCAATCCTTTTTGAAGGGAACGAAGTTTAGTCCTTAGTAATGACAATAAGAACAAAATAGAGTTTTAACTTGCATTTGTAACTCGCAGGATTTGAATTTCAAATCGCGAGAGCATTCTAAAATTTTGCAGAAAGCGTTAAATTCGAAGCTCGTGGAGAATAACTCAAAAGAACAAAGATTGATTACATTCCACAAGTGACACCATTAGTTTCTGGAAGAAGCCTGCACGTTCTGCCCCAAAGAACATTACAAACAAAAAAACTGCTAACGAATACTCGTCGCATCATCGGGGTGAAACTTGAAATGACGTAAAAGGGATAAAGGTATAATTTCTTGACGAGAAGTCTAGTGTAGGAGGGTAGGGGAGTAGGAGTAGGCTGTGATAGAGACAAGAAGCAGGCCTAGACTTAGAAATCTTGACGATTGTGTATTCAATGTGGGAAGTGTGGCGCATGTTCCGTGTTGCCAGAGATTTCAAAAAATGATTGTGCGCACTCTCACCTCGGCCCGGGGGCAGAGGCAGGCTAATGAGGAACCGAAGTTGAAGTTTGCGAAGGTGATGGTTGGGGAACTAGGAAGTCGGGGAGGGAGTGACAGTCAGAAGAGTGGTCGTCATGATCTCAGTGGTAGGGAATAACGATGACCGGTTACCTTGTCACAGCCTAGCTGAAGTGGTGGCCTGCGTGTACCCAACTCGGGACCAAAAATAGGCAATGGGATCCAATTGTGGGAGTCCGTCCATCGGGCCAGAGTTTGGAACTCAAAAGTGGTCTTCCATGGCATCACAACCACTAGGGTGGGCTAAGGTTCGTCCAACAATGTTATTCAGTTGACTACTCCTTATGCTTCCTGATCCATCTATCTACAGTACATATCCATCCTCTCAAGCGGCATCCCTGGGCTATTTGCAGTGCAGGTCGAAGAGTAAGTCCGAAAGTATGACGACAGAGGAATGCTATAAAGTGATTGGATTCAGTTTCGATCAATTTATCTGAAGGTTCCGAAGATGACTAATCCACTACAGTTGGCGAGGTGGGTGAGTCAAGAGATCATCAAACGTCGATTAGATAGATCGATGGAGGGACATGGTATATTAGGCGCGAAGTGGGTGTCGATGACAGGGGCTGGGAAAGGGGAGCGCAAACATGCTCAATCACGAGGCCACCATGTGGAGGGGGGTGGAAGGCGCAAGCGGGCGAGCGGGCAAGCGAGAGATATGAAGCGAGGTGCGGAAGAGGAGGAAAGAGAAAAGATGCAGTCTCCTACGACACGGAGAAAAATGGAGGGGAAACACTCGGCCAAATGACAAAAAGTGACAGGCCGCGATGGTCATATTAGAAGGTGCGACTTGGACGAGTTGGAGTGGAGTGGCAGTTGAAGGACGTTGGGAGTTCAAAAGAGCTTGCTTGCATCATCATGAGAGGTGATTCCTCCATAGCCCTTGAGATTGCGATTTGCTTGAATCTTCGTACATCCCTGCTGCCTCTTCTGCTGCAGGTGTCTTCTGACCGAGCCCAGCCACATCGGACAGAGCGGCTCAGAGCGAAGCAAAGCGTTTCGTCCTTCCCGCCTTCGTCTGCACATCTCCATCCATCGACATCGACATCGCATCAATCCCTTCCCTTCCCAGAATTTCCCCGCATTATTTTCTTGCGCGAAAAGCGAAAAGAAGGTCTTCGCGACGCGCCTGGAAAATGCTCTTGCTCAGACCCCTCCTGGAATCATCCCAGACCCCGCCGACAGCCATGTGCCCACCTCCAGTCAGCTCAGAACAGAAAGTCCATGCACTTGCACTGCCTTGGGCCCTCAGGTTCGATGGACTCCATCGCCGCGACTTTCCAGCCGATCCAGTTCTTTCTCACACGACGCTAGGTCCAGCCAATCAGCACCTCCACGAATTTGGAACTTTCGACAGGGTCCCATGCCCATATGGTGTCCCTGTCATGACTTTGCTATGACTCTGCGCCGGAAGACCGCTTGAAGCTAACCGTGGGTAAAGGTTCAGCGCGATGAATCGAGACGAAAGAGCGTGGCACTGACCGCGGGTCAAATAAACCGCGCTCCGCGTTGTTGTTGTGGCGCAGAGCTTGAGAATCGCGGCATCCTTGTCAGGCAAGCCCAGCCTTCCTTCTCACGACGCCCCCAAAGATTCAGGAATCGAAACTCCGTGTTCCTTATCCAGGAAAGAAGTGGTATAACCAGGTCGTAATGAGGAAACGGTGATAGATATTTTATTTTCCACGTCGGTAGAGACAAAATATTGTACTCTGCTGTAGCCGAGGTTCTCCTTAGGCCGAAGAACTTCGGGTCCAAGGATGTAATCTCCGTCAACTCCTGGACACTTCCTTTGCTGCGCTTTCCGCAGAAGCTCCAGGATGACGGAGGACAACCCCAAGCCCACACGGAACGCCCTCGCCACTTGTCACTTCCAGTGCGATCTCCAGCGAGACCCTTCTTCCTGTGTGTGTGTCTTCGCAGTGGAACTTTGCGTCTGCCCCGACCGGCCGTCCCGGCTCTCACCTCCCTCTCTCTTTGACGACATGGCCAGTCTCAGGCCCAGGCCAACACAGTCCACCTGTCCAAGCTTGACCTACGGTACGTAGGTGGTACCGAGGAATGCCTCTGAAAGCGTCCAGACACAAGGCCCTCGAACGGATGAAATTTCTTTTTTCACCGGATCTTCCTCGACGTTTGACCCGTTGGGATGCCGAGAGAAATCGACTGTGAACATTCGCTGCAACCAAAAAACCGTAAAAGAATTCGAATTCAAAAGTGGGAGCTCTTCCAAACCTTTATCGGAGCTCCGGCGGGTAGATTGCGGATCCATGAACCAGAACGTCCTGTAGGCGGAGGAAGGACGGCGAGGGTCCGGTCCCGAGATTGTTGTCCGTCTCTCTTCCAGTCCCATCGTGACGTTGCCACACTGACCGGCGGAGTAGACCGGCTCGTCCCCACCTTCGGCTGCCCTCGCTGCCCGATGCCCTGGGCCGGGCCCGGTCTTTCCTCGTCATGCCCGGTTGGTCTGCGCTGGTCTGTCCGGTCTGTTCTGAAGGCGTCTGGCGGAATGTTGTCAGTTCCGTCCAGCGGGCTTATAATTGGCGGAGAGGACAGATCACGAGAGCGATATCCTTCCTGCCTGCTGACGTGAAGTAACACGGTAGACCAGAAAGTCTCGGTTGCGACTGGTTACCATTCAAGGGGCGGTTACCGTGGTTAGATTCTCCCAAAGGATTGTCGAAGAAGGGATGTCATTACCTTCTGCCGCGGGTCCATTTCAGCGTCAGGTAGAAAGTTGAGCCAATTTACGAATGGGATCGTGTTACCAAATTTAGCGCGTCAGACCGAGGCCATGTCAGAGATGAACACGACTCCTGCGCAGTTTGTGTTCGAAGGTGTTCGACCGCGGTTCTCGTTGCGACATAACCGGTTCGCAGTTAGTTATAGCTAGAGGAGACCTGTACGAGATGCGGCCTAGATCAAAGTAGCGGACTGCAGTTAGTCTAGAGGCGGTGGGAACATTTTCTTGGCATGGGTTCTGTCGGCCAGGGACCGGCACTGCGAGTCTGGGGCTGGTGATAAAATGTTCGAAATTTGGGCGGGCAAGCGGGCGGGGACAAAGGACGGTTACGGGATGCGGGAGATAGCCGGTCAGCCCGAGGCCCGAGCTGCACTAACGTTGGACTCGCTCCCGCCGGGGCGGGGGCGAGAGCATAAATGGGATGAATGTTTTTGGCAGCTCTCGGTTTTCACGCCGACGAGATTTCGGAACTCGGGGCCGGTGGCAGGGACCTGCCGGGAACTGGTGCCTGGCGTGGGAAAAGCTGCCCTCCGGCGGGAATTTTAAGACGGGCCATCCGTGGGGAAGGCATGCGGAGATTCAAACAGAAGACCGGCACGGAGCGGTGGGAGCACGCGCTCCCTCCGCTGCGAAGTCTTGTTCCGCTGACGTCGCCGCGTGGTGTCCCGGGATTTGGAATCGGGACCTTCGTTGGCTGCCCTCCGCTTCACTTCCCGCAGCTTCCCGTTCGCAATGCAAGGCACGGCGGAAGTGGTCTGGTCAAGTCGAGGCATTAATTGGAATTCAAAACCCGGGCTCCTAGTCCTCTGTCCGGCTCGCAGGCGCTCCGTAGGTGAGGTCGTGACGGAAAGGCACAGGTAAACCTCGGTCTTCACCTTCCGATGCCTGTTTTGCTGGGCTAGGAGTGCCGTGCTAGGTGCTATGCTGCGCTGTGCGCAGGTAGTGAGGGGAGCGAGGGAGGCGGGGGGTATGGCTTCGGAGCGTGTGCAGGGCTTTTGCTTCTTTTGATTCGTGTGGGGCTTGTTGTGTCGCTGTGCTGCTGTGCTGCTGCGTCTGTGCTGTGCTTGCAGGCAGGCAGGCAGAGATAGAGAGAGAGAGAGCGAGTGCGAGCGAGTGAGCGGTCTTTCCTTCCCCGGGGATCTAAGCTTTGTTGCGTTGTGCCTTCTGCCTTTCTTTTCTCTCCTCCTCCTCCTCTCCCCATCTCTCTCTGTCTCTCCCTCTGTCACTCTCGCCTTCTTTCTCCGTGTGTCTCTCCATTGGCCTGGCTTGGCGTTTTCTCTCTATTCTCGCTCGGACTTCATCAGCTTTCCCATCATCATGTGCATTTGGTTCCACTCCTCCTTGCTTCCCACCTCGTGCTTCGTCTTCGTAGGTCCGAGCAGTAGTACACGCCTGGGGCTCGCTTCGCCTCGCCTCGCCCCGGTCGGTGTGGTGTTGGTGGTGTTGAATAGGGAGTAGGCGAGCGGAGGAGGCAAGGAGAGCAGGGAAAGGCTAGGGAGGGAAAGGAAGGGCAAAGAGAGGACGGGGGCAGCGAGGGAGGCAGCGAGGCAGAAGACAAGGTCGGGAGGGGGAGTCAAGCGAGGGAGGGTGGACGACGAAGATCTCTCCTCTGTTGTGAGCCCATGAGAGAGAGACAGACGGGCTATGGCTGCTGCTTCTTCCTTTACTTTTACTCCCTCGTTCGCTATTTCTGAGTTTTCTGCTTCTTCCGGTCGCATCCCGGCTGCTGCCTTCTCGCATCCTTCCTCATTCCATCGCCCCGACCAATTTTTCGGCATACCATTCCTTTGAACAACATCCGGGTTCAGGTTTGTTCCTCCAACAACTGCGCCTTACTCTCTCCTCCAGATTGTCTCTACTCTGCCGCCTTTCACTGTTTGCATCGTCTTATACTTGATGCTCGTGTCCGATGGGTTGCTCGAGTGCCAATTGGTCCTCCATCCTATCAATCGTGTCTCTGTGATCACAAACCTAGCCTCCACCCTGATGTAAGCCTCCTGATCTAGAGATCGATTGTCTGTATTATGCAATTATGGGGTTTTGCCAGCAGAGTGCGATGATTTGGTTTCAGAGACGGCCTACCCCTTGCGGTGGGGGTCATTCTTTTCCTCTTCGTCCTTCTGCGTCTACTCCCTTTTCGTAGATTTGTGTTTTTGAATCGGCTGGGTATGTTGAGCTCCGGGTACTCATCCAATCTTCTATGCTCTGTTGCTATTTATGCCCATGGCTGCCAAATTTTGCATGCTTGGAGTGACGCCGTCACCTGGGTCGTTGTTTCCGAATTGGTTCTGAATAGCAGATCGAAGTCGGGAGCTCTCGGTTTCTCGCTACAGCATGGTGTATTGCACTTGTGCCTGTCAATAGTTTTTGTGTCCTTGCACTGACTTGTGTCATTCGTCTTTCCAGGAGATGCATGCGATGAGGCCAAAAGGCGAACCTAGGAGACTGCCACAAGTATGCTAGCGGATTTCAGGATCGATGTTGAATCCACGTTGTTGGCAGGAGAAGTTTTGCTCTTGGTTTTAAATTGGTCCATTGGTTCAGTATGTCATGCTCAGAGGCTGGGGGAATCGACAATCGGAAGGGGATCAGCTGCGCGATGTAGGTTGTAGAATGGCAGCGAGTTTCAAAGTTTCAGCACAAAGACTTATAGAAGGCGTGCAGGGAAGGGCTGTTACCGACGTTGGAGTTGGCACGTAGGGTTTCGAACACCGAAGTGAGTCGTCAGGAACTGGAGCAAGGCCATGGTGCGCCTTTTAGGTCTGAATTCGCGGGTAGGCATAGATACAGATGATGGGCCCCGGGAGGTCGTCAAGACTCCAAACACATCAGGGGACAGTGGATGGCTTATTAGGTTCTTCGACTCGTCTTTCTTTTGCGAGTGGATTGCGATCAGCTACTTGTACAAACATGAGCACTCAGGGGTCAGAGATTATCTCTGCAACAGGATGTACGCTTTGCCTATCGCTGGCATCGAGACATACCTTTTCCAGCTTTGTTATATGCTCCTCCACATGCCCAGTCCTTCGCTTGATAAGTATATTGTTGATATGTGCTCCAAGTCGCTCCGTATCGCCATCAAGGTTCATTGGTTTCTCTTGGCGGAATTAGAGGATGTGGATGACAGTGTAACTATTCAAAAGCTCCAAGAGAGATGTCAATCCGCAGCTCTGAACGGAGATTGGCCGCCTTTAATAAAGCCTCACAAGAACACGAGCAGTCCCGCTGGCGGGAAAATACGCATGTTCAATAAATTACTTTCCTCGCGACGTCTTCTGTCAACATCTTCTCCTCCACATCAGAAGCAATCTTCGTCCTACACTTCGCCTGGGCCTCTTGAGGATGGGGTCCGCGAAGGAAACAAGGTATCTTCAGATGACACAGATTCGACCCTGAAGGTTTTTAAGAAGCTATTACCAGGGCCCAAGGTGCGTGAAGCCTTTCTTAAAAAGTTCAGGGAGAAGGAAGAGGAGGATGGTGACAGGCCGAAAGATGCCGAATCGGAGAATTTTTTTCGGAGGTTGTTTAGGGACAAGGAAGACGAGGAGAGAGCTGGACGCAGCGAGGACTTCGCTAACCCCGATGGGTTTTTCCGTCGATTGTTTAGAGATAAACATGAATCTGATGACAGGATTGGAGGGAGATCCATAGACGACGACGAGAAGGAGGGATTTTTTCGAAAGTTGTTCCGCGACAAACATGATGACCGAGATCGTGGCGATGCCCGCGAGAAAGGTGAAGATGACGAGAAGATCTCCATGAACTGGGAGGACGACGAAGTTCATGAATTTCATGAGTTTTCTCTCTTCAAAAGATTTTTCAGAGTTCATCCCGAAGATGAATCCTTGGGTCTAGATGGTATCACGGGCACTCCAGACGGTAGCCCTGGTGAGAGTTTCTTCAAAAGACTGTTCAAAGATCGTGAAGATAGCAAGTTCTTTAGTCTGCGTCGTGAGGATGGTACAGGTATGAGTCCCTCCAACTTTCTGAAGCGTCTATTTAAAGACCGTGGAGATGAAGACGCGAATATGCCGGTTGCGGAGGATGGGATGCTAGTCGTGAATACACACATCAACACGGATCTGGATGTCCTAGATCTGCCCAGGGAAAACTTTAAAGCGGTCCAGGTGCATGTGAAGAACGGGTATCATCGTTCTGAAAGTCCTTTGAAAGAAGTGGGCAGTGTGAAACGTATCGAAAATTGCACCGACACTTCTGAAGATATGGAGTTTGCAGATGCCCTACTTGGAGACAGAAAGCTGTTTTTTGATGCAGAGGATGCCATCCACAGGGATGAGCCTATTGCAGCGGATAAAATTTCTCCAGATCCTGGGTTTTGCAAGTTGGCTGCGCCACCTGAAACGCCACCACCAGTCACTAGAACAGTTTCCTTCACGGTACGCACTTAGTATGTGAAAGAGATTATTCCTCATCATCATGTCTACTGTGGTGTGTCCGATCTTTGTTCAACTCATTGTTAGAGTATTCCTTATTGTGTTCTCAAGAGAGATGAAGAACATGTAGAATTGTGATATCATTCACCTAGGCCTCTCATGAAGATCTCGAAAAGTTCATAACAAGTCTCTTCTGGACGCTTTGCAGAAGTTGGCAGGATCTCCGTTGAGAAAACCTGAAAGGACGTCGTCCAAGCCACCACTACCTAGACACTCTACCTTCAGGATTCGTAAAGGCACATATCATGCCACTCTCGATTTTGTGCAATCCCTCTGTGACACATCAACTGGTTTGGCGGATGTGTTCCCCATGGAAGATCGTAGGAAATCGTTGCAAGAGGTAACTGGAGTGCTAGTTTCTTTACCAACGGAAGCGTGTTCTGTATTTCAATAGAGAATGTAAGTAAGAAATATTGCAAGCGTTAGAGTTGAAAATTGTCACTGGGAAAGGTTATATGTGCAACGTGATAATAATAGATTTTGTTTGGATGTCCGTACAGTCACTTCAGGAGCTCAATGACCACTTAGTATCTGCTGAGAATGATGGAGGTAATTTTCGCTCATTAATTTCTAGTCATTCGAAATGATTTTGGTTAGAAAGCAACGTATGTGGCTACGAAGTTTGTGTGCTGCTTTTTCCCTTCTCCTCGCACATTTCATCTAGCCGTATCCTTACCTGTATTCGTATTATTAGTTTTTGCATGTCATACTCTGAAGACTTTGGAGGAGTCTCCCTTGGCTGAGCGTTCCTAGTAGCAACGGAGGAGGTAGAAGACCTCAGTCTTCTACCTTCTCCGTTGGATGAATAAGAACGAAAAAGAGAGAGGAAGTCTGATAAGGAGATGGTTTTCGATTATGAAAGCTGCTCATGAAAGAGATGCGTTTGGAGTCACCAAGTATAGGCAAGAATCTTTTGGTAGCTCATTCACTCGTCTAGTTCTACAACCCTAGAAGGCAGTACTCACAACGGTATAAACTTTGGGCTTAGACCTGGCGAAGACTTATGTCAAAGTTGATACGTATAATCAGATTATGGTCGAATGGTGACGCCAATTTCTGTACAGAGAAGTATAATTGCTTATTCTTGTGTAATTTCAATCTTGTACAGGTGTCTGTTTTCCCATGGGAAGAGGCCTTTGTCGTGTTGTGCATATACCCGAAGATGAAGCCGTCCTCTTAAATTCAAGAGAAAAGGCGCCCTTTCTGATATGCGTGGAAGTTTTGAGGTGTGATTCTCAAAGGTAAGAGTTTTCGATCGACGGACGTAACGTGCCTCATTACAACTTATGCAGACACAATTTATGTGTTTGTGTGACCTACAACTCTGTTGGTAGAGGATTCGGACACACATGTGTAGCTCTGTTTCTGTAGATCCGTTCGTAGAAGATTTTTTTGAATGTATATTGATTCAGACTGACAGTGGTTTTGACCTTGGCTACTTTCAGGCCCGAAGCAAATCGTGAAGGGAAAGAAATCATCCCACGGAGACGTGGTGGAATCCCATTAGCAAACAGTGATGTACAGTTTCCCCGACCACCCCCATGGGCTTTTCCAACATGGAACCACCCTATGCAACATCCGAACACGGAACAGCTTCTAAGAACTGCCTCTAAGGCCATTGATCAAGCTCTGGCTCAACTTTTGGATTCAAAGCTTAAAGTTGTGGATGTCACCCTCTCTGTTAAGAAGAGAGTTGGCCCAAGATCAGACTCAGTAAATCTTAGAATATCGGACAATGAGGATGCTTTAGTTTCTACTTCCACTGGAAGCAGAGGTGAGGATGAGTTAAGATCCGAAGCTGGAACCGGAAACAGTACAGACGGGGAGCAAGTCGCTTTAGAGAGAAGCAGAGAAGAGACTTCCATTGGAGGTAGTGTAGAGGATAACAAGCGTGAAGATTGTGCTGACCAAAGTGGAGATAGGGGAGCTGAAGGGAGCCTTGCATCTGTTAGTGAGAGTGGGGACGCGGCTGGTCTTCGCTCCGAGGGGAGTTCTGAAGAAGAATGGGTAACTGTTGTCTTGACTTCGGTCGCCGGTCTTAATATGGAAGATGTTGAAGAGGACCATCCTGTTCGAAAGAAAGAACATCGTCGAGTTCCAAGTACGATCGCCATGGCTGAAGTCACTGTAAGTAAGATTATGCTTTCCGTAGCGAATGTAGAGGATACTTGCCAGCTAGTGAAATTTCCTTGATCTGGGTGTTAAGTACTGTTGATTGCATGAATTTTTCGAGGATATAACTGACATTTATTTGTGTCGATCATCGCTTTGTGACAGGCTGCTGCTGCCAAGGGTGAAGCTCCTGCTGGTCTTCCTGTTAATAAAGCCGGTGGCATTTCCACTGAAACACAAGTTGCGGTTAGTACTCTCGGCCTGTTTCTGAAGAGTTTGCTGGATGTCGGAATTCGCCTTATTTTGAAGGACGTGAAGGACGTTCCTAGAAGGGTCGGTTTGTAATTTCGAGACTTTGCTGTGAGTGCAGGATAAAAGAGGCATGGATGCCAAAGCCACAGATGCGCTCGCGGGTGAGCTTTGGGAGCATAAGAAAGATCGGATCCGGAAGACATCCAAGTTTGGTTCTCTTGCTGATTGGGATTTATGCTCGGTGGGTGTAAATGTCCAGTTATTGTTCGTCGCTATTTCATTTGGATTTTGTTTGGTTTCGCTGGTCGGAAGTGCTTCTGTGAAGAGATCTTCTCTTTAGTGCATAACTAAGCAAGTTTCCTCATTTATTTTGCAGATGATTGTCAAAAGCGGAGATGATTGTAGACAGGAGCACTTGGCAGTTCAGCTTGTTGCTCAATTTTATGGTGCGCTATTTTCGCTCTTTTCGAATGTATTTCTGAGATGTGCAGCTTTTTTATCAAGCCTGTTATCTATGTTTTTAAACCAGGGCCTTGCTTAGTTTCAGAAGACGAGGTCGTTAGAGTACAACAAATTGCTGTAAAGTTTGTTTCATTCTTCCCTGCAGATATCTTCCAAGAAGCTGGGTTGCCTCTCTGGTTGCGCCCTTACGAGGTCTTGGTCACCTCATCACACACCGCCTTGATTGAAACTATACCAGATACAGTAAGTTATCTTCTCAGCTTGGTCTCATTGAGTTCAAAGATTTATCTTGCTCCTGTTTGGCAATTGTCCTTGATTTCTTACCAGTGTTGTTTCTCGATGCAGGCATCAATACATGCAATTAAAAGTAGGAACTCTAATTTGGTAAACCTACGGGAGTTTTTCTGCAACAAGTACATAGAAAAAACACCAGAATTTACCCTTGCTCAGGTAACTATTAGACTTATTTTAGTACTCCCTTACTTCTTCATGATTTGTGGAAGGATGTTTCTCGAACATTGTTATCCACTTGGGAACATTTTCTTTCGGCTGTTAAAAATATCTGCTTCCATAATAACTACGGAGGCGTTTTACTGGCGAGGAATAGAATAACGTCAAAGAAATAGAAAGTTCGTCATTTGACTTCATGTTGATTACGTCGTCAGCAACTTTCATGTCCGTGTCATCTTGTTGTATTTGGCTTGAAATATAAACAAGAAGTATTGCTTACGCAGAGAAACTTCGTGGAGAGCATGGCTGGTTATTCCATCCTTTGTTACATGCTTCAGGTACCACATAAATCTTCCATCTCTTTCAAGGCCGATGTAAAGGTTTCGTAGCAAATTCTGTTGGCTGTCCGTATCCAAGCTGTTTTAGATTCTGAGAAAGACTTTGTAATCGCGGTATTTCCATTTTCCAGGTGAAGGACAGACATAACGGGAATTTGCTGCTTGATGAAGAAGGACACATCATACATATAGATTTTGGCTTCATGCTGTCAAATTCTCCAGGTGGAGTCAACTTTGAGAGTGCACCTTTCAAACTGACACGTGAACTTTTGGAGGTACATACAAAGTCTGGACTTGGTCTTCCATGTTGAAATTCTTTGGACATGAAGCTGGTGAAGCTGAAGATTGAGAGGCTTGTCAAATCTTCTGAGACTGCCTGATAAGTTTTAGTTTGTACTGGATATATGTCATGCAGGTTATGGATTCAGATGCTGAGGGCAAACCCAGTGAATTTTTTGACTATTTCAAGGTATCCTCCCTTTTCGCGACATTCATATCAGTAATGGAAGTGTTTGTATTCGTGATTGACGGGTTTTACTTTTGCGCGTAATAAAATGAATGGCGCTCAGTGTACTTGATATAAACAAAATCTACGGTAAATTTCTATATAGAATGCATACTACTAGGTGGGGAAGAGATCATGTTTCACTCTTCCTTGATTGGCATCGGAAGACTCCCTTGCACAAGTAGTTGTCGTGTCAAATTGCGAACTAATGGGTGTGAGACTGTTTTCTCGGGTCGTGTGCAGGTTCTGTGCATCCAGGGCTTTCTCTTGTGCAGAAAGCATGCAGAGCGAATCATCTTACTCGTGGAGATGATGCAAGTAAGATTTGTTGCTTATATTTGTATGTAAATCATATACATATATATGGAAGATGCCGTTGAAGTGTATGCTTGTATCGAGAAACTGCCAGACTGTAGCATAATAATATATGTTCTGCGGAATCTTGGTTCCAGGACTCTGGATGTCCTTGCTTCAAGGGTGGCCCTAGAACAATCCAAAATTTGAGGAAACGCTTCCACCTGAATTTGACGGAGCAGGTATTATAAGGATGAAGTGAATTGTCACAATCATCCATTCAAACTTTACCTCCTTTTATTGTGAGATATTTTTGTTATAAACAGTCAATGTTTTCATCACTATATGTTTGTCAATAATGTTTCTGTTTGGGATTGTCTTAGTTAGTGTCAGTAATTTAACCTTGGTCTTAGGTCCTGGACTAACCTCATGGTATGTATGTGCAGCAATGTGTTTCTCTCGTCCTTTCGCTGATTGACAACAGCTTGGATGCTTGGCGAACACGTCAATATGATTATTATCAGCGCGTACTGAATGGCATCCTCTAAATCCGCGTGAAAGTCATGACTTCTCTTCCCACTTCAGAATTGGTCAGGTGCTGTGACACATCTTCACAGCCTGTGTAAGGTAATGCTTTTATACGTAGGTCAAATCTTGTACTCTATTATGCTCGGTCAAGCCAACATTTGACAGGGCCTTGCATGATGTTATTGCGTAGTAGATAACTCAGGGAAACTGATATTCTCGTGGAATTCCACGCTCTTGATTCACATGCCAATCAGAAAAGTAGGATTTTTAGGGTTTAGGAATTGTAAACTTCAAAGAATAAAGCTATGTTCTTGTTCTCTGATTTGCAGAATTGAGGTTCCTTGGATCTTGGATGTCCTGTCCAGAGGAACTTGTTGGTCACACACGGACCAGAAAGTGACCTCTACATGTGGCTAAATACTTTATTTGTTTTGAGGATATCCAGTTGGGATCATGCATGTTCTCAGTACTTAGCTTGATTATTGGAGATGTGGAAGTTCATGGACAGGCTGAGGAGAAACTCCATACGCTGGTCTGTGACGCTATGTATGTTTTGGTTTGGCGTTTGATTTGAACTCCGGCCACGACGATTCCTGTGATGACGCACCAACAGTGCCATGTTTGTATAGTTCACCCTTACCTCCTGGCCTTTGCAGCTAGTGAGGTGGGGTCAGATTGGTTGTAATTGCTTTACAACCATTGTAATTATAATGCGGACACACTTGGATTGCAAATAACTGTGTAGCTTGTATAACGTTCGGCAAGGTGGTTGTTGTACACCAATTTTGCAGCAAAATTGTCACGGATCTTAATCTCATGTAAGAGTAGTTTGCAGTGCTTGCTAGTTGACATGGTTTATGTTTGATTCTGTAACATATCAAGAGTCTTGTTCCGTTCATTTGTAGTGTCTAAACCCCACATGGCATATGTTTGACTTTTTGAAGCTGATAGGATAATAGAATATTGGATTGTTCAAATGAAAACGTGGTACTTTGTATTCGGTTGAAAATGTGCGAAATATTAGCAGCACACGAGGATCTGACAACTGTAGTACATAATACATAATTTAGATTACAAGACTCGTCAAAACAATGTAAGTTGATCAATTAATCAGTAGCTGTCATATTGGTACAGCAAATCCTTAAGTAGGGAAGGTCTGCCCCCTCGATGAGTAACTTTTGAATGCGAGCTTATGGTCAATATCAGCCACTGATCGTGAGTATCGTTCGCCAACTTGTGAATTTTAGTGTCTTCTGTGGACACATGTCTTGACCTGCAGCCTTTCTTGTTAAGCTTGAGGTCGGTGTCTTACTTGTCTTAAGGTTCTCCCTATGGCGAAAGGAACAACAGTGCAAACCCATTATATTGATTGACAGAACAAGAGAGAAAATGAAGACTATAGAAACTCCTAAGAAGGTAACATGCACAATTAAACATTTGTACTATACCTTCATGTTTTTAATTTCTGAAACCCAGTGAAACTTCGAATTGCATCTACGATTTTGTATATCCAGCTTCCGAAACTAAAGCATAAATCAAAGGTCAAATGGGATATCTACCTAAGTAGCTTGTTGTCAAATGATACTAATGATACCTATGTTAATTGCTACTAATATCAATATCTTTTACACATCCAAACTATCGTCCTACATCAACCAATTTGCGCTTCATCTCCACTGTACTCTTCGTTTTGACAAGTAATAACCTTAGTTTTTGATTCAAACTTCTCCAACTTTTACGTAGAATATATGTTAGTTATAATTGCAACTTGTACCAATGTAGCTCTTGAAACGCAAATATAGTGTACTAGGCTACATGTATATACTTACATACATGGTTACTAATAAAAATTTAAATTTTGTCACCATTGATGGAGCTACATTGAGGTTTAGACGTATATTCATGTACTTTACATCGTGTATCATGAAAAGTACAACATTCTAGCTATCTAGCATACTCCAACACATATTAATCATAATAACAATTGTGTGTGCATGCTATTTTATCTAATACCGCTTAGATAAATTGATTCCGAAACTGGAAAAATAATAATCAAGCCATGGAGCTTGCAGTAACAACGATCTTTGAGCTACATACTCATCATTGAAAACAAGAATTGAGAGTTGGAAGCAATCCAACATATGAGAGTTAGTATGAACTGCCATAAGCATTAGAGATCAATAACATTATAAATGATTATCAAAACTATAGGTAGATAAATTTTAATGAATTCTAGTTGTCATACATCTTGTGTAAAAAGTGGAAATCTTTATGACATTGATGATTGTGTGACAAAATTCATAATCATGTCAATTAACATCTATCATTGTGAAGAAATATTTGAAGTTTTAGTTGAATGTGTTGGTATAAGCTCATATGGAATAATTTTGTATGAGAATTAAATCTACAAGCTAAAGTTTGAAATTTCATGGTCATTTTTCTACCAAATGTGCAGCATTTGGCTTTTAAAAAGGAAAAATCTTTCATACAAACACCGCAAAAAACTACATCCAAGATTAATCAAAACAAGATGACGATCATGAAATTCAAAAAGTAGTATATGAAATATTCAAATACAATGGACGTGATGATTATCTTTTGGATAATAATCAAAGTCAAGCAAGAAGCTATGGATTGCTAAGAATGTTGAAGTCAACTATTCATCTACAATGACAAAAAATGAAAAGATATAAGTTGAGTTTGTACTTGTCATTGATAAAGTTGTTCCAAAGTTTTGTGAACAGAGTGTTATGGACAAACCTCATAATAAAACCTCTAGTGCTAGAATTCACTGAGTTATTTAAATATGTACATAATGGTGTGTGGAACTTCTCTTTGTTAGCCTCTATATATTTTATATATAATTAGTAAAGTTTTATCTGAATTTATTTTCTCAAATAAATGTTTGAGGTCTTTATAATTGTCAACAGTTGAAAAATTCAAGTTGATATTTAGGTTGTATACAAGGTGAAATGTCCATATACAAATAGTAAGAAAATATATAATTCTAATAATAATAATAGATAGATAAATAATCTAATAACATACATCTTTTGAATAAAGGCACAAACAGATGATTGATTATAATCTAAAAATTAAATTGTAATTGATTTTTTTAAATAAATCTTCATTCTAAACTCACAACTCGAAATTTAGGCAAATCTTCTATGCAAAACATATAGAATAGAAGTAGTATTCAAGAGCTCTCCTATGTCCTGTATCTGCTTCAAACCACCCCAACTATTCAGCCTGATTCTGAATTTATTCAGTTCATGTTTTTCTGTAAATTTGAGAGTGTTGATGCGTACTCCACTTGTGTAGAACTATTCAGGTCATTTGGCCAATGTGAATTTTATGCATAATCAATTACTCATCTTTTAACCATACTACTGTGAAGATTCAAATCTTAAAACGCTTGTGAAATGAGAAAAATATTTTATTCATGTGATTATTCCCGATGTATTGAGAATGTAGCTTTTGTATCCACTGCATATACAAATTTATACTCTCGAATACAACTAGATTTGCAATTTCAGTTTATATCTCTCTGAATAACAAAATACTTTTGCCATCGATATTCATTTCACCTAAACGTCAGTTTCTTACGATGACCTTGTACATTCTGCCGAACAAGTTGTACCTGTTCGCAGGGCAGTAATCTCCTGACGTGAGGAGCGTCGGGAACTCCCGACGGGAATCGAATGTCAACTGAGCGCTTGGATATCGGGCCATGAGCGAGGCCATTGGTAGGAACGCGTCCGGGGATAACGAGGTTTATTTGATGTACTGTACAACAAAGCTACCAGACGTTTTACTGCCCAGTCTCAGAACAACATTTGCCCGGAGATCTTCCTCTTCGCATGTCAACCTCAAAAATATTCAAGGTCGCGGCAAACGGGAGGACTCTGTCCAATGCCTATCACTGCAGTGTTTTTGACGGAAGGATGGCAAACCTGTCCCGGGGTAGCCAACGTCTCGGTCATCATGAGACAGACACGACTTGTCATCCATGAGCACGCTTTTTCGTGCCTCATCCTCCATCGGACTGGTCTATCCTTTGCCTTCTTGTGTCGCCGAATCTCCTCCTGTTCCGCTTCTCTTTGGGTCTCGCGGACTCCCACGGAAGGCCTCTTCGTAAGTCCGTCCCGCCCACGCTCGATTCCGCCCTCCCTTGCGTCCGATAGATCTCGTCTGTCTGGCACATTCCGATTGAGCCACAGACCTGCGCTTCCGGATTTAACTCTTTCCGTCTTTTGAGCTTTGCACGTGTCTTATTCACACTGAATGCAGGATTGCTGAATTCTAGCTGGTGGCGTCGCTGTTGACATCCCAACTTCACTGGCATCCATCGTTCCGACAACGTACACGGGCAGAGAGGAGAATGTAGATAGTTCAGGAGGCAGAGAGAGGGAGTGAAGGAGAAAGAGGCCTGGTTCAGAAAGGAGCAGGGTTGAATTCTCGTGTTGGAGTTCGGAGAAGATTAAGCTGTCTCTGGCTCGTCACGACCCTGTCATTGGTGTTGAAATTCTGGACCAAGGGGTCGCTCGGGTTGTAAATATAAGCATACTCGTTGATAATTATTTTTCCAGAGCTTTGCAATGCAGTCGGTTTGTGCGGCTTCTGTGGGCGTCAGGCCGTTTATTCAGGCATCATATTGCAGCAGGACCACTGCTCCTAGCTGCGGCTCCCTACGAAATGGGTCGTCTGTTGCGGATAATTTAGGATTGAGGCGAAGGAGGTTGAGATTTTTGAAAAGAGCTGCAAGTTTCTCCACAGGTAACTTCACATAAGAACATCATGTACAGGTTGATGAATTCGCGAGTAATCACCTCAATCAGCAGTTGATCGAATCAAATGAGAAATAGTTTGGTTCAGCTTCTCGTTGAAAAGTGTCTGTGTGATGGTCCTTGGAAACATTGCCATTCTTAGACGATAGTGTACAGTGCATGAGGATATAATGCAATGTTCTGAGCGAATGTGGGCGATTGCTAGCAATGTTCCGGGTTGTATGATCAGTCATCAAGCTAATGCTGCATTGGTTCTTTATTTTGGTTCATTCAATCACTTTTGGTTTTTAAGGCTGTCGGAACTAAGATACGACTGGCGGAACTCGTTATTGTGAGCCAATAGAAAGTTATTGAAAAGTCCTTATCAGTGCGTTGCACGCATGCACAATAATGTGTGTGAGTTCTGTCTCTCTATAAATGTGCAAACAAATTTTTTGTCCGGAATTCGCTCTCTGTACGTCAAAGGAACAAGGACAAGTGAATCTGTACACTGAAAGCGTCTCAGCACTGATTCGAACAACTGCCGCATCTTAACGTGAACTGGACTTAATTGATGACTGCTGTACACTTTTGGAGAATAACCACATTGTTCATTTGCACGCTCGCCTTGTAACTTCTGATGTGATGGTTGCAGACTTGATAAATAGAAGTGGAAATCGCCTACACATTGAGAGATTGAGTGTAGAAGCATCGAGCTCAGGTGTAGGAGCCGGAAGTTTTAGCAGCGATGACAACGAGATAACTCCCGCGGTCGAGCACGCAGGGCTTGTAAATAGCGGTACCGAAACTGAACCGTAAGTACTGTTTCTAGCTGAACTGATCGTTTCAACATACATATTTCTGAAGGCGATATGCATTTCTGACCACTTTGTTTGATAGACACAAAAAGCCGTAGGATGCAGTATTCGTTGTGTGCAAATTTGATCGGCTCATCTCTTTCTTAACTAAAAATTGACTTTATTGTATTCAGTCCTTGGTGATGCCTCTTAGTTGATAACAAGAGGCGAAACATGTGCACAGGACTCCAGGGCCCAGTAAATATAAAGGAAGTCTACAAGCTGTGGGTGTTGTTTCAGCTGTCTTGAGCATTGCTGCAGCCGCTGCATTAGCAGTAACCCTTAAAAGTGGAGGAACTGACGCCCTTCTTTCCACCGTATCGAGATCTGGGTTCCCTGCAGCATTTAGTTTGATCTTCGTTTCTGAGATCGGTGATAAGGTCAGCAAATCTACACATGAATTTTGATTCCCATTCTTAGCGCCGTTGCTTCAATTCTTCCTTCCTTTGCTCGACCTCTGTTTCTTGCACCGCGCGTTGCATGCACTCTCTGCCAACCGATTAGAAGTTTACCTCAACTATGAATGGTAGGTTTACAGTTCATCTGGTTGTTATCAACTGACATCTATCTCCTTCTGGTTTTGCAGACTTTCTTCATTGCAGCTCTATTGGCAATGCGACACAACAAATGGCTGGTAGTAGTCTTACATTACACCATCAATTGGATGTAGTCCTGGAATAGAACTTGAGTCTTGTGCACAATAATACATCAACAAGCGTTTATACAACTTGCTGGAATGCTTAGACAGGATCTGGTTACTCAGCTTGGGTCGGCCTCAGAAATATTTCAAGCAGTTTTATCTCTGCAGTTTCACTTGTCAGTTTGCTGTTATCATTGCGGAAAAAATTTGTTTGGTAAAGCACCAGTTCTAGGTCCATCTCGCATCGAATCATTGATGTGTTTCCATCAAGTAAAAAAATTTCAAAACCTAAGCCTGGCATCTTCTGTCGTGGAAACTTGCTTGAAGTTTGCAGGTACTGTTGGGGGCATCAGGAGCATTATCTGTGATGACCGTGATATCAGTGGTCATTGGTAGACTATTCCGGAAAGTTCCAGCATCGCTACAAACAAGTAAGTCACTTTTCCCGAGTTGTAATCTTTTGAGCATTTGTCCCTGTCAACGTTCGAATCTCCCACCGCCTTATAATCTACCTTCAATGTTCACGAAAGGGCCACGAATAACTATGACCGTTGCTTCACCAGGCCGGGTAATAATGAGTGTGAAATAGGAATAGGTTACGAGAAAGTGCAATTTTAGTTTGTTCGAGGAATGAATAAAGCGAGGCCTTGATTTGGACGTCGTTCTTTTTCTTTATTTGTGTACACAGCACTTCCGGTTGGAGAATACGCTGCAGTAGCCCTTCTTCTCTGGTTTGGATTGCGCTCAATTAAAACTGCTTGGGATATCCCCTCGGCTGGTTCCAAGAATGAAGAACCCCAAGAGATGGGAGAACTGGCTGAGGCAGAAGAATTCTTGAAGCAAGTTGAGGTGAGTGTCTTGGGCTACATGTCCAGTTCCACAATGCTGGAAAACTTGGCTTTTTCTTTCTACCGGTCTTCATGCATTGTGTGTTAACTCTTCAGTTTAATCTAAACACTCTTCAACTGTGCAGGATAAGAAAATTAGCACCCCCCTGGAAGTTTTGGGAGAGGCATTTAGTCTTATCTTCGTCGCGGTGAGTTGCGATTCTCTTGCAAGTGTGCCTGTTGTGACAGTGTGGCTTTAAACTCATCTCTTTCTCCTTAAGTCCGAGCACGAATGCATTTCTTCATTGCGTTGGCTCGAATTTACTTTGCGATCAAATTGTTGCAGGAATGGGGAGATCGATCTATGTTAGCGACTATTGCCTTAGGAGCTGCTCAGGTGAGACTCCGGTTGCAATCACAGTCTTCCACATGAATTCCAATTCGAAAATCATCTGATATGAATCGAATACATCTGATAATTGGCTTCGCACTAGCCCCTTAGGAGATTTTGTCAGTTGTGCAACAATGGAAAGTGCTCAGTGAATGTGCGTTCTTACTCTTCTGATTGCCTTGCAATAGTCTCCTTGGGGTGTTGCATCCGGAGCTATTGGTGGACATGTATTGGCGACTCTTCTAGCAGTCGTTGGAGGAGCCCTGCTTGCCCGATATCTTTCTGAGAAAATGGTAAGATTTAGTCACTTTGCTCAAGGGACGAGTGAACTTACACTTTGTAATGTAAACTTACAATATGGACTTATACTTGTACGATGATCAGTCATCAGTTTATTTCCAAATTATGTAAGTATAGATGCTAAGATTTAGCCAAGTTCTGCACGAAATTTGCTACTATAACTACGATCAAATTGCGTTTGATTTCAGCTCACTTCTTAACTGGATGAAAATTGTTGTCCTACCCGCGTTTCCTGATCAGATCACGCTGGTTGATTGCCATGTAATTGCTTCTGTCACAGATGTCGCGGTAATTGACACTTCTTGTGTTTGGCGCAGATTGGTTACTTTGGAGGGTTCCTATTTCTAGGGTTTGCTGCAGCAACATTGGCTGGAGTGTTCTAGCTGTATTGAAACCAAATGAATATATCACCTGTTTAATATGGAGGTGCCGAGTCTCTATGCATGTCCACGAGCATTGCGCTCCAACGCATATTCCTGAAGGAGAAATGATGTACCCATTTAGATTGTATTGCCAGCAGCAGATTGAAGAAGAATGTAATTTTTGGTTAGCAATCCTACGTTCTTCATGTACTTTGCCTGGATGTATCACCACCTCGAAAAAATATCCCAAATTGTTTTATTTTGCTCGGTGTCTTGTGGGTTGTCTATCAGTTTCTCGCAAGAACCAACTCATATGGCAACCATCCTTTCTAACATCATTCTTTTAGATTTATTTTGTTTCTTATGGAAATACAGCCACACTGTAAAGGATATATTCGACTACGACTTACAAACCGTTGAGATGATTTTGCTTTCGTTCTGCGCCACTGGCAGTTCCTGCATGCCATGTTGCATTTTAGGAAAGTAGTATGAGTTCACACTTCAGTGCGAACCGAAAACCTCACTGAAATCTTGTCTTTTGTTTACATGGATCTCTTATCTCTTCTTGTTCTACGAGTTCTTCTTCTTCCTCTGTCTAGCTTTCGGCCTACTGCCGTGTACAATGTTGATGATTACATGCTTGAAAGTTGTACTATACAGTTGTGCTTGAGATGAATACAGTAAGTAATTATGTGTTCCCCGAGTTTAACGTGTACCTCGTGATGGATATTGACACCGGTAGACTGATGGGTCCCAATTAACAAACTAGATTGATTGTTACTGGACTGAATATGAAATCAATAGGCAGGGACAAATAGCCCTCACCCATATGAGTTGAATTTTTGAAGTTTTCGAGAGTGTGACCCATAAGAAGTAAAGTGTGTACACGATGCAATAAAGTCCTTGAAACTGAAGACTCCATCTTCTATGTCGCCATTTTTACCACCGCAGAGAATCCTCACCTTTAATGAATTCTTCGCAATTCGCAACGTTTGACAAAAGATGTGTAACGAGCACTTGCTGGGAGAAGCAGATCTGCCCCACAAGGGAACAACATTGCATCATGTCCAGGTGTACAGTAACAGAATAACAACTATTTGTACAGGAACTGCCTGTATCGAAGAGTGCTACTTGGCGTCCCACGTCAGCAGTGCCAGTAGTGGTCAACGCTGCATTTCGTCCGTGGGACAAGAAGGAAACTACAAAAAGGACAAAAAATATATCTATGGGGGATTATAATTGCTCGATAAAATGCTTACGACTACACACCCCCATACTTGCGCTTTCTATCTGTGTGAGATGCGCTGAAAACGTTGGCACACGTGCTTGGTATATATGCAAACCTTAAAGATGGATTCTACGTCATCTGAAACAAAACGAGGCATAATGTGCTAATATTCAGCGATATCTACTGTACGAGATAAATAACAACCTATATCTACTTACCAGATCTAGAAAGAACAATATCATAAAGTCCAAGAGAAGTAACAAATTTTATGAATAGAGTAATACACAAATTCTGGCTACTAACTACCTCGTAATAATCACTCCGCGTGACAATCCATGAGTTCGTCGTAGCTCAGTTGGGATGCCACTGTATCTGAGTATCAGCTTTACTCTCGGAGATCTGGACGATTTCGGCTCGCAAGATCCTAACATTCCAAAGTTTTAAATTGTAAAATAAAGAATATAACTCTGTTTGCCTCTTATGTATCAATCTATGACCTCTCTTTTTTGAGAAAAAACTTCTACTCTTTTCTCGGGCGGTTCACTTGAGAATGAGATTTCTTCTTTTGTCTGGTACAGGAATCTCGAGCAGATTTCAGCCCGTTTGAGCTTTACACATTGCATGCAACAAGAAGAACCTCATAAAAGATACGATCTATTAAGCCAACCTTGTATTTGCTCATAATGAATATAAGAACGTTCAATGTCGAGAGGAGGTAAGATTTAGGCAAATTAAGCGGGAAGACAAGTTTGGTTAATGCACGCACAAATAAACAACAAACAATATTGTGGTGAAATGGACGCGGAGATGAACGATGAAGTGTTAAGTGCAAACTTGTTCGGCAGCAAAATCCACATCACACTGCTTGCAACGACAAGGGTATGATTCACAGATGGAGCAAACATGGATGACGGAGTTCTCTCAAGAGTTCAATGTTCCGAAAGCCTTCCGAAGTCTTAATCCAACTGTAGACAAACAGCAAGTTTCATGAGGGGAGAAGCTTCCGTAAGCGAAAGCTGTAATTTATTGCCGTCCACTTGTACAGCGGAGAACGATGTGACTGAAGGCCGGTCGTGGAGGCCGAAGTTCTGATGGCTCGAAAGCTCTCACTCGCCCACCGGCTCCAGCGTTCCAGCCACACGTTTCGACAAGCTCGCTGGACCGGCGGAGCATATTGGGGGAATATTTGGAATGTATGGAATATTTGGGGTCGTCCTCGGCGACCGGGGAGGCGAAAAGATGAATTTGCCGTGGAGAATTGACATCCTGGACCGTGGCCTGCAGCCGCAGCGCTCAGAAGCGAGCGCGCCGGTGGACCCAATCGTTCTCGAGATTGACCGCTGCCTCTATCTTCTCGGACGTCAAGATACGACCCAGCAGACGTTGGGACGAAGAAGAAGTGTGTGGGCCCGCGGCCTCCGGGATTTTAGCTGCGCCCTCGCGGGAGCCCGCGCTCCCCGCGAGGAAGTGCGAGGCGCGGATCGGATCCTTGCATCTCCGAACTTGTGACATGCGCGATCCCAAGCGCAGCTTTACAGCGCGGGTGCCGAGAGGCGCTGGTGGACCATAATGTGGCTGCTCATATAGTTCTCATCAACGCGCGGCGCCATCACTCCGAAGCAGTTGGCTAGAAGTTGGTCAGAGCTGGATATAGAATAATAGTCGCCTCCGGCACCTTTCGTGCGCATCGGACCGGAGGGGCCCGGAGACGAGGCGTTCGTTCGTCAGTTGCGAGTCGCCGTCGTTGCCGGTAAGCCAAATATTTAAGCCGTGAATCCAGCGGCCCTCTTGAGCGCCCGAGAATTTCCAGCATAATGTCTCGTACCTGCTTGCGTTCCTGCCTCGCCTCACAAGATGTAAACGTGTGCCCGGGTGTTCTGCTCTCACATTGTCGTCTCTGGACTGCGAGTGCGAGTGAGGATAAGTTGAAAAAAAAATATAGAATTCGATGTGCCATTTTTACCATTTTTTTGCCATTATTTGTAACCCATCTGGATTTTGGCACCTCTGGTTGTACAGATTTTGATCGCGAGATATTAAATTCGACTAGCCACTGCACCTGATCGGAAGTGTCCTGCTAGAGTCTGGCTGCAAAATTGACTCACGTACTTCTGAATAAGTCGGATTATTAGTACGCAGCGTTCGAGAGACTGTGAGCCTGTAAGCGGACAGGCACTTTTGAGCTGCAGTGTGGCGTGAAAAATGTGGGAGCAAATTGTGGTTGCAATCTGATCTTCTAGAGCTCAGTGTCTCATTCGCCAAGTGGTGAATTCAAAGGGTGGGATAGTTAATGAAAAGGCTCCTCTTCCTACCCGAGATGCTGTAATTCAGCACACGGCTCTGTTATCTACTCTAGCATTTAAGAGGCGTGACCGTCCATGTTGCCCGGTGCGTCTCCACTAGCTGTGCAACAACTGCACAGGTCAATAGCATGGTGTGTTTCCCACATGCCAATCAGCAGTCCTCCCGTTGGTCTCTCTCGCTTTCCCTGTTTCCGGAAGGATTCTGAATTCCACGGTGGTGTCCAGCCGAGTTTCCAGGCCTGGACTACTCTTCTGAATGCATGGCCTGGTATGAGATTTTTTGAAAGGAGGAGAAGACCCGGTTCTAAGCTGATGGCGTGCATGGCAAGAAACGAAGATGTTCCGGCGGATGGTGAATGTCCGAACTTTGGTACGATTCTTCTTCTTCTTTCAATTGGTCACCGAATATTCACAGAAAATGCAGGTACCTAGGCCTTAATCAGGAGCGAACCGGATCCGCTCAGCTATTCTTAGGAATCGCAATGAATTGCTGCACAGCGCACAAGCATTGCTTGCCAACTGAAATGGAAACGATTGAAATGCTTGAAAGAGTGTATAAAATTATCTGTGAACCTCTGTTGTCAGGCCACTTGAGCTGCACTGCACTTTCTTTCCTATAAAATGTGTTGTTATTTTTGTGGATGAGCACACAAAGGCTGTTGTGCACGTAGAATCATATATTTCTCCTTTCATCACGATATACAAGCAGGCTTCTGCCGCTGCTTCTCAATAATAGAGCTGTTACAAGGAGCTTACTGATTGTCCCAACAGGTGTAGCCGCGCAGAAAAGGCCAATATTCAGCGGAGAAATCGATAAAAAACTGGAATCGATCGTGTCTTCCATGGAAGAATATGGGACCAACGGTATTGGACCGAAGCATGACTATCATACCCTGGCCCGACCTCAAGGGTGGATCCGCCCTGTGGATCGGACTAATCAGATATTCTGCAACCGGTCACTTAATATGAAGAGCATTGTGGCGGTAGGATTTGACATGGACTACACTCTCGCACAGTATAAAGCGGACACGTTCGAAACTCTTGCCTATGTAGGAACGGTCAAGAAACTAGTATACGACCTGCATTATCCAGAGGAGGTTGCACTCTGAAACCCTTCAAACCTTTTCAAATTCTCTTCGTAGCTCAGCCCCTTCGCAGTTTCCCATTGTTTCTTTGTTTCTCGATAAAAATTTCTTAAACTCTCAGAGAATGTGCAGCTGCTGGATTGGAAATTTGACTGGAGGTACATGGTAAGGGGTCTTGTGCTTGATAAGAAAAGAGGCAACATACTGAAGGTATTACCTCGCCGAACATTATACATTAATGCATTCACTTCTGCGACTCTCTGCTTAGGCTCTAACCAATCAGCCATGTGCAGAAGCATTGGGTTTTCTTGCAAATACTCTTAGGCACTGTATCCACTATGGTATGAGGATGTAACACACACGGAATTCATGTGTCGGTTGAACAGTCATGAAGTATTGCAGGCTAACACATGGTTTGCCTTTGTCAGATGGATCGACATAAATATGTGAAGGTTGCATATCATGGTTTCAAAGAAATGTCCAGAGATGACAGGCAAGCAGCATATGGCAGCACTCTGTCTCGAGAATCTTTTGACGAGCCAGATTATGCCCTTATAGACACCTTATTTTCCCTGGCAGAAGCTTATTTGTTTGCACAGGTTGTCGAGCTGAAAGACTCTCACCCTGAAAGAATACCATCAGGCGCCGAGTATGATACGATTCTCTACCTTTGGTTTTCTAAAACAATTCGTTATTATAATCTGTTGAGTTAGTGCTTCCTCGAATACTGTATTGTGGTAAAAATGAACTAACATATCCCTAAATATTCCAGTTATGCCCAAATTTACCGGGATGTTCGGGCAGCTGTTGACTTGTGCCATAGAGATGGCACCTTGAAGCAAGCTGTGGCCAACAATCCTTCAATGTAAGTCAATGTCATCGCGCATCGATTTTTTTAAAACTGTATGCTTGTTAGAGTGGTTCAGGCATAGTGCTGTGCACATTGCCTTTCTCTTTATTTCCAGCCATAATCAGAGCATCGCTGATTACACGACCTCGTTCGTCAATTTCACGGATTATAATCTCAACAGTTATTTATCTTCTCTTTTAATATTCTATCCCTGTACTGTCAAATGATAATCTTATATGCTGAAGAAAGGAAGATTAATGGAGCATCCTTGTGAGCGTTTCACCCCACTAGTATTAATCTTCGACGGATGTTCCCATTTTCAATGAATTGAGCAGGTACATTTATGAGGACCCGAAGTTGGTCCCGATGCTCAGGATGCTCAGGGAGTCCGGTCGTTTGACGTTTCTAGTGACAAACAGGTAGAGAACGCGTGTTTTGTCAAGATTTGAATCACCTGACAAATGGGAGTTTAGGTGGCGTTATTGGTGCAAGAGAGAAAAATTGTCCCAAATAGCCGATGAATGGCGCTGCTTATCCATCGGAAAGAAGTTTGCATATTCTTGTTCTTCCTTGAACCACCTGACAGACTGAGTTTGCGTTTTATTTTGCAGTCTATGGGACTACACGCATGTAGTTATGAACTTCCTTTTCGGCAAGTGTGGAACAAAAGGTGGAGTTCCCCGTGATGACGAGTGGCTTAGCTATTTCGATATCGTTATCACTGGCAGGTGTGTTATTTGCTCTCTTCGTGTGTTTCTCCATATTAGAAGCTTTTAAGTAACAAGATTGTACATTACACTCGCAGTGTTTAACAATATCATACTCTATTTATGTACAGGCTTCGAGAGGCTTAGATTGTACCACCTCGCCACAGACCTAGTATTCTTTTGATATGGATTGCTTCCGCTACGCTTTGCTTGCTTATATTTGCAATTGGAGTCATAGTTTTTCTGTACCAACATTTCTTCATTGCATCTGTAACTTTCATGCTTCTTCTCAAACATTCCCTTAAGAGTAGAAACCATCTTAAGCGTACTGTTTGATGACGAACACGTTAGACGATGGGACAGGCTCTGAGGTCCATCTTCCACACGTTTGTGATTTTTACGAGAAGGTGCTTGAACCTTTTGGCGGTGTATTCTTCTGAACTTCTCGTCCATTTCTCCCTTTGTACGGTGTAATGACCTGCCCCTCGTATTTTTATGGGTTGATAGCATCTTCTTATAATGAGTAACAAGAAAGTTGAGATTTGCCTGCCTTTTATCTTTCGGAATCTTCTAGCTTACACAATTTTTTTAGAGACTGTCTCATTGACTACTAGACCTGGGTTGCTACTTCTTTAGCTTACCAAAATTAAGTGATGTCATGAACGCACCCAGGCTTAGTCTTCTTGCTTATAACTCCTCTGCTCTAAAAATCACACTAAAAAGCTTTTGGGCTTATCAGTCTACAGTTTTTCGTCAGCATAGTTTCTCAAAGGCTTCTCTGGTTACCGATTATATTCAGCCTTTTCACGAGGAATTTGTAGCTGCGACTGGATTGTGAATCGGCTGGAAGAAACTAAAGAAAAGGAGGAACTTGCTTGGCATCGGTAGACTAGAATTCGCGTCCTCATATCGCCAGCGAGGGCACGGGATCTATGGTTCGATTGCGGTTATTATTGCATTACTTTATGGTCTCTGGACAAACGTACGATGTTCATCGTGTGCGTTGTTTCTTGTAAGCAGCGCCAAGCCTGCATTTTTTATGGAGAGTAATCGTGCGCCTCTACTCGAAGTCGATCTCAAATCGGGAATGATGCTCAATACTGACAACGGCAGCCCTCTAGCTCAGGTACAAATTACCGATGGACACCAAACGCCAAACTGAATATTTTTTTTGTCTGCAATATTTTCCAAGGTATACAGTTTCTATCGTGCGAAGGAATCTACACTTGTTCTCTATCCACTTTTTACTGTAGGAAGAGACCTCTTTAATTTATGTTTTCTTCTTATTCCAGATAGGAGAGTCGACTGTGGACACTCAAACGTGTCTAAATGACAGACCTGGCAAAGCATGCAGAGTGTTTCAGGTAAGGTCCTCTGACACCAACTCGACTGTAAGAATACCTCGAGAAATAGACATTCATAGTTATAGGAATTCTATAACAATCTACACACCACCAAAACCTTCGTGGCATCACACTTCTCTGAACTCAAACATGAAATCTACACCTCTATGTGGAGTTCACGTCTATAGAGATTGTTTCCCAACATGTGTACTCGTCTGGTTGGTCGGTTGCTTGAATGATACAGCGGTTAAACAAAGGAAAATAGAGTTCAATCTACGTAATTCTTCAAGGAGCACTATTTTTTTGTGAACTTTTATATAGATGATTGACGAGGGTATTCTGTTTTCTAATATCAGAAATCTTTTAAGGTCAAGAATCTGATTGTATCTGAACTTGTATCTTTATTGAGACCAGGCCCTTGTTGTAGATATAGAAGTAGTCTTAAAAGAAATCTGAAGCTCGCTGTGTTATCAGGGAGGAAGTGTTACACATCTACACAAACTGCTCGGCATTGAGGCCAGCGCCCAGGTATTAAAGATTGCGATTGTAGTCAGTTCTATCGACTTTTTTCCTTATTCATCATCATATGTTTGGGTTATCTACAGGTTTCCTTCCCCGGTTTTATTCATCCACTGAAATCAGCTGTTTTCTCTAATTTCAGGTGATGTATGTCGGAGATCATATATACGGGGATATTTTGAGAAGCAAGAAGGCTCTGGGTAATATAGACTAAACTAATAGACAATCAGTTTTAAATTTTGAAACCTCTCGCTCACCCGCACTCGTAGTCTGCTCAATAAGTTGGTAGCCTGGGCTCGTCAGCTAGACAAAAGCCAGTTGACCGTCGAGATCACATAAACCAACTTCACTGTTGTTTGTGTGACACCTTGGAAACAAATTTCCTTTAATGAATTGCTTTTATCAATTACACCGTACTGCTAAGAGTTTTTTTTTCATCGAGTTTAGGTTGGAGAACGATGCTTGTGGTACCTGAACTTGAAAAGGAGATGGAGCTTCTGAAAGATACAGCTGAGCTTCACAAGGTAATACCATGCAGATATGGCCTGAAATTTCAGCTGTTTGGACTCACAACCAGACTACTTGACAGGGCGCGATGGTTCTCAGGCTATGAATGACATAGAGTGATGTGTACGCTTGTATATCATCTGTTTCAACGAGCACCGGGCACCTAGGGTGCGCGTTTCTATCGTTTCCAGACATTGTCAGGCAATGAGCAATTTATGCAGTTGTAGTGCAGAGTGCCACCTTCAATATGCGTAAAGAATCAAGTATTATAATATTGCCCGAATTGTGTGAAACAGGAAGTCCAGATATTGCGTCAACTGCGTGATACATTGGAAGACACGTTGCAACAGTTGCTCTGGCAAGTGCAGTAAGTATAAACTCGTCATGACCTCTTTTATATGGTTGGAATTTTTTATTGTGAGCAAAGTGTTTTGAAAATCTGACTGACTTCGAGATTTTAAGAACATTAACCTAAGGATGTGTACTATGTTTAATGCAATAAATCGCTGCTCCTCTCAACAAGGTGTTGTAGAATTGCCAGGCAATAATTATCAGCTGCTTGTCTGTTAAACGTGTTGTACAAATTTAGATTTGGAGAAACGGCTGAAATGAGGAAGGCAGCACAATCTGAGATTGAACCAGTCCAGGTGAGGTCATCACTAAATGGCCTTGTTTTCATTTCACTTCCTATTCGGAAGTGAAGTGAAGCGAAGCGCGGGCCTGTTTTCATTTCATTGTCCGGTATTCCTCTTGTCAAAACAAAATGTGAACAGTAGCATTTGAGAATATCATCGAGACGTTCACTTGCCATTCTTCTAGCTAACAGCAGTAGAATCGAGTGGGCCTTGTGCAGACTCGGAGGGATAGGATCAGGGAACAACATCGTTTTGCTCAAAGGGAGTGCCATCATAGGGTAAGTATTAACCTCGCGTACTCGTCCTTCGTATTGGTTGCTATGTTAAGTACATCTTCAGGCGTGAAGTACATATCTCAGTTTTCATTTTTGTTTAAATTTTTTGTGTTTATAACCTCATTTGTACCTGGTTTCCTTGGAGAACCTTAAGTATATGAGAGTGGTACGATGATGTAGTTTCATAAAGTGTGGGGTCAACTGATGAAGACGGGCTATCAAAATTCGCGCTTTGGCCACCAGGTGGGAGTTGATCCTTTTTTAATTAACTTCCATTATTTTCTTTCTCTCCAAGCCTCAGTCTTTAATTTTTTAACTGTAATGTGTATGAAGATTGATATTTTGCGGGTTGGGGTGTCTGGGTATAGGTGGAACGATTTGCGTGCCTGTACACGAGCCAAGTTACCAATCTCTGCCATTATTCACCAGATAAACTGTATAGACCAACTGAGGACTACATGCCTCACGAAATGGATGTGCTGAATATGTAGATAGTCAGGTTTCAGTTCTTTAATTTGTCCAATGTATAGATTGTCCTGTAGGTTTCCAAAATCGATCAAAAAGTAATCTCTTCCAATGTTAGCGACAGAGAAGGTTACTGGAGATGGAATATATGGAATTTCTATTTGTGTACAGAACTATTGATTACAACGCAATCAGGCGTTTCATGTAGAAGTTCTCATTTATAGGTGGCAACTTAGAAGAATGTCCAGGGCGTCAGTTGTGTCGTATAAAAGCCTGTAACTATGCAATGAAGTAATTCACTTGCAAGAATGGAGTAGTATTCTTCACTAAGTGGTTGAACGTAGAAACAGCCTCGTAGTTCTGACTGTATGTCTACACCAGTATCATGTTTACTGAGTTGTAGAAGTAGTCAACTATCCTTGTTACAACTCTTACACTAAATTATTATTCATCACGATGCGTTTATACTGATATCGAACGAGTGTATGCAACAATACTGGTTAAAACTGTAAATTAATTTGGTATCCCTCGATTTCATTATTTGCAACCTCCGATCTTCTTATATTATGAAAGAGAAGCGAGGATGGAATGGGGAATGAATAACCACATCTCCTTACAGAACTTGTTTTTTATACCGTGTGATCGGTGGGTTGTGCGTGGTGGAAAAGCGCAAGTGAAGATTTCTAATGGCTTCATGATCTAGAACCGCCGAACTCAAACCAAATCTGAATGTGCAATTGTGAGAAGCTATGAACCTTGACAAGGACGAAGAATCAAAAAATTAAAATCATGACGCGACTGGCAGAGAATTCTCCATTTGGGATGATCTATGTGACTTCATTCTCTGTCATATGAGGTCAGAGAAATGGCAGATATGGAGTATAAAGAGCAGTGAAATCTCTTCAACCCAAATCAAAGCCCCGAAGAAAACTTTAAACGGTTGCTAAGGGAAAAGAAGTTGCCTACTTTCTATTGTGACAAATCACTGTGTCTCCTACTTTGTCTCTATCGTCTCCTAAATGTAGATCTCCTAATAGCATGGCGATAAGTGAGACAAGGAATAAATATCATCAATCAAAATTACAAGCCACAAGTATTGAGCTAGATAAATGTCCGTCAATACATATATCATTTATACTCGATCAAACCCCTAAACAAACCGTCCAGTTCTCAGCCAAGCGCTTCTTGTATCTTAATGGCAGTATATTAAGATATCTACCTCAAGCACTCCCCATACTTGCAAATGTTAGCAGCATAACTCGTCTTTACAGCTCACCGCGCGTGATGTCAGTATTTTCATCGAAGCAAAGAGCTGATATAACCTCTACAAGCGAATAACACAAACAAAATTATAATGAAAAAAACCTGTGTGCATACTATTACAATGCTTAGAATTTCTAGCTACTTCAAGAACTCAATCTCAGTTGTGATGGAAAATGAGGATTTTTAGTGGATATGTTTAATAATGTGGGACTCACATTGAACTAACATCTCCGCTAATGACACCCCCAATTTTAAATTTTAATTTTAATTTTGATGTCAATATGGCTACTTTTAACGATTTATACGATTCAACGATTTATATTCATGAAGTTTCGCATTCATTCCATATTAATAATGTTCATTTTTAATAGTGCTTTCCATCTAACCAATCAGAGCGCGAGAAAAGTGCGCATGGGTTCTTTAAAATTTGAGGTGAGTGGTGAATAGCGAAGTGAATGGTGACTCGAGGTTCCCAAAATCAAATTGTACATATCCAGGCATGGTTCTATTAGGCGACCGTATATACGGTCGCCTAAATTATCTAAACTTGATGGTGATTAGGCGACTAAATTAAGGGAGTTAAGATTTGGCGTGTACATGTTATAAGCAATGGAGAGTGGACACGTATGTAGAATTGATGGATTTTTTTTAAAAAAAATTATACATTAATGGAATTTTTTTAGAAAAAAAATTTGAAAAATTTTTACTTTGAAAAAAAAGTTTAGTAAACTAAATTAGCCTAAATAAATTTTTAGAAATTAAATTGATCTAAATTACCTTTTAAGTGTATAGAAAATTAGCCTAAATGAACTTTGTAAGGAGACTAAATTCGCCTAAATTAATGTTTTTGAATAGACTAAAGTAAGTTTTTCGAGGAGACTAAATTATACGTATTTCGGTGGGAGACTATTATATCCATGCCCGTACATATCCCAAGAAGCAGAGCGACTCCCTAAAATGTCCAATGTTCAGGCGCAGTTCAAACTGCAAGGCACAAAGACCCGGACAACCAAGAGCACAAAGAGATGGTAGTTTGATACAATTTTGCAGTACTCTTCTCACTATGTTACCAAACAATGCATCTTGTCACAATTAATGAATATTAATCTCACTATCAAATGTTATTTATGGATAAATATTGAGAATAAATGAACATCTATAATGTGAATTTTAGAAATTCTAAGACTACAATTGCATGCACACAGCGAAGAGAACAATGAAAAGAAAGATCTTGATATATGTTATTGTATAAATGAATTAGTAATAGAATTTATCAAAATTAAATTTAGCTATAATATTTTTAATTGATTTATTAATCAAAATAATTTTAGAAAATTTAAGTGAACATTGTTAATTTGATTTTTATCAAAATTGGGAATTCAATGAGAATAAATTTTGATTACATTTTAATAGGTTTAATCAAATAGTGAAAAAATCATTGATTAAAATAAATCTAAAATTGATTTTGTATTAAATGAAAATTTTAAATTTTTCGGATAATGACATGACATTTTTATGTAATGTCACTATCTCAAACTAAGGACAAACCAATTTGTAGATAATTCAAATACTCTAATTCGCGGAATTCTGCAATTCACACTAGATATCGCATTTCGCTGCGTTCTTCATTGTTGCGGGAGCCAAGATATCCGTTGTTGAGAGTCTTAAGTTTTTTTTCTCTTCTCAAAGGGCAGATGACATGTTTTTACGTAATGAATATTAGTTGAACTAACCATAGTTTATTTTTTATAAAATTAAACAATGATTATCATACTATCTATCAAGTAAGTTTCAAGAATTCATTGTATAAGAACTTGTATTACTAAGAAGTTTCAGTCATACTATCATATTAGAATGTCGATGGTGTTTGGAATTGAGTGATGAATTGACAAATTGTGTGAAAAATTGATTGGAATACAGGCATGTAGATTACTCATTTTTTTCTAGAACAATTATAAAGTACCACAAATTCATATGAGTTAAACTTGAATGAGAATCAACCAGAGATCATGCTTCTGAAACGAACTATTGATAAACAATGACATAGAACCTAACAGAGACGAATTATATCCCAATGTATTGTCATCCAACACAACAACATTCGCGGTGTATGCTATGCCCAGGAGACAATTCATTACTGTATAGATAATGTTAAGTGCAACAAGTTTGCTACTCGCACTAAATAATACAGTTGAACTAGTCAACACTTTAGCCAAAAACCTATAACCATTAGTTCTGACAAGCTTTAACTATAAGAATTTCTCACATTCAAACAAATATAATTTGGTCTGTGTACCCTTAGATTATTTTTCAATGTTTTTCATTTTTAAATGTTGAAAAATGTCTCATGTCTTCTTATCTTTGTAAAAAAAAATAAAAAGAAGTACTTTTTCTTTGATTGAAAATTATTCCAAAAAAAGTGCATGAAAAAATTTCTAAGAAGTTAGATTTAGAAATTTTTCCTTAATTGTTATATAAAATCGGAAATTTTGTAAGTTACATATTACGAAATCTATTATGATCATTTTACTCTGCCCGTAATATTATATGATAATACTCATGGGATCATAAGAAGACTTTTCATGGATCTGTCAAACATTGCTTGAAACTCATGTAAAACCTTATTGTTGAAAAAAATCTTCAATAGATTTTAATTCACATCCTTTATTTCATTTGTGAAATATTTTTTCCATCCTAACGGAGTCTGACTTCGGGCTCAGTCAGGAGGTTAAAATTGAAGGTTATCACAATATGCCGATTGAGAAATGTGGCGACTGGTGTCAATGACATTGCACTTGACAACGCGGCCCTAGAAAAAAGCAAAAGGAGAGGATATGGAAGAACAAAATTGAAACGTTTGCTTGCTTCTGGCGGCATGTGTGGCCCTGGAGCTTTTATGGCAGAACTTTTCGCGAAGATTTGCTGCTCGGTGCCAGGAAGAGCAGGAACGCTACATCATCTGCGTTCCGGATATGCAACCTGCTGCCCGCGGGAGGCGAGAAATGGAAAGCGAGAAAAGCAAAAGGTGCGGTTTTAGCAGCTCTCCAGTCAGCATACTGAATAATGCCGACTATGCCCAATCCTATTTGACTTGACCCTTCCTCAGGCCGGATGTCGGCGGGTATCATATTTCCTTGCGCGGTCTCAATGATAGACGTTGCAATTCTTCCAGTGCAATCATAAATATCACATACACATCTGCTCAAACCTTGCCACAAAGCCTTTGAATCGTGAAGAGACATTAGTCAAATTATAGACTATGAAAAATATGTTTGTTGTTTTGGTACTATCAATTTTAAATTTTATTTTATTTACTATAAACATATCTTTTGAATACATTAATGAATAAAAATTATAATAGATTATATTATGATGATATATTCACAAATTATTTAAAATAATTATATTTATTTATGAATATTTCAAGATGTAATAATTATATATATAACTTTTTAGAAGATAAATATAATATATTCATCATAAAAATATATGATAATACATAAGAGAAATAATTCAGACATATTTACATATAATGCTTACAAATTTGTCATGTGAAGATTTTATTTATATAAAGACATAATTCTAAATAATAAATTCACTAATAAATTTTAAAAATATATTTTCAATAATTTTTATGTTTTAATAAAAAGTTTATTATTAACATTATAATTAAAAATTATAAAAGAAATTTAAATAAGATAAATAATATGCTGAATATTAACATAAGAATTATAAAAATATTTATTTATAAATTATATAATAAATATAATAATCATTACATAAAATTTAGTAAAAATATAAAATTATCTTAATAAATATATTCGATTTCGTATATATAATTTTTTAAATTATTATAATTATAAATATATCGACTTGTATATAACATGTTAAAAATAATATAAAACACTATAGACGCTATATAATGATTCTTTAATGATTGATATTCAATCTTAGAAACATTATAATATATAGGGAGAATGATGACTCACAACACTAATTCCAAATCGTTCTAATTTTAACGTCAAATAAGTAAAAAACGCTATCACCGTTTGGGCCAAGTGAAGTTATGAGAATGGCTGTGACACGGGTCATTTTTCTTCTACATGCGTCACCTACCAGATGCGGAATTATTCCAAATGTGGCACCGGTTCGCGCGTTAATATGTTGGGCGTGTACACGGTCGATTTGAATTCGAGCACATGGCAGTGATGGCGAGGGGTCTGATGAACATCGACTTCCTCCAATGCACTGAGAATTTGCCAATGAGCGGCATCATGGAGCTCATGACCATGAAGTATCCGCGCAGCTGAGAAACTTTAGCGTTTGTGCAGTTGAGGGCGCTATCTCGTCTGCAAGCTTCGCGATTTCGTGAGAAGGAGATCGGATAGAATGTCGAGCGTCTTCTGTCCGATTTGCTATGACTCTGTTGATGTCCTTCACCAACATCTCGAGTCTGTGGTTGGATGTGGTCATGTATTTCATGGCGGCTGGTGAGTTGAGGAGATTGGATTTCAGTTCCGTACTGTATTTGGAATCGATTGATTTCGGTTGACAGACCATGTTAAGTACGTTGGTGATGAGTGAAAGTCGTCGCGATGTGTTCGGTGTGAATTATGCAGCCTACAAGAGTGGGTCAGGCTCTCGCCTGTGAGCCCGACGTGCCCACTTTGCAAGGCACGCTGTGGAGAGAGAGAGCGTCAGCGGCTGTTCTTCCAAGCGTCTTCTGAATCCTCCCAGCGGTCATCACCAACAACTTTATCTCCAAGTGATCCTCTGAGTTGTGAGGTACAGCGTTTTTCCTTTGTCCAATTAAATTTTTCTTTGGCCTGTTGTTTAGTACCCTATCATGTTCGACATGACTTGACCGGAAGCATCTTGAATCGAATGGTGCAGAAGGGCGAAGAGTATGTGCGTTCGCTGGAAGCTAAGGAACGGGCTCTGCAAGCATCCCTGGACTCGGCCAGAAGGCGAATTTCAGTACTCCAAGATGGGGTCAGTACTGAAGGACTTGCTTAGAGCTCGAGTAGCACCCAATTTAAGGATTTTATCTATGATGACTGTTTGGATGGTTTTCTGTTGGGCTTCGCGTACCTCCGTTTCAGTTGTTCCTGTTTTCTCCTAAACGTTAGATTCCAAACATTCTGGACTTGATATGTGCAGGAGCAAGAAAACAAAGCAAAGTTGAATCAAATTGGGGAGATAGCAAGGTTAGCTAACCTCCAGCAATCTGTCACAGAGGAGAAGCTCAAGAGGGTTGAAAAGGTACTTAGATAGACTTAATTCTTTCACTGTGGCTGCAAAATGGATAACAAAACCGATACGAATACCCCATCAAGCCGGACAAGGAACTAAATAAACGGGAGAGCAGGGGCTAGGCCCCGAGAGTATCGTTAAATCTAGGGATGTTGATGTGCTTTAAAGGCTAATTTGGTGAAAAGCTGCTCATTATTCTACTGGCACTGTCTCAGGAACTCAATGACTGCGAAAGAGATCGTAAGATTCTTCGAAAAAGAATGGCGACGCTGGAACAAGACCTTGCAAGTAATCAATTGTAAGTAACTATAGTAGATTTGATTGCACTTACCGTAAGTTTTCATGTGAAATCATCTTCATAGCACTAACCTTTGAGTTTTGTCTCAGGATAAATGACGTGGAAATAAGTGAAGACGAAGTAATACAACTGGCGTCGTCTGGTCACCTCAGTAAAGACGAGTACATCCAGATGTTGGCGAGAGCCCTTCTGTCAAGAAATCAGTAAGTAGTAAATTGAGAACCTCTAAACAAACGAGTATCAGATATCGATATGCATTTCACTGCATGGTTTTTTACTGATCGCTTATCGGTCTTTCATGACAGGTCGTTCAAGGATCTTATGAAAAAATGCAATGAATTCCGAATGGAAGAGTTTGTTGCCAAAAAACACGCCTCCAAACTCGAAGCCAAACTTGCTAATGCGCAAGCAAGGATTAAAGGTTCCGTACATGATCAGGAGATTCTGCAGAATGATTGTGTGAGATCTTTGCAAGCAAGGGTTAAAAATATGGCACATGAACGGGAGGCACAGCTTGAACCTTTGGAACAAGTTCAGAAGGGTCAGGATCATGACATTTTGAGACCTTTAAAGGACGTGCACACAGGCCTGACTGAAGTTCCCAGGGAACGAAAAGAAAATGAAAAAGTGGGGACTCACATAGAAACACCAAACAACTTTGGAATGACGGGCCCTGAAGATGATCAGGTAGTTAACCTCGGCTGTGGCTTACCAATTCCAATCAGACGAGAACGGAATTCAAGCTTAGTAGAAGAAAGCAATATACATCCGACGTTATTCTCTGGTAACTCTCTTACACTCTCCTTAAAGCATCTAATGTAGCACTCAATGAGTTTTTTCTGATTTGCTTTCCATACTGTCGATCATCTAATTTTCCAGGTGATGTATGGGTTTATTCTGGCTGGAACAGGCTGGCTGGGAACCTCGCGAAACTCATCTGGGTCTTCCCTTTTCTCCAAAACTCTTCTTTTCAACAGTGGTCGTGTAGTTGCGAGACCACCCCCTTCATTCATTGTACCACCTCCTCAGAAAGTAAAGACAAGAGGCTTTCTCTGTTTTGTCTTGTTTGAATTGTGGGATGACTTGCGTCAGTTAATTTGCCTTATGAACTTCTTAATTTTGTACATCAGTCAAACCTTGTATGTGTTCTAAAACCTGTATTGCTGTCCTACTTGCAGGGAGCACGCCAGGTAAAGAGATCGAAGCTTGTTGCAGCAAAGATCGAGGATTTTTTTGGAAAAACTTGAGTCGATCAAAATATTTGCAAGATTTTACACTAGAGAAAGATAACGGGAAAATTTTGGTTTTCCAGGAATAGAACTTTGTTCCTTTTCCCTGTAAAGTTATAGACTTTGGAATTTTATTCCAAGTATACACAAAGATAACCTTATGACACAACTGACAAGTAAAGGTCGAGGTTATTTTGAACAAATTTGAGTGGGTGAAGCAATTCAACATCATAGAAAGACAAACAGGAAACAGGAAATTCACATGGCAGGAGATTTCTCACCTACTTCCCTTAGTAGAATGATCCATTTTTAAAGTCGATTGTACACAGCTTAACTTCTTGTAAAGCTTAATTTACCTGTGTCACAACAACCACGGGAGGTACTCTGTGGTTTTGGAATTTGCAGCTGTGGTTTATATATCTAGAGTCTGCGAGCCTCTTCGATCTCAGCGTGCAGAAGTTAGGTCATGTAGCCTTGATATTGGCGTAAACTGATGATTTTGATGATTCCTCGAAAGTGAATAATCTCCGTGTCTGCTGGTTTGGCAGACTACATTAAGCTCTGTGCCACTCTTTCCGTGTGTCGAGTTCTGTGGACCATCATCTTTAACCTTGTGTGCCACTATCGCGTGTTTCATTCTCCTTCGAGGCTCGGCAGTCCATTGTTGTGAGTAGCATCTACTGCTGGAAGCTATTGAGAACTTGTTCTCAGGCTGAGTTAGATTCTACATCGCCTTGTGTGATGATGCAAGATTACTCTTCCAGGTTGGGTATATTATTCTGTCTACAAGTCGCTCATATACGGCCGTATAACTCTCGAGTAACGATGTCAGGAGAACAACGAACATATGCTTGCTTCCGTGTTAGTGTTAAATACTAGCCTATTGAAGTCGGCGTCCAGAAGGATTTGCAGTGACAAGAACCTAAACTTTTCTCCACTGATGTGTACATAAACAGTGTGAGACACGCAGATCAAGCAGTTTGGAGTGAGACAATTAGCGCCCTGTTGTTTCTGATAATGACAATGAGAGCACACAAGCGTATGTAAATATCTGCGTAGGCTAACAGTCGAGCTAGACAAATATTGCAGGACACTGCGCATTTTCAAACGAAACTCCGAAATTATCTGCAGGAAGATCGACAGCAAATTTGAAACCAGCTGAAACTCCTACAACTTTTCTCAATCCAAGGAATTAAATATTTTGTATGGTTACGTCCGGATATTCCTAAGCCCAGGCCTGACAACAAATCTGCAGAGATTACTCCGCGCTATCCAGCCAAACTTCTGTAGACTCGCTATCACCTAGCGGAAAGGTGCGTAAGAGATTATAGGCCCACTTGTGAGGTCCCAAGGCTCATAACTATCTGAGAACAGCCCTAACAGCTGCAGAAGAAAGCCCCTAAACGGGCTTCACAAGAACAAAATGACTATTTGATGGCTTTAATGATAAATTTGAACATAACTATATTTGCATCAGACAGAAACCAATTGTGCAGAGGACAGGCCCAGACAGCACTCGCATCGGGGAGTCTTAGCTATGATGCACAATCCAAAATTCATTTGAAATGAAGTTACCATAATTGTATAATTATTACAGAACCAATGTTAACCTTACAACGTAATTGTCGATCAATGTTTTGCCACATCCGAACATGAACATACATAAATCGAAAGGGATCCATCCACCACAAGTATTTTTTCATGAAATTGTACAAAATTTACATAAACTCGTTGCCCTTCGACACATTTCTAAATGAACTCTATTTAGAACCCCAAGAGATGGGTACGCAGACAACGGCAGAAAACTCTACATAGTCCCACGTTGCCTTCGCGACCCACTTTTGGTTTCTGTTTGAGAGTGAGCACCCCCACCTGGCACCAGAGCAACTGATGATGAGGGAGAAGCAGACTGGAATGTTGTGTTCCCGATTAGCCAGTATAGAGCCCACTTAAGGTTGCACAGTGTGTACTTCAGGGCCTTCGTCCATCTATCCTGCCGATTGAAACTCTGGGTGATGGTGTAGCCCTCCACCTTGTCATTCTCAATCTTGTAGGGAAGGCTGAAGCATTTGTCAGGAGAGACATTTGCTGCTCTGTCTTTCGCGTAAGCAAACTCCGCGAACTCCTTCAAGCAAGCAAGGAAAAATGTCATGGCCTTGTCGTACCGAGTGCTCCAGAACAGGTTTACGGGTCCAAACAGCTCGTAAGTATTCTTGTTATCGGCGATTCGCGGATAACTTCCCATCGGCAAGATTCGATATGTAAAATTCAAGCGGCAATACTGAGCCATTGTGTACAGCAGCAGGCAAGCTTGACCCCAAGCAGCATTGATTTCATCCCATTCCACGGGGACGCTGGGCAATCGACCAAGTCTGAAGTTGTTGATGGTACCAAAATCGCCATCGTGCCAGATATGAAAGGCATCATTGAGCACATTTGTGCGCTTTAAGATTTCTAATTGCGACTTTGCCACTTCCATCTTCGCCAGGACAGCATCTCTCTCTTCCTGATGCGCTGTAAGCTGCAACCGAAAGTCGTTGCAGTCATGCCAGAACCTTTCCTCCAGCTCCTCGAATTCTTCGGACTTGAGATCGAGTTCTCGTAGTTGCGCCTCGACCTCCTCTCGCTGTTCATTAACTTTTCTGATTTCCAATTCCAGCTGTCTCTCCTGCTCCTCGACGTTCAGCTTCTCTCGGGCGAACTCTTCCTCGGTAAGAGCATCTTTCTGCTGCTTCTCCAGGCGCTCCACGCAAAATTCGTAGGCTCTGATGTCTCGATTCACCTCTTCCACCTCCTTCTCGAGCTCCTCCGACAGAGTCCTCATGCACTCCAGACAAAGGGGTTGCTCGACCTGCGTGTGAGCAGATGCAATCTCGAAACACCGCTGTACAACGATCACTTGCGAGTCGAAGCTGGCAGGATTAGTGTGCTGAGCATTGCTAGCCACGGCCCCGCGATGTCCTGCCCCACCGTCCCCAGCGTTGTCGAATTTATACATGGACGCCGCCGCGGACGGCAACACCACAAACGATTCATCCATGGCCCGCGACCCATGAAGCTCATGCCCGACGGGTCCTGGATGGCTGCTTCCACCAGGGGGGGCCGATGGGGAAATTGGCTGATTAGCTGCCGGTGTGTAACCCGGAGTAGGGTATGCAATTCCCCCTGATCTGGGCCGAGGCGGGAGGAATCCAGACCCCGGCTGCTGAAGAGCGTTCTTGGATTTGGGAAGAACAACGAAAGATTGATCCATCCGGCTCCCCGCAAAAACGCTCCCACTCCCTCCATGCACGGATCCCTGCACGCCATGGAGTTTCTCGACGAACGCCTCTACCCCGGCAGTGGACAAGTAGTGGCGGCACATCTGACACTGCCATCTCGGCAGATTTGGATCGCCCGATTGCGCTCCTGGTCCTCTCAGGTTCAATATTCCGCTCACCTCTTTGACTTTTGCCGGCGCCCTAGCCCGTGGCTCACTTTCTTCCCTCATGTCGAAGCGCTCCTCCCTGCCAAACCTTAAAATCAAGCCGACATCTTCTGATCTTGCTACTCCTTTCCGCCCAAATTCGAACCAAGCTTAATCGCAGCTCTGATCTCCTCACCTACGAGCGACGCAACACTCGACCATCTCCTCCCTGGGAAGAGATCCAAGTTTACCATATCACCGAACCCCTGCCACGCTGCCACCCTTGCCGTCTCCTTTCTTGCTCCCGCGGCTATCCTCGAACGGGGATACGCAAACGACTGTTTGACCTCTTCCCGGCAACCGATCGCAGTGTGGTGACAACATGCCGCAAAGCACGAGGCAGAATCTTCCTCGGCACTCCATTTCAAAACGCTTTCGCTGGTCTACATGTGGCAGGAAGGTCGGACAGTCCACAACATGAAAACCTGATTCTCCGGCCTCAAAATCTGCCTGTCAGCGGACACCGACCCAGCGAGGGCGATTCTGCTCCGATGCCATGTGCGCTATGGCTGCGATTCAGTAACGGGTGCAGCAGCAGCGGCCGCGTTACGGCAAGGCAGGCCTTCAGCTTAACTCACATGCACTTCTTCGGACCTCACCGTGGTCGCTCCGGATTGAATATGAGCACCAGCTTCTGACATTGTCGTATACAGGCAGGAATTGTTCCCTTCCGAGAACGTACTCATTTCCTCCGGACGCAGAGGAAATCCATGCGTGGTAGGGATGTGAACTTGGGAAGCAAGCATGTTGCGGTGACTGTACGGTTGCCTCCCCCATTATGATGGGCGGAGAGCAAAAGATCCAGGGGACGTGTGCTGATCTGGTCCCATCGGGGCCCACCTTTCGGATTTCGATTATCTCGCGCTGTTTTGCTGTTTATGTTTGGAAAGGTGTGTAGGTCTCTCGCGAGTGGGCACTTTACCGCCAGAGTTTCACGAATCTGAAGGACCGGATAAACATCGCTGACGATCGGTGTTACTCGGCGGGAGTCGTTTCTTTTCAGGATCCAGGTCTTTAGGACATGTGAACAAATGGATGGACGATCCATTGTCTTTAGTGCACGATGAAGCTCAGAGTTTTGTCGCGGCTTTGGGTTATTCGTCTGGGGGAAAACAGGAACATAAATGCAGAACATGCTCTTCGTGTTCTATTCATCTCCCAGTTACTAAGGAAACTCAGATGGATCTCTGTGAAGAGTAGGCCAGACGTGACTAGAGCAACTATGATCCTCATCAAGTTTGCCAGAGTCCTGTACGTCTCTGCAAACGTCAATTCTACCACACTCCTGCATTGCAAGAAACAGAAGGTTGTGATTCAGTCCTTGCGCTAAACGCTGAACCAGAACACACGACTCCAAGTTAAGCCCGACAGGCAGAGGGGTGTTTGAATGACCCAGGTACCAACGCAAAGATCACGTGATTAAATAGTTTGCCATGGCTCGACAGCCACAGTAATTTGTCGTGCATTCCGCCAGTTAGCTTTCTGCGTACTGAAGCTATCGTGTTGAACTACGACTTCTTACTACAAAGAATCCGAAGACAAGGATCAAAACTAGCTGCGAGTAAGTTGAGATAGTATACGTTCGATAGACGCCCTAGACTGACGCCAAATTTTGAGCTCCTTAAGAACTGCGTGAACCGAACCGACATGATTACTCAAATAATAGAAGACTCAATCAGCACAACTATCTTGAACTAGGGTAACAAAGCACGCGTGTGGCCGTTCTGTTGTCTATCCTGATAGCAAATCTTCCGACCTGCCACGTTACCTAACCGAACCTCGTTGTTCTGTCGTTCTGACAACTTTCCAGGTGAGGGTAGGTAGCACAGAAGCTCGTGACAAAACGTAATACCACAGCAACGGCGTGTTTCCAGATTGTGGCTGTCAAAAGGGCGAATTTGATCTCTAACCGAGGCCGGCTGAAGGAGAAGCGGTTCACTTCATCAGCAGCCAGAGCAGTCGTAACACAGACCGCAAAAACACCATTCCACGTGAAAACAAGTCACTCCACATTCAGAAAGATGACGGCTATTCGTCAAGAGAAAAGGACTCCGGCTTGAGATGAAATTCATAAAGACAACATAAATTCTTAGTCTATCATCTTCATGAACATTTCAACACGTTCGCAGGCTGTTATGGCCTTCTGTCAGTTCTCACAAAATAGCATTCCTCAACTAGAATGCAGAGACTAGTCTAACAACCTTCCACTTCATCGCTCTTATATGCTCTGGTGGGAAGAGGGCCAAATTCGCTTGCACTCACTTCTTACAAACACTGAACCTTCGAGAGTCTTCTGTTCCAACTCAACCCCAAAGCCTTACAATTTACAGCAGCTGGTACTTCTTACGAGGTAAAACCGCACCATTTCCAAATCAAAATCAACCAACCGTCCACGATTAAGTTTATGCACAGTCCTATACAGGCTTTCAACTCATAAATAAGAGGTGAGAAATGCAGATCTGAACTTCAGAATTCTTAGATTCTATTGCTCAAGAATTCCAGCTTTGATCCTCCTCGGAGACAATTCCTCATCCAACAGGAAATGTCTCATAGATATACACAGCCATATTTCGCAACTTCGAGAAACAAGAAACTTGTTGTTGCAACTACACTGCCTCATTAGCTGCCTCCGGATGATAAAACAGCATCTCATTCCACACCTTCTCCCTCAAGGCGTCCTCCTTCAAATCCTCGTCCTCAAAATCGAATTCAAACGGTGCTGGCGCTGATGGCTCCACGGTAACATCGTGCAGCATTGACAAATATGGATGCTCCAGCGCTTCATTCACGGTCACTCGCTTGCGTGGGTCAAATACAAGCATCCTATCAATAAGATTTATTGCCAAAGGATTCGCTCGAGGGTAAAGCCGCGCCAACGAAACACGAGGTTGGAAGGGGAGAGATCGGATGTAGCTGCGTGCTTTCTGACTGTTAATAAAATGCAAGTCATTCTCTTCAGGGGAACCTATAATGTTGATGATCAACTTCAGTTGATGGATGTAGTCCTTTCCAGGAAAGATGGGCTTTCTGCCGAGCAACTCCGCAAATATGCAACCCACAGACCACATATCGATGGCACTCGTGTACTCCTCACACGACAAGAGCAGTTCTGGAGCCCGATACCATCGAGTGACCACGTACTCCGTCATAAATTGACCCTTGTCGCTTCCCGTCCGAGCCAAACCGAAGTCGCATATTTTCAAGTCGCAACTCGCATTGAGAAGCAAGTTGCTTGGCTTCAGGTCTCGATGCAGAACATTCGCCGAATGCACGTACTTCAAACCACGAAGTAACTGCGGACATGTCAAGACGCAACAACTTTCAATTCAGCTGCACATTGTACAATTCTTTAAGTAAATTCATCTAATTGATTAAACGTTGTCGGCATTATCCAAAGTCTCGTACAAGATGGTTCAAGGCAGAGAAGATCTGAAGTCGATGGCTGAAATGTCTTCATAAAACTATGCCTCTGATACTGGGTCGGCCAAGGCTGACCAGCTTGTGTTAGGAACGGCTGCAGGGAACTAGCTACATTAACGAACGATCACGGACTAAGATTGCAGCGTACAAAGGCCTGTTGGAGGACAGGCCCGATTGATATAGAGACAACCACTCTACAGGGCTCGGCCAAGATAATTTAAGCTTGTTGAGATAGCTATGCTTAAACAAGGTGCAGCAATCCCCATTCTTCCGAATTTTGTAGCAATTGGCCTCAAGGGGAAAAAAAATAAAAATTCGCAACCCTCGTTCCATTACAAAGGTACGAGGGTTGTGCCATCTCAAAAAGGTCATAGACAATCACGGAGGCACAACGTTTAGTGAAGTGCACGTATCATCCTGGAAACTGATAGAAAATTGATGTGCCCTGACGGCTGTCCATGCCGGAACTGCAAGCTAGCAAAAAGACATAAGAACCAAGGGAATATACCTAGTTTGCAGAATTGGGCTACACCTATGAAAGATATGCAAAATCTTCGTAATGAAGATTATAAAGCCAAAGCCCGTGTCTAAGCGTGTGTCCGCAAGCGTAACGTCTGACGCTCAATTCATTCAAAACATCGGTGAGAGATCTCAGCTTCAGGAGGACTGATAGTGATCCAGGTTTCAACATTAATTGAAAACATTCCATCGACATCTCTATTTCTCCAGACCATTTCATCCAAGAATCTACCGGTGCATTTCCACTCGTAAAAATGATCAGGGCTTCGATCAAGGTAGAGTCGATCAGTAGTACATCAGAACGGAATCAGGCGAGATTCAACCTACACATCGTCCTAGTCGTACCTGATATATGAAGTACTGACAATGGTCATCGGTGAGAGCTTGAGAAGAGCGGATGATTTGGTGCAAATCTGTGTCCATGAGCTCGTAGACCAGATACACATCGTTGAAGTTGTACCGTCCAGTGGGCTTCATAATATCCTTCACCGCAATGATGTTTTCATGAAACAAGTGCCGCAGTAACCGAATCTCTCGCAGCGTCCGGCGAGCATCCGTGGTGTTTTCAAACGCATTGGTGATCTTCTTGATGGCGATTTTCTCGCCGGTCTCGGCGTTGCGCGCAGAGCAGACAACACCATACGCCCCTTTGCCAATCGGCTTGATTGGAATGTACTTGGTGTCGATCTCAAACACACTCCTCCACAATAAATAGTGATGCTTTCCGGCCGGACAGATCCCATTCGGCGGATCCACTTTGGTCGCCATATACTACTTCTCCTCCTCCTGCACCGGTCCTGTCAACCACACACACTCCTCTTCGCAACCCCTACCGCTTCTTCTTCTCCTGCTCCTCTGCGCTGCGCCACACCACCATTCCCCATGCTTCTACCGCAGTGCACTCACTCGCTTCACGGGCCGCGCGACCTATAATACTATGGGTCCAACTTATCTGCCACTTTCCATCGAATCGAGCTCGAGCAGAAGCTGTTGATCTGTGCACACATCGAAGCACCGGGAGGGTGCTCTTGGTCGATCGATCAATCAATCATCAATCCGGTCTCGTGCGCGCGCCCCTCCTCTTGTTTGTCGCAGAACCGCCTTCCCCTCCCCTCCCCTGGCCTCCCCTCCCGTCCCGTCCCAGGCTCCCTGCCCTCCGTCGCCTATTCCCTCCTTCCTTCTCCGCAGCGCTGTTCTGGCCTTCCTTGCTTGCGTGTCCCTCCTCTCTCGCCCGAACGACGTTCAGCCTCTGCTTTCTACAAGAACTTGCGCCCATCTGTCGAACCCCGTAGCCAGGTCCATAACCGGCCGTGAACCGGGGCGTGTGCGCCAGCCACCGACGCAGGCCGGTAGGCCAAACCGGGTCGGTAAGTTGTATAACGTCCCATGTGAATGAATGATAACGTCTGTCTGGCGTTGACCTCTGCGGTACTTGCGCTCGGTTAATTGCCACCCGAGGACCCCATTTTCCACGTGGCAGGCTCTCGGGAGCCCACGGATCTGGATGCCTAACATCCAATGATATCATATCACCGATTTCCGCTCCGCCCTCGCTCTCCTTCCGTTCTCGTCCGTTCTCGCCTGGCCCTGCGCCTTCTTCTTCCAGCCTCGGCGCAAGAATGTGGAGGTTTGCACCCGCATGGCGCATATTCCTCCGGTTTCCAACGGGCGGCCTCGGTCCGCAACAAAACTGCTCGATCTCGGATCTCCATCTCCGTGATACATGTCGATCCAGACTGCCTTGTCTCGGTGACATTATTGCATCTCCGGTCCCTACAAATCACCGTTCGGGAATCAAGTGCACTATTTCGGCTTGGATTATTCGACCCCTCGCCGAGGTGATTCCATCGACTGCATGTTTGGAAACTTAGGTGCACAATCATGCAATAAAAGTTAGTTGAATCGTACAATCAGGCACTTGAGTTGATCAGACAAAATTTGTGTCTCGTCTCCCACAACGTTTCCCCTATGTGCCAACTCCTAACACAACAGCATTAACGATCTCCAAGGAAAGCGAATTATTTTTCCAACTAAATCTCCATCGTAATCATTCAAACATTTGTGCAAGTCATTAACTCCTTCCCGTCTTATTTTCAAGATGAAAATTATCGCCATCCATTAACGGGAGGTTGGTCTTTTTAATTCTCCCAGATTAAATTTTTATTGATTTCTTAAAAATTTATTGACCTATCAAAAAATACGTATCGTTGTACTTCTAAATTTAATTTTTATCATTCCTGTAAGTATCGAATGTAAATATGGACTAGAAAATGACAATATCTAGAAGACTGCCTTCGATGAGAAGCTTCCAAATTGTATAAGATCATTAAACAAGCAATTCGATACCTGTATCTTAATTAAGGAAATCTGATAAAGAATATTCAAATTACTGTAGTCTTTGTTCTTCTAACGTAGTGAGTATTCGTTATTTGAATTTTTTATGGATAAGGAATCATATGATCATATTGATTTCTGCAAGGAATAATAGGAATATGAAAGCCCACAGATTATGTACTCTACCGTAATCAAACACCGACTAAAATCAGTACCAGAAAGCAGTATATAGGGGGAGGAGCAAGTAGATCAAAGGATCAACTTGGATAAGGTAAATGCTTGTATGAAGGGGGTTCAAGTTCGTGGATACCTCCAGAGAGAATACTCAAATCCAAACTCTTCTTGCAGGACATGATAAAATTGAACAACATTTTCAGAAAATAACTCGGGATTTCAGGATTAAAAGAAGATGTCCCCAATATAAAAGCTAAAAAAGTAAAGCCATATAAAATGAGATGAGAAGTCTGGAAAATATGCTGACAAAGGTGGCTTTTTGTTAGTGATTTTTGGGTATATGATGGGCACAACCTCTTTCATTCGATCCATATATATAGGTCCACATGGGCTACAATCCAAAATAATTGTTGTCCATCAGCCAACAGAGCTCTGCATTTTAAAAGATTACTACCAGTGCATTCTAAAAATCGCTAGAACAGAGTACGGTGCAAAAGGTCCGTCATCCTGGCAATCCTACACGTCCTGCCACCCGTTCTGGACTATTTTGTTAAGTAGAGATTTGTTCCAGCTCCGATTCGTCTATGGCGTCAGTTTCCCTCTAGCTTACTCTTTCTTCCTCTGGGGCCTTCGACCTCAACCTTATGTGACGCGTCCTCTCGAGGATCTTTCCTTCCCATCACGTCTGTCTGTTCGCCTCGAGGGCTCGCGCTCGTCTTGTGATTCCGTTGCCTACTTGCTTGTGTGCTATCTTTTTAAACTGTGATCCACATGTGAGAGCTTCCGGTTGTCTTATCTTTACCTTCCCATGAAAGCAAATTATGAACGCCTTACAGACAAGCGAACTCAGTTCTCAAACGGAGATTGATAAGTTTGATGCTTTGTTTAGCTCCTTGGACTGTGTGACCTGATTGAGATTTTATAAAGGCACAAAAAGTATACGGAGGAACTTCGATTGCAGAAATGTAGATCTTTTGTTCGCCCTTCTAGAAATCTATAGACCGAATCACAAGTCGAGCATACTGGATTCATTAACCATACATGCACCAATCCTAGTAGGTAGTACACAGTACAAACTTGTGGATCCAAAGATCCCTTCACAATCCGCACAATAAAATATTAGAGACATCTTTCCAAAAAGGACTGAGCCTGCAACTCTGCCACTTGCATATTCACTAGCCTTCGAATCTGATATGATATTGGATTCTGCTACTCACCCAAAAGTACTTCCTTTGCTTGGTCCTTTCAGGATTTGGAGCATTTCTTTGCTCGTAACTCTCTTTGACTAGTCTTGCATACCCAAGCTTCCACATCTCTACGTCTGCATCGGTAAATCGTCGATCTCCACCTCCCAGACTGTTCTTAAGAAATGACAACGTGCGGAGATGGGTGTAATGGAAGTAGGGTAGTGAATCGCTTCATAGCAGCAATGTAATAACGTAACCATGTGGCATAATAAATTCCAACTTCTCCAAGTTCATGGCTACATAACAGTTACTATCACTCAAGAGGAGGTCAACAGTTGAAAGTAGTGAGGTTTGGATATACGGCCCAACAGCTCTTACTGAGGTAGAACACATCCAGTTATTTTGCGAGACTTCCTTGACAATGATCGTGACCTCAAGTCCATGAGCGTAGAAATCTCCAACGCGATATGTGATAGGACTTGCAGGAAAAGAACGAGTGGGACGTATAATGCTTTTCTCATCACACTCCTGTGAAAAGCCCCCTCTTCACAAGGGGCCTACAAGGCGAACAGGTGCCAAATGGATACCAAATACGATGGGAAGGACCTACAAGGCTGATCCGTCGTTTCCTTTCAGCTCTGGAGTTCACCACTTGCACAAAGAAAAGCAAAAACATTTCTCTCACTTGCACGGAACGTTGAGGATAAGTTTGGGGTTGGATCATAGAACCTAAAATCGACATTCTGGAGAAGAGATCTTTGCAAGGTAGATTTGCAAGTACACGCAATGCTGCTATCCACCTATCTCGGGCACGTACCCTGTTTGCAACGACGCTGGTGGGGTTACGGGCTAACTTCAGTGGACATGAGTATATGCCAGCAATTTACCTAACATGACCACTAAAGCAACAACCAAAAGCAAAATGCATACTCACAGGCAATAGCCCTACAGTAGCTTTAACTCTCAGATTCGTAATCTTACGATCTGAAGGTGGGAGTCTATTCTATAATTTAGGAGGAACCCATGTCCACAGAAACATATCACTCGGAGAAGATTAAGAAGCCCTTATCTGAAACCGGAGTCGTAGAACTTGGCGAAGTAAAAGAAGTGAAGGAGGTTGGGTGAAGTTAATTATTCTTGAAAACAATCAAAACGTTGTATTTGACGTCAAAACTTTAGATCTGTAGATGCTGAACACGGCGCTCATGCCCGGATTAAAAGCTCTCGTGATGAAAAGTACGACACTTCCTTCTAATCCGGTCCATACCAACTGTCATGACCTTGTTACAGACATACCAACAACAAGAATATTCGTGTAATGATTATGCAGATCATGGAGGGATCTGAATACTCCAAGCAGATTCTCACATTGCAGAGTAAATGGGATGTGCTTGTATTTTTACAAGATGGCAACTTCCACCTACATGATCGAAGCAAGAGATCCATGACCAAGACCTTACCCAGCTCAGCACTCGGGTCATTTGTCAACACTAGGACTCTGTTGACCTCGTACAAACATTACCTTACATTAATTGTGTCCTTTTGAGATCCAAGAAGCCAAATCCACCCGCTATTCTCATCACCGCTATTCGTAAATTGCAAAACATTAAGGATCCGATAATGATACCCTCAACTCCTGCTTCTTGACGCTCTTGTCAACTCTTGATCTAGACCGCAAAACTTTGTTGCATGATGTGGCTAGTGATATTCTATTGTGTGTCTGGATCTCAAGTGATGATTCCCACCTTCTCATACCCGTATCAACAGCTGTAAGAAATGTTAAATCGTAATGTCCATAACCGTAAACATGAACCTCCCTCAACGATACCAAGGTCAAATACTTTCTACCGAATTGAGCAACATGTCACAAGTGGGCAGTAAAGAAGATGATTCAGGAAAGTGAATTGCTAGCCTGCTTTCGAGTGGATGAAGTGAGCTTGATTTAGAAAGTCATTTTGCTTGTGCTGACGAAGATGATTGATGAGGCATTGAGGCCTTCTTCAGCAGAGGTGCCCTAATTTTAGAAGATGCTCATACATCGGCCCAGCGGTGGTGGCTCTGGCCGCTGTTTTGGTCTTTCGATTCAGGGCAGTGACCAGGAAGTCCAAACACAATGCAACATGATCATGGCTAATGAATATCCGGAGTCGTGCAGTCTTGTTTGGAGTCAAGAACCAAGGAACGACACCTGGTTCTTCTAGACATAGAAACCTTTGGATGTAGTGGCTTGGAACGACATGTAACGCTTTTTTTGAGTAGATACACACACCATCTTACATTTTTGAAGTGAGAAACGCCAATTCAATGCTCTAATGTTACATGTATAACAAGGAGAGTCGCCACAGAAAATTCTAGAAAAGCGAAGAATCAGCCAAGAATGTTACTCCTGAGGACAAAAGTGTTACTACAGTACTGTACTCACACCAACAGCTCATGGACGGGCAGGTTCTGAACGTGCACGTTATGTTATCTTGCCATCAGCATTGGAGCTATCTTGCTGAATGCAGTGAGGGATTCTCCTCGCCCTCAGTGATTCTGGCAAGTTTTAAGAATTTGGAGCTGTTAAAAAAGCTTTAAAAACGCTTTGAAAAAGAGTACGTAGTCCCCTTCCAACTGGCCTGAGCAAAGGGCGTTGTAAGAGGATCCTGATTTTAATCTCTCGGTATTTCAGTCCGCTTGACCTGGTATCATGCTCTAAATCTTACAAAAACAACTCCGTACATACTACACCGTACATTTGGTTTAAGTAGAACAGACGTGGTCACTGCGGTTTGTTTCTCACAGGACTCGACCGATTCTCCTCTCCTTGACCAGGATAGATTGAAGCCAGCTTGACTACGATGGGAGGATCCCTACATACGGTGGTACAGCCATTCACCTCCTCATTAAATGGGAAGGGATCAGATGCTCCTGTCACCAACATCGCATTCATCGGCGTGCACTACATTGCACACGTGCAAAAGGTATTTTTAAGTGTCATATGTTGTTTACAAGATCACGCATAATCATGCCACATCGAGCGATACGAATCGCCCTTGTTGTGTTGACTAAACACAACCAGTTGCAAGTTTACCGACTTCGTGGCAAACCCTACGTCAGGAACGTTAAAGAGATAAGCAGACGAATGTTTCCTACTGAGCTTTTAGGGGAAGAAGGGACTCTGATTATTATGTGGCCTGGTCTTCAGTCCTGGTTCCTTGGTGATAAACTCAATTGTCATATGCATGTCCATGTCTTACTACCTGAACTTGAAAACATGACTAAGAAATGGGAGTGCGACCAGCTCAGAACTCAGAAGTTAGCACTTTCGCGTGCCGAGGTTCAATGCTTCAAAGTGGCATGTACTGCAGAGATGTTTACAGTTTACATGGCAGCACCGCAACCTCAGGAGTATGCGAAATTCATATGAGAAATTGATCTCAGATGTCACGAACCTTACGAACGGATTACTGATACGCCTATGCTGCCTACCTACGCCAATCACAGTGGCATGTCCATGCTCCACTCTTGTCACGACCTCCGAATACGATCTGCGAGTTGTACTCTGTCTACGCATCGAACCCCACGGGTACAATTTTCCTCCGGCATCGACCAGCTGTACTCAATTCGATAAGATGGGAATACAGATTCATCTCATCGTCATTTTACTCTAGAACTTGCGAAACCTTGCCATTCCTGTCTGTTCAAGATTTGTTAATCTAGTGCAAAGTTTGATCCAGATAAGTGAGGATTCTCGCCTGGGAACGTTATTTGGTTCTCGGTTGCCGGTGTTTCTGTAACCGACAGATGCTATATAACCTCATTTCAGACGAGTAGCCACTTACAATACGCGTCAAAAGATTATGTGTAAATAATTACATCAAGATATAGGGTTTAGGGTACATGTACGCAACATGTACACCAACTAAAACTGACTCGGAAGTTGTGATCGATGTATTTTAGAAATTAATATCTCACTACTAAACAGTTAAGGCAATTCGCTTTGATGTAAAAGTGTCCACCTAAACCCAGTACCCTTACAATGAGGATGAGACAAACATGTCTCGGTAGGTAAAGACCAACCTATGCTTATGGTCATTGTTACAAAGGTGAGCAGGTGAGTTTACAGATTCGTACATGTGAAGAAACTCACTAACGAATCCACGCTAGTCCACGGACATCGACTTCTCCAGTATATCAAAGCCAGCTTCTAGATCAACATCCAAACTAAAATGTGATTGAACCACGCAAAGAAGGCATAAGGATCATAACAACATAAGGCCGGCTGAGAAAGATTTTTCATTCTGAAGTCATCAAACCCGCCAATAATCACGAATCCACGACTTCTTGTAACCAACCCAACACAGAAAAATGTCGAGAATACTCATGACACGCAATTGCATATATCCTTCTAAACAATACACAGAATCCATGTTGAAATCAAGGGATCGGCTTACAGCCTGGCCAACATACTGCAGGACACATCATGAAAGTGATCGTGAGGTCAATTTGTAAGTCAGGCTACTGTACCACCTCCCCAAAAAATTCTCGTCAGAACTGTGGTATACAATTTAGTGCACAAAAATGGTGTACTGTCTAAATCATGTGATGGATGACTACCCTAAAAAATTCCGATTTACCTGCACTCTCTCGCTGTACTTCGTTTCAAAACTTAACAAAACTGTCTTAAAAATTTTCAGATCCAACAAACTCACATGGCGGATCTGCCTAGAATAGATTCAGCTATCACAACAAGATGATGTTGTCGTCGTTGGGTAGATTAATCTTCACGTCAGCTCTAAGCACTATGCTACACCTGTGTGAACAGGATGTTTGATCAGTCGGCAAACATTACACCAATAGCCTATGGAACATGAACTATACGATGATTTGCTTGATATCGACTTCATCTGGTCCGTAAGAAGCCTCTCACGTCAGAGAGAAATAGATATAAGTTCTCTCTAAATCTGCGTCGGTTATTACGATCAAGTGAAGAAGACACGTTGTTGGAGTTGAGCAACACGTGAAAAGCCGTAGCTAAACGACTCTGCAAAATTGCATTCTTCTGCCCTTCTAAAAGTTCTTGAGCTAGCTTCTGCACAGGAGATTGAAAACTATCAATTTGTCATTTTCGATTTTACTTTTTGTCAGAAACGTAATACTTCCTTTTTGTATCTGCACTGAACTCCAAGCCAAGTAATCGTAAGCAGCTATATTCTGAACTGGCACCACAATCACAGTGATCACTGACCTGATATAACCCTGTATTACACAGAATCAAAGGCAGTAATGCATCTGCTGCAGGCTCCACCAGTTCGTTGCTGAAATCAAGCGAATTCACGAAAGGAGTAAGTATATATATACACGGCTACAACGTTCAAAAACAAAGGGAACATGCAAAAACATAAAGCAAACCAATCGAGTTATTCATATGTATGCATTATCGATGTGAAATGCTTTTAAGCATACCTGTAATCTTCGAAGAGAAGAAACTGCATCACAGAACGCAAAAAATGTGCAAGCACTCCTTCCTTAGGAGCACCATCCGGACCTGGAGTGCTTAGAGCGTGTGCTCCAAGTCCTTCTTGACCCCGGCAGACTGCATGATAATGATAGAAGGCGACTGCATTAAGAGCTGTCAAAGACATGTTGACGACTTCCACATCCTGTTTCACAATTTTGCAGATCCAGCATTTAGTCAGAGTCTTCTTTGTGAATGATGATATAATTATAAAGACTAATATACGAATTGAGGTCTCCATCCTACCGAAATTTCACCATATGATCTAGATTCCCACATTCGTCAACGAAAGTTTCTATTCTTCACTTTCACACATAATCTCATGTCACTCATTTCAGCCCTGATGACGTCTTCAAAAGTTGTGATGATATGACATGGCTTCTTACGAGGGTGTCTCAAACCACAAAGCAGAAACTGGAGAATCAGACTAAGAAGTGGAAGAAACGAGGATTGCTTAGCAAACCACCTGATGCCGAAGACCGAAGTCCAGTGTGCCCACAATTCGTCCAAATCCCTCCGTCGATAACTTAGCAACCTTCTCTGGATAAACTTCCAGCATGTGGGCAAGGAGCGTGAAATACTGCAACACAACATGAAGCATTGTAAGAACTCAATAAAAAACACAGTAAGAAAAACGAGAACGTCCAGACCATACACTACATTTTACAAAATCTGCACAACTGCAGCCCTGATGTCCATGATTTGCATTTTATTATGAGATAACCCATGATTAACGACAAGGGCTTAAAATGCGAGGAAGTAGGTGCAGACCAGAGGCTCAATAGGCTGGTTATTATCTAGAAAGAAAAATTAAAAAAACAACAGATCTTGACAAATGAAAGCATACGATCTCGTCAAGTTCTAGCAATGATAGGAAATCCAATAATACAGCAGCGATCAGATGTGCAGAACATAAATTCAGGAGAATGAAAGCGGAAAAAAATTACGGATGAAATGGGCTGCAAACGAATGAAATATTTCCAAATTTGTATACAAGTGTGATATTGGCTACGAACAAGACTATACCATCAGAGGCCAGCAGACACCACCCACAACTTAATTACAAGTATCACGGTGCCATCACACAAATGAGCGGCGTCATCGACGTGTACCAATGTGCATACGTTTCTGCGAGATTGGACCGTGGTATGCATTACCAAGGTGCATCTGTTTCCAGACAAGCCAGGCATATATTATAGGGACACCGTGGGCCCCCTACACAGACCTATGACGGCTTACGGCTCCAAGTTAGACTAGAACAACTAGAAGAATGAACACAATTGATAAAGGCCACCCAAACATACAATAGCGAAGGAGAAAGAGGTTATTGACCACCCAAACATACAAAAGTGAAGGAGAAAGAGGTTATTGACCATACGAACTCAATGTTCAATGACGATGCATGAGATTACACAGTCAATAGACACGCCTCCACATGAAATCATACATAGTCAATTGCTTAGTCAATGCTGAATAGATAGTCAATGCTGACAATACAGAAGCAAGGAGGGCAAAGTGTTCAGGCAGCGTGACTAGATATGTGCGTCATACATATCAGAGAAGAAGTCTCTTGAAGTTCGTTGAAAAAAAGCAGCTGAGCTTGAACAAACAAGCATTCTGGAGGTTACGAAACCCGAAGAAAGGGGCTAACGAATTTTGAGGTAAGAGATTAAAGACTAAAACAAGAGACAGGAAGAGATACAAACAAAAATTCCACCGTTAACATCTTAATGTCCTATTAACATCATCAAAATTTACGCATTTGATCATAGAGTAAAGCCTGCAATTGATTACAACCTGACGGCATAGCTTGGGATACTTTAAGAGATCCACTGACATTAGAGGAGTGATAATATGCAGACCGAGGTACACCACCTGCACAATAGTCGGACACGTAGATCAACAAATAGCTGACGCACAAGAATAGGTCAAAATCCTCGAAAAGAAAAAGGTCGTTCACAAGAGATAGAAACATAAACCTTAAAAATAAACTCACCTGGGCTACATCAGGATTTTCTACCTCCCCGTTCAAGTCACAAGCAAAGTCAATCTGCAAAAGATCAGACGAACTGATCAACATCTCAGTCGGAATAAAAGAGAGTAAACGTCTATAAATTTACAAGTTCTATTCAAATAGGTATAGGCCACACATATATGTTCGACAGAGCTTATAGATTGCTTTGTCCAACATGTGCAATTCGTAGTCTTATCTGTCTACCTCTCCATCAAGAATACCTTGAGTACCTATAATGGTGACACAATCTGCTAGCAAGTCCCTCCTGACTTCCTTCTTTGCGGTGGCGCCCGCTCCCTACGGGCCCCACTCGACGGGAGCCGAAATGGCTGAGATAGGAGGGACTGGGCTTACTACATATAGCCAGCAACTTTTCACTTCATAGGCATGCATTCTCATCATCTATGTCAATAGTTGTTGGGCAGCTAGCGCGGGTAAGATAGATAAGATAGCGTGGCCGTTGACGAAAGATGGATTATGTAAATTTTCACGTCTTATATTTTACGACCAACTCCAACGTCGCGAATCAATAGGACACAACCGCTTTCCACCTCCTGATGATGGCAATCTTCCTAATTCGCTACTTACCAGGTCCTTTGAGCTTAGATTGGTCAACAACTGTAGCAATACTCGAAGATCCTTGTACTTTTCTGTTTGACTCTCACTTATGAGGTTCATGGACTTGCTAACAGAGACCTGCAGCCAAACGATGATATTAATACGATGGCTCTCTCCTTAGTCCTGAGTGAGCGAGAGTGCCTCTTGAATCCATCTACACGAACAGCATTGACTGACTCATGTTATGAGTCGTCTTACTTATTAATTCTGATCCGGAAAATGAAAAAGAACCTGACCAGGTATTTCCATGGAGAAAGACAGATGACCAAATGCGAGTATGTACTACCAGGGCGAGGAAGGCTTCTTCCTCTGTGGAGAAAACCTTCTATAGATACTGAGGATATCTTTCCAAGAGCAAAAGCACAAGACTTCAACATACGCCAACACATCTTTCTAATCGCATCGTGTTCAAGCTGTACCCAATTGACTTACAATTAGTTCGTGTTCATTTAGAAGCTCATACCTTGCCTATATTATGTGCAGAATATATTTCCAAGAGTCGAACACAGAAATGGAAAAGAATAGCAGTCTCTTTCGCCTCCAGGAAAGCAACTTGACCATCTACCCAGTCCACCACATACTTGAGAAGAAGATACACAACAGATGACTGCATCAAGAGAAAACAAGAACGAATCCAATGACAGATTAGAGGAGAAATGTGTAACAACTACCCGAGCATATGTGGAATAGATCACAGAGGCAGCTAGCATAGCTGACAATTCTCTCTATATAGCCTTGACGACGTTTGAAATATATACAAAACGACAAATATAATCAGCTCGGATGTCACTTAGGTCATATAATAACTCAGTCAAAACTCTGAATTTTGAATCGCTGACCTGATGCTTGTAAGTTTGAAGCAATATTAACAAAGGTTCCATAACGGCAGCTCCGACTTCAAATATTGCTTTCTGGCTTCGTGGAAGTGTAGCTCTTGCTGCTCCTCGCAGTCTTTCCATTAAGCAACTAACCTGATAAAACAATCAACATCACCTTAAAACCAAGGGCCGAAGGCAAAACAAAATTGGCTAGAATCTAGAAGTACTGTTACGTACAGAGGAAAGTGGCATAGAGGGAGGTTCAATGGACAAGTAAACTCATAGAGACCGATCCAACTGAGGCCCCCAATATAAGTCATGCATGTTAATTGCCTGAAATATTTTTTAAATGAGTTCTTTTCTTATTATAACACAGAGTAGAGCAGTCAGGTAGCTCAAAAGACTCATTACATTCAAGTCATAAATTTGAATTTTGTCTCCGCCACAACGATATTTCTACAACATTTCTTCGATTCTTTACCAAGTTTTAAAAGTTTGCGAGTAGCGGATATCGAAACATTGAGAGTTCGCACGTGTAAAGAGACATAAGATTTGCTGAACTATACAAATACATAGTACTTGGTTATTGGAACCGAACCTGTAGAATGACATCCGGTTGTTGTGCAAATGTTTGAAAGTCCTCTCTTTTGGAAAGTCCAGTAATACTTCCAGTAATAGGACCCAAAAGATCTTTCACATATCTGACATGAAAACAAGACCAAAGCACAACCTCATAGTTTAGTAGATTAACAAGGAGAGCACTATCACAAGAATAAAAGCAGGGCCCAGCTAAACAATTTCCATGTTGCTGGCAGCAGAAACTTACTGATTGGTTGCATCGCCACTACTCATCCCAGCAGCTGATTTACAAAGAGCTTCTGAAAGTGCGCGCTGAGGAGGCCGGTTCAGCAGTCAGAATAATCACTTCTCTCTTTGTATCAAAGATAATTACGCCGCAACAACTGAAAATAACTAAAAAGAGTCTAGCCAAAAGGTCGCGAAGATATCCAACCTGAATAGGAGCTGCTAACGCTGACAGAGTTGGCTGTTGATATGCAAATGCATGTGCTAACTCCTGCCAAGCTTCCTGGAAATTCGGAATACGTTGATTAATGTTGAATCTAATAGATTACTACAACTTACTATACATAAGAACCCTTAAACCTGCTACAAACTCTGCAATTTCTATTTCAACCGATACTACAGGGACCATCTTTGGTGGAAGTTCAACAAAACTACGAAGTCCAAAGACAACCAAAGATCCTTCACATTGAATGCCTGCATATGCAAACAACAAAATAGATCCGTTTTCCATCACGAGAACGCGTATAGCTTAGAATTCGTCTCAACATGATTTTCGCTTAAAATCCACACGATCTGAGGTCAAGTTTAAAAAATGCCTAGCCACATATTCACAACTAAACTCACCATCGTCACCAGATGCGCACAGATATTTCTTCTGCGAACAAGAGCAGGTAGAAATTGGAAACAAACAATCTCCTGATAATCACCAAAACTTGGTCAGTGTGTTACATCGCAAAGCGCAACATTCGAGAAATATGAAACAAAAGTAACCCGGTGACCTTTTGTCTTGAAAGAAACGTCTCCACAATGTGATCTCAAGCATGTGTACAGATTTAATTTTCTTCCTTGCACGATAGGAATGACGAATTAACATAATGAAGACTGGTTCAGTCGAATATTGTAGGGCAGTCCAATTATGGTTGTCAACCAGATAACCGTTTACATAAGAAGCACCGATTGCCAACGACGTAATACATCACAACCACATACAAGTACCTGCAATGTGCGTTCACCAGGCCAAGCAGTCAACGCGGTAACAGCTACTCGCACGAGGGTCTCAAGAACGGCTTTCCCACCTCCCTCCTCTCCAAAAGCTACCACAAGAGAGTTCCTTCCATCAAACTGTCCGGTGTTACTTGCGATCTGACCCGGCAGCTCGCCCTCATTACTTGATGGTGTAGAATTTGGACCTCGTCCTGCGTCTGCTGGCATAAGATACGTATCAACCCATCTCCCAAAGAACCACACAACTGCCTGCAAGACAATCGGAAAAATTTCGTGTCCTCAAGAGGAAAGCAGTTGATCAAAGTTTCTTTGCACAAGCACGCAGTGCTCCTAACGTGAAGTTTAAACTGACTAAGACAACGTTCCAGTCCACATTCTCAAGATCAAAAACAGAGACCAAAAGCCGCACTCTTGAGGCCATTTGATTATGCTACTCATAAGATAAATAGTTATAAAGCCCTTCCAACCGCTGATATGACCTCAAGCTTCAGATAAAATGCATAAACATCAACGCAATCGTTCCCTGCAAATCAGCCTTTTGAACTACATCGAAGTGAAATGTTTGTGAAAAATAGCACAGAATGATACCCCTCCCAACTCTGGCGAACCAAAAATAGTCTTGATTCTTCAACCATATCAAGCTTTCTACGGATCCAATCACTAAATATCGTGAGATTCCAAGTAATATCCCATTTCTACAACAACAGCATAACCGGAATTGCAAATAGGAAAACGGGACAATCTTGGCATACTTCCATCAGACGAGGACTGAAGACTTCACGAATGCTCGTCTCAAGTGATTGTCTTGCCAAATCGATAGAAGCCCTGTATCACGGTAAAAGTTACGCGGATCAGACACGACTGTGATATAAACCAGTATGACATTATTCAAGAGCATCCATGACATAAGAGCAGATAAGATGAAGGAGCGCTTTGACTACTTACTGGGAAAGCAAAACTGCCGGATGATTCACTGGATCTGCAGTTCCAGGGCTCAAAGCTGATAATGACTCAGGAACCTGTTCAACATGTTTCAAGATCGCAAAATGTACATCAATCAGGCTCATGATACAACTATTGTGGTGAAACAAATTTTAATATATAACGGGAAACTAAATCAGATAGAATACAGGCAAGTATCAGGAAGCAGGATAATTCAGTCATAAGGCGTCACGAAGTACAATTCTAAATAACACTAGAGACAGGTACATAAAACAATTTCTCGATTTGCAGAATTTTGACATCCAAGAAAAATCGTCTCTCGACGGCATTCCTTACAAGAAACGTAATCAGAATGGAAACTTCAATTGACAAGAAAGAACAAGCCTTTCTTAGCGAATGTCTTCCAATAAAATTCTTTCCACCTAAACAACAGACCCATATTTCAACATACCAAAGGAGTTTCTCCATCCCCTGAATCTGCTAACACGTGTCCAGACATAAGCAGTAGCCAATGGAGCTCCTCCAATACAGACGTTGGATCCACTCTACCACCAGTGCACTATACAGAAGACAAAGACAAATGTGGTCAAATTTCAACTCTTCTGTGTAGGAATATTTTCGCAAAACATTCTTGCGGAACCCAGGCACCACACAGAAGTGTGAAAACAGGCTCTTTTCTTGCGACCAAAACAGAAGGTCCTCCCAGGCTCATTTCAGCTTAGTACCTGGGGGAGCCAAGTGCAACGCTCTGAAATAAGCATTGCTAGCAGGGGAACGGTTGCAGAAGGCGCAGCTCGTGCTACCAGGGCAATAGCACTAAGATGCTCGTCCCTAGCTGTATGAGGTAAAATATCAGATACAAAGACTGATAAGTGAGCTGATGTTAAACTCATCCATCCAAACGAAAGAAAAAAAAAGGAAATTTCGGAGGAAAAAGCTTGAGAAAAGTTTAACATCCAGAAAGCCTAAATCTGGGGGAGGACTTTGTTCACCTGCTATTGCAGCCCGTAATTGTTCTGTATCGTCACCTTCCTCATGGGCAGAGGCGGCCGCAGCTACCAACAAACGTCAAAAGTAAAGAAATTTCAACTTACACACCATGAACAACAACGTATAAATCAAAACACAGACGGCATGCACTTCCGTAGCTCTCAATAGAGGTCAATGATAAGTCCTACAATCATCGCTTGACCTGAATGAAAAATCTATGGAAAAGATCAAACAAAGGAGGACAGTAAACTCAAGCTGGCCTTATGAGAGCTTACAGAAGAGAAGATTGCATATAGCAACTCACCTTTAACATGAGTTTCCACGTAGGCATGAAACACAGCTGCTGCGGCATCGATACCGTTTGGAGGAAAAGGTATTCTCTTACTCAAATCTACAGGCTATGACAACGTTCAAAACGAACGGAAAATCTGATGAGTGACACTCATACTGATGTAAGAGGGGCAATCACAGCTTCACAAAATCCAGCTATTTGCAAAAGCTAATGAGAAACAACCATGGCCTAAGAAAAGGCAAAACTACCAAACTTGTTCTGTAAATAAACCCTATTAAGAACTGACTCCATCCACTAATATTTTATCTGACCCCGTTTCTGAAGGTGTTTCAAAGCTACGGTCGACAACGTTTGATTGGACAATTGGAACGGCCTATGCCGAAACGCCGGACGGGCACATCTTCTTTAATAACCCCACTTTCGTTACATCAACAGACCGAGGTACGACCAGATGCTTTCTTACTCTTTTAACTGATGTGCATGATATGCCCACGGTAAAACCATATTTCAAGCGGAACAGAAAAACAAGCTGGCTTGATTATCTGTGTTTGACTTTCGAGAATGTAAATTTCAGATAATCCACTCCATCGACCATCTTGGTCTGTGGGATCATAGCTATCCTTAAGATTCATCTCGTCGGTCCAAGCAAAGTTGAATCAGAACCCTGCATGAACTACTAGCATGAACCCTAAACCCTAAACGTAATTTTCACTTACTTGCAGAAGAACAGTCCAACTGTCTAGCAAAATATCAAGAGCTTCACCAGTCCACGTTTCCTCCTCATTGTTTTGGGCACCACTTGCTTTTATGATTTCACACGTAAGCGAGGCCAAAAGGTTCAAGGTGCCCACAGGCCTGCACACCCAAAAGTCATATACTTAGTAGAGATAGATCTGCTGAAATATGGGCTCCAACTTTCACTACATTAGCGGGCAGTAATAAGTGGGAAAAAAATAAAAAATTGAAATACCTTGGCCCGCCTCTCAAGAGCTGATCAAACGCTGATGGAGAAGTGAGACTGGCAACAGCTACTAGTGCCCGGCATCCATCAAGAAACTCACTGCACCCAATATTGAACCACTTTTAGTTTGCCATTTAATCTTAAGTTTGCTTTCAGTTTCATCTGTCACGCCAGGCCAAGACGAAAATAATGAGTGTATTTTGTTCTTCCACTGGCTTCGCGCGTAACTTCATTATGAAGAAAGAAACCAGACGCGAGACCGCAGGTATTGAGGCAAGGTAGGAGAACAGTACCTTTCACTGGTGCCGGATTTAATAGCTCGCACGATATGCTCTGGTGGGTCTAACCATGGACTGATACCAGACATTAAACGCTGGAGATGTAGATCTTGCGTGGTGTTGCCATCTACATGAATAGATTCTTTCTTGTCAGAAAACCAACGTGAATTTCAAATTTGGCGTCTTCAACTGGACATTATATCTTTGTGAAAGGATGCGTAGATTCAAAGAAGAAACCCTGCACTAAGTTTCTATCCGTTAAATCACATTTACTTTGCGTATCTACAATAACTTCTCCGAACAACGCGTTGTCGGATACAGCTGAAACTCTGATCAACTCACGGGGTGAAATCAGGACGAAGGTAGAATCACTGCACTCGTTCCTGGCCTTACCAACAGGGAATATACTTCCACTCAAAGAACAGAGTTGAACAATTAGCTGTCGAGCGTTGACTGCAAAGGGAGAATCAATCCATCCACTGCCCCCTAACCCGCCCTGTCGAATCCGCGCATAAAGCTCCAGAACCCAACCGACGCGATTGGGAGGTAGCAAAGTGTCATGCCAAGCAGGCCCTGGCTGGAACGTGCATCCCAGTGTACCTTGTAGTTTAGATTTCTATAAGCGTTACTAACAAAAGCAATCTCGTGTCTAGATCCACAAACGCGCACACTTGTTTTAAGAATTACAGAACCTACAATATTCATGGCAGAGAGAAGTGCAGACAGTTAGGAGGGAGATCATCTAACACAAGTTGCACCGCATGTACACTTTCTACCTGTGTTGAAAAGACGCGATCTGACCATACCTGGACAACAGAGGCGTGTTCTCCAGGTCGTTTAATGCTTTCTCGTCCCATCGAAGATGTAAATGCATTGGATCTATTTTTGCCCACAACAATAGACCCATTAGGTCCACGAACCAAGGTTCCTTGAAACTCCCAGTTCAAAATTTGAGACATCAAATGCAGAGCTGCTGAGCAAACGTTGACATCAAGAGGAGTTCCCACGCCCTGAAATGCTCTCTCAGCAGAAGATACCGCCGCATCTTGCGCCCACGAATAAAATTGCTGACAACATAAAAACAGCACTGTTATGTTGTTTCATGTTCACGTCACGACTCCACATTGTAACGAGGAAGAAACAGGCAGCGAAGTGTATGACCTGTGTAAAAGCTAGCAAAGTATGAAAACTTCATAGAGATGTACCTGAAGGTAGTCTAGCTCCAAAGAAGCTCGACAATGTTCATGAAATTCCGCCGGAAGGCCCATAGCACTGGCTGTAGAGGGTGAGAACTCAGAAACCTGGAGAGTTTCACAGGAGAAATAACTGCTCAAAAACGAACCAAATGCCCTTGCGCACTTACTGTGGTATTATAACGCTTGGCAAATTGATATCGGTATAATAATTGGTATACAAGCCCAAATATAATGTCCACAATAATATGTCCATTGTAGCAGTAACCTGCAGGAGCGAATTCATTCCTAGTCCATGATACTACCATACAAACTTCAGAGTGAATCAGTCCAACTCTTAGTGATGAAGCCTAACGTTCAAACTTTTGAGCTCCAGGAATGAGAGGAGCATTTATTCGTATGGTGATGTCCAAGAGCGTACCAAGGATTCCAAAAGTGCGATCCCTGACCTCTGGGCAGCAGGTCCATGTGTCCCCAAAACTGCAACTCTGACCTGCAGGATCATTTCTCCAGCGTCAGAAGGAAATTGACTAATATTGGTCTCCTAATCGACTTTGTCACGCACCCAAGCCATGGCGAGTCTATAAGCATCTAAAGGATTTCTACAATCTTCAGTTAAAATGATTACGTTGGATCGCTCTAATCCAATTACCTCATTGAAAAAGGACTCCTTCTCCGTCGCCACGGAATCCAACCTACACAATGAGGCAAGAAAGTTGGCTGCTTATGCCTGACTGGCATCGGAAACTCTTATTATTCACCTCCTTTAACAAAATCGATACAGATTTACTTTTGGAATCTAGATTCCAAAAGTATATCTTCGCAACAAACTACACTATTCAATATTTTGAGAACCTCACGTACTAGAAGTGACAAGGTCCAACTTTTCTTAAATCAACTCTTCACACAAAACTTGCCAGTAGAGGAGCTAGAGAAATGAGCTTTCCTTTCTAACTGAATCCTATCCTCAGAGTACTGAAACTTGTCAAGAAAATGTAGCGTCGCCAGTATGTATGAAAGCAAGATGCAGACTCGTGGTTACATGAGATTGAATCACCCGGGTAAATCACAAGATTGTCTATAGGCCAAACTATGAGAACCACGTATTCTTGTGTTTGAGCATATTACCATCCCCTTTTCAACAGAACTGCAGCTACTGCGAGGACTTTGGACTGTACGAACGGTTCCCCGGCCTCAGCGCGTGCCATTACATAGTGGAGACAGTATCTGAACCCAGTTAACACAACAAGAACGGGTCAAGTCTTGTATACATCGCCTGAGAGTAAAAGTCGTGACTTCCGTTTGAATCGTGCTCATCACACTTCTTCGGAACAGCCAGGACCAATTAGGCCCAACATATGAAGGCTTGTCCATTGCTCCCTCCAGATCAGAGTTTACTAAAACACACCAGCGGGCTGAACAATTGTTTGAAAGAAAACGCATAGAAATACCATACGTGCGCAGGCTGTTCTTGTCTTCAGCTGAAAGCAACGTCCACTCTCGAACAGCAGCTTCCTGCATTGTGGCTGCAGCTTGGAACCTCGCAGTTGCCAAATGTGAATGCTCTGTGCAGAAGCTCTCTTATCAGCTCATAAACCTCGAAAGAAGAAAACTCTGTACCAGAATGACTTATGCAAAGAGTTCTTACGACTTCTTGGTATTTATCGGCATTATTAAGCCCCAGATTCTGAAAAAAAGCACGATGCTTCTTACTCCTGAGGACAGTATAAAGAAAGCAGATAGTAAAGATAATCGTAGCAACTTGGCTGAGCCTAACCTACAGAAAACAATTACACCGTTCTGGTAGGTCAATTCTCTGAGAGCAGAGATTGAAGTGGTCTACTTAAAGAAAAAATGTAGTAATCTCTCCTGCAGATGTTACTACCTTCTATGGATAATACACTTGCAACCACGAAAAGCCTACAGCTTGTAAAGAACAGTATCAGTGAGAAGCTATACAAGATATAGCCGAGACTATACAGCAAAAGCAACCCACGACGCACACTTCTCTCCTGAGTGTTAGTCAGCAGCTGCGAAATGAACATGCCATCGGTCCGCATTGTCTCAGATGTCAGACGTAGTTGTTTACATGTTTCCCCTACTATTACAGAAACGTACCCAGTATGTATTGGCATGCTTGCACCGGATGAGATGACCTCCGAAATGCGAGCAACGTTGCCTCAGCGGCAGCCCGGTTATTCGGCTCCTGCTTAGGACAGATTCCAGCATCCTTATCAGCACACGAAACAGGACATGAAACCACATAATTTTCTCTACCAGGGTGTGCATCGCACTTTAGAAAGTACTGCAAGTCATCCATTCCAATCCATGTTGTTGAAATATGGACTGTATTTCGAGACACTCCTAACAACCTCTCAAAACTTCAAAGGCATCAACCACGATGGCATGGAACACTTAAATTGATGTGCAATCTCATAGTGTGATACTTGTATCCCAGACAGCAATGGAAAAGCGCAGATGCCAAGCACCATATCAACAACAAGAAAGCACACGTTCAGAGGTCTACATTAGTAAGGACCATTGAGACACTGATGACTTTTGGAGTGTGTCACCCGTCATTTCGCTCCGAATGAATTTAAATTTCCAAAAGCTACAATTTAGTCCCTCGTTCATAATGCCAAATAAATCAACTTTGCGATCAGAAGCTCATGTTTTTCATTTAAGATGAACTTCTCAAAGGAGTCGAATCCGTTGTAAAGACAAACCCTAATCTACCTGAAGAAATCACGGATCATACAGATAATCCGATGTTAAGTGGTAAACGACAAATGAGCAAGGAAATAAGAAAGTCGATAGTGGCAAAGAATATAGAAAAAGTAGACAGTAAATTATAAATGGCAAGTTGAAAGAAAAAGCATGGAAACACAGGAAGAAACTCTTCCGAACTGGCTCGAAAAGACGAAAATCTTATTGATCGGCAATGCTTCAGTACTCATGATATCCACCAGTCAATTTCAAGTGTTGGTCAAGTTATTACTCGGATACATCCAGATTCTCGATTTGCAAAGTATAACGAGGTAGCAACAACCTCACACGGTGTGAAGATATCTTGAATGCCTCAGAGCCTTCACGATTAAGCCTAGTCCGAATGGATGTGACTATAAGCTAGACGGATTGTACCTGCAGACCAGAGCATGCCTGTTCCACGGCTTGCATAGTCACCATCAGACGCTCCATATCGCTTCCCAACATCCCCTGCTGCTGCCAAGCCGGTTGCTCCATCCCCATGTCTTGTATAATCCGTCAAGTTGACCTCTTAATCATGAAACTCCACATCCGTATGATAATATCATCATGTTTGGATGGTGACCCTCCTGCATACTACGCACCAGACCCCTGATCAACTACTCGGAAGTGAAACACTGACTATCGCTTGCGAAAAAAAAGCTCGATAGTGCTCCCGCTCAAGACTCTATACCCACCGTAGTAACCTCCTGCTCCAGTTCTAAGAATGTGTCCGCATTTACCACCTAAATTGTGGGACTCAATGTGTACAGCACAATTTACTTCTGTAACAAATTACGGCCGATTCTCCTGAATTCCAGATGTTACAATCCACATGTCATCGCTCCATCCAGGCCTACTCGAGCCCTGCGTTTACGACGCTTCATCGACCTTCAAGCATCGGGTTCAAATTTTCTTAAAAACCAACCAGACCTTTTGGAACCAAATTCAGAAGACGCCCAGTTGTGGCAGCTGAGCTCACTTGCTAAATCGGCCAACAAGTTCATCCATGCCTTGTTCTTGGCGTCATCCACATCGACAACTATAGCTGGCGAAGCAATCCACATGAGGTGAAATGAGGTAATAAAGAACCCAAGGCCCGCCGCATTTCACAGAAAGCTCGCTTGTTCTCTTTCTGGGCCTCAAGGCTATTCCGAAGCTCAAACAGAGGACGACAAATCCGAGCGTGTGCTCGTTTCCTACCACTACTGCTTTTCATGCCCCTCCTTCCTTTTCCTTCTCTTCGACCGCTGACCGTTAAACACCTGGTTTATTATCTTCATAAGCATTGGCAACATTCCTAAAACGGCGGGCGCTAGTACGGGAAAAGCCGGGGTCTTAGCTAGGGTGCATTACTCACGCCTTCTCCTTCTCGATGAACATTCTCCGTCCGACGAGACGCGAACATATGACGTGGTAGGATCCAAGGTGGATTTCAAAAAACTTACCAGTGTACGGTTTTATTTTAGGGATTTATTCACACATCCACTTAAAAAATGATTGTGCAGCGGTTTTGCACCCGGACATTGGTCTGACCGCAACTTTCACTCACTCATGCTCGCTTCTCTTTACGTATTGTCAGAAGTATGTCTTCGCGAACTACATATGAGCGTATAAACCGAATTCTTACGGTACTCTAATTTCTGTCCAGTAATTGGTATAAAATAAGGATTGATGATGACACCAAGTTTTTGATAAATCCTTTAGAAAGACTTTGAAGTTTTGCTAGTAGAAAATATCAATTACTACCTTGCAACTCTATGCATCCAAGCGATTGCCGTCATCTATTTCTGTAGTAATGTTTTCACTTGTAGTGGATATAGAATTGTAATAAAATATACTATAATAATACACGTCGAAGCCTAAATCAAATTTGAGATAGGTTTCAAACAAAAGTAAACACGATAATGAAATTGTGTGTATGATTAGAGACATTTTAGATGCTTTCTTTGATGTTATATTACTGAAGCATATATTTTTCATCTTATATTTAAAACAAAATCTTGTAACTCCGTGGAAGAGTCAATTCCTACAATTTTTGTTTGTTCTTCAATTGTATGCACATATTTTATAATCAAAGTTTAGGGTTGCAAATAGCCCATATATCAAAAAATTGCGGTACACCCTTCAGTTCTACATTGTGCAAGTTGATAATTTTGACTTCATCATGCACCATCACTTTTTTATTCTTTAGCATCTCTTCATGAATCTGGATCTGGATCTACATCTTTATCATTCACTGGTGACTGTAAATTCAATGTTTGTGTAACGTATATCCACACAGACATGAGGACAAGTGTTTCCAACAAATTTAATTTATGTTACTCATTCTACTCAAGAAAATCAATATAACTTGAACTGGACTCAACTTGTATTTTATTACTTAAGATTATGTTATATAATAAACAAAAAATACTTAATACGTTTTAGAGTATGATTTCTTGTCTAGTTTTTTTTTTCCACAAATACCAAAATCATGAAAATTTCCAATGGATATGCATAGAATCATACATTTATTTTCCAAATTAAAATAAACTTGTAGTCATGATTGTGTATCTTAAGACTTAAATGATAGCGAAGTGTGGTATTTCTATTTATCAAAGAATCAATAACTGATGCATTACAATGGCTTGATTACTTTGCAGTCATAAAAACTCATGCAATTATATCAATAATGCTAGGTAATTAGATTTAATACATTTCAACAGAATGTGTAAAATGATTTGCGATATTTTTTATATAATACATTACATTACATTGTGTTGCATCAATTCAAATAAATCGTATGAATTATGAGGACATTTTGTAATTGTTATTCAAATAAAAATGAAGACATATATAAAAACCCTATATATATGTATGTTTGCATTTTTTATTTACTTTATGCATACTTTGCCTTTATTTATACAAGCCAGTTAACATTTAACACAACATTCTATTTTACATTTTTTTTTCAATTTTTCTCCAATGATCATTAGGCATGTGATCATAAATTAGAATCGCAAAACTAATCAATCTTTTATATTTTGTACACGAATCTTTGCTAACATGATCTTTATCTTGTCACCCACAGCTATTCAATCTTACACAGAATTTTAATTAAGAATGTAGATATTAAATACTTATGAAAATGAAAGAATTGCGACAAGATAGATTTAAATAAATAAAATAGATAAAATATGTAAATGAAAAATAATATAAATGAAAAAAATAAAATATGAACTAGCACATTTTCAAAAAATTTGTAGATTTTCAGTATAGAATATATAAAAAGAGAAAATTGCTTCAATGATGGACTCAAGTAAAATTTTAAAACTTGGATAACTTTCGAAAAATCCAAAAAAAAACAATCATAATATAAATTGATATGCAAAAATAATATTGAATATTTTTTTAGCAATTATTTATCCCTGAATATTTTCAACAATTTTCAAATTTTATATAAATCAAAATGTAATCAAAATCCACATTGAAGATATGCTATATTTTAAAAAATAAAGTACACAATTTCCCCTTGCAACTAAATTTATCTAATACTTGTTCATGTTTGTTCATTCTGTGTTATTTGTTGATATTAATAAAAAAATAATTTATCAAAAACTTGTAGGTATACAAGTGTATTTCAGTGTATGATAAATATATATTATATGGTTAAATATTTTGGCTGTAATAGTTGATTTTTCTTTTTCCATACAGACTTTTTAATAACTATATATGATTATGAAATATTTATGTAGTAAATAAAAGAATGTAATCGTACATACAATCTGATTAATGAGACGTAATGTGTACTTAATATTACAGTGATTCAAACGATTAAAGTTGATCAAGATGTTAGATATGATAAATTAGTTTCTTATGTGGATATATATATATATATATATATATATATAAATATATATATATAGATCAATGTTTAAACTTCTTAACATCAATATTTGATGAATAATGTCTTTATGAATACAAATATCTTGCTTTTAATAGATGGAAATAATTTCTTGTAAACCGATTCATGAGACTATAATTCACTTTTTATTCGTTAGATTTGTTGTTCGTTTCAAAAGCTAGTATATGCTTGACGAAGATGCAAATTTCTAGATTTTGGTCATAACAAGCATATGTTATCTTAAAATTTGTACCATCTATTTTCCTTTAGCAGTGAAATTTTAAATAAACCTTAAAACTACATGTATTTTTTTTTTCTCATGTGTGAATATAATTTTAACTCATAAGAAGTCAAGGTTTACATGCGGGACAAAAGATAGCTAACAATCAATCGTTGAAAATTTGATTTATGTGTAAATAGATATATCGCATGAAAGCAAAATCCAATTGGTTTGCAATTTTTTGAAGGGAGATAAATAAATAAATAAATAAATAAATAATTGCAAACTTGATGTTTAATTATTACACACGTGTAATATTTTCAAATGTACTTATAAGGAGTGAGTGCCTTAGCATCACTCAAGCTATTTAAATATGTACATAGAATGCTATAAAGCTTTTCTAGTACATGATTTTCTTGTACGCATAATTTAATCTGTTTGTGAGTCAACGAAGTAGAATCTAAAAATGTGACATATTTGCTGCTCACTATGTTCTGCATCTATAGCTGCATGCTAGCTACATGACTATCAGTTTTAAGAGAATAATAAATAACAATTTTCTTATCACTTGTTCTCATGTATCTTTACATAACACAAGCTAATAGTATACATCAAAGTTAATAGAAAATTTACATTTCACTTATTTTGATAATAGAAAATCTAGTATCAATTTAATGAATTCTTATTATGTTCATGTCACAAATGAATTTGTAAGCCTTGGAATTACAACTTCATGATGGTCACAGAATGTAAAAAACAAAAGAGGAGTTGTAATATCAGCACACGAAGTGTTATGATTGGAAAATCTACCAGCTGAATATTATCAGTATGTTGATGTCATGGCTTTCCAGTGTAAAAATGTAGAACAAACTTAATCGTTTCCTTCATTGTTTGATAATATAGGTAACGTTATTATCATTACTGGAATTAATATCATCTAGTCATCGTATCTAAGCAGAGCTCTCAAGGTTATTTTCAAATTCCATAAGGGTATACTGGGAATTTGATTATAGTCAATTATCGCTTTATGCAGATTATCTGCAAAGAGTCAATAAAAGTTTTAGGTTATTTCATTAAAATCTTTATCGGGCGAATAGTGTTTTGTCGTTTTACATATGCATCCACTGAATTCTAACTAATGGTACCAACGCGAAAATGAAGATCGAATGAATGCTGTACAGTATAAATATCCGCACAACGCGAAGAATAAATCGAAGACGAGAGTGAAGAATAAATAAATAAAAGTAAAGAGAAATCGGTTATAAATTAGAACAGGGTAAAACCAGCTAGATTGAAGAAACTTAGATGGGAATAAAATGCAGTACCCCGAATATCTAAGTGGTAATAGAAGATTGCACCTGGGCTGACTGTTCAATTCTTTGTCGTGTTTGTTGATCAGTGCTGTATGTGGTATGAACTAAAGAAAGAGTACGGGATTCGGCAGACTGCCTAAACGCTGATGATGATGTAAAGGTCGGCGCCAAAGCGAGCAGAGCATATTACTCAACAGCAAGAGAACAACGACCGGAGGACCCCGAAGAGGGTTTAGTCTCGAGGTCAGTTCTTGGTAGGGTTTGATCTGCCGAGTCGCAGATGCACTCTCTACCGCCTTGTGGATTGCCTCTGGACTTCTACAGACGAGCAGTAGCAGGTTTCGGATCGCAAGAGGGCAGCGGGCTTGGGCGGAGTTGCGCTCGAAGAGTGACCGACACAAGAAGCTCAATCGCGTAGCCCCGAGATGAAACGTTTGTCTTGGCTGTGTTGACAATACCGAGAAGTAGATTAGGAAACTCACATTTCCCCCACTTAAGAAGCCTCGAGGCCTGGGAAGGTAGTTCTGTTTTCAAGCATGGCAGAACATTTGGCTTCTATTTTCGGAACCGAAAAGGATCGAGTCAACTGTCCCTTTTACTTCAAGATTGGAGCTTGCCGTCATGGAGACAGATGTTCCCGCCTGCACAATCGTCCGACTGCCAGTCAGACATTGCTGCTGGCGAACATGTACCAATCTCCAGATGCAGGGTTCCATGGCGGAGTAGATCAGCATGGTAACATCCAACAGTCTGACCCACGGAAGCTACAAGAGCACTTTGAGGTCCGCCCATTCTTCTTGACTCTCTTACACTGGTTGTTGGATGCGCTGCCTACTTTTGTGACTGCAATGTTGTCTGCAAGGTCATTAGTATTGAAGAACGGCTATGAGGAAAACGAAGTCTCTTCTCGACCAAACGGAGCTAGTTTAAAGATGAGTGCTTGTGTCTATGTCTGCACGCATGATACTTTGAGAGAAATAGCCGCATTCGAGGGGTTTACGGAAACTATTCCCGTTTTTCATCGTTTGTGTGAAATCTTTACCATTTCTTAACGGTACTTCAGTTTCGTTATCTGGTATAGTGAAGGCACTTATGTCTCTAGAATGCGAAGGAGTTCCTCATAATCTGTGCGAAGCACCTCTAGTCTCCTTTGTTCTGAGATATAGTTATTGTCGGCTACTTCATTTGTTTGGCCCAAACTTCGAACCCTGAGTTCCGCGAGAGTTAACACGCGCCTGCAATTGGTCGCGTGTTGGCCGTCACCGAAGTACTGTTATCAGAGTAGGCTGTAAGTGCTGTTCGCCAGGGCCGGGTAGGTGGAGAGTGTTTGCCGAATCTTCTTTCCGGTTCAGAGTTCAAGAATGTGCATGTACTGTCTCAAACTCTGGATTACGTTTGGGTGTACTGTTGGTCGTACCAGGTGCATTTTATTGAGTAATCATCTGATGCCATTTGAAAGTCACAATTCCTGTAGTTACTCCTGAAGCAGTACGGGCAAGGATTATTGGGTACTTGTTGTCCACAGCTGTGGGTTTCATCGTAGTTGGTTCAAACGAATTTTGGCGTGGTAGACGCGAGAATTTACAAACAATCTTCAGATAGCTGTATTGCATGACATTCTAGCAGTCGGTTTTTGCATGTAACCTCATCGTGAATAACTTAGTCCCGTACTTTCATCTTTCCTGAGTAGTGCCGAATGCATCCGAACTTGATTTGCTAGCTACTTTATCGAATCAGTTGACATTTTTGAGAAATATAGCTTTGGTCCATCTTTGCAGGACTTTTACGAAGATATATTTGAAGAACTGAGCAAGTACGGGGAGATTGAGAATCTGAACGTCTGCGACAACCTTGCAGACCATATGGTAATCAATTTTGCGCTCTCACTTGAAGGGAGTATATAATTTACTTGTAACGACATCTACTAAATTGTCTTTTGGTCTGCTGTATTCTTCGCCCTGTCTTTGCATTCATTGGATTTTGTTGAAAGACATAATGGGATGTAAGGTGGATTACCTAGTGTGGTTGAAAGCCAAGTAGAAAGTTTGCTGGAGCCTTTTTTTCTAGGTTATGACTTAGAAACAGAACTTTTTGGACTCCCTTCTCATCACATCCTTGTCGTTGGTGAACAATTCGCAGATTGGTAATGTTTATGTGAAGTTTCGTGAGGAAGAGCATGCTGCCGCTGCTCTCAATGCTCTAAATGGGCGATTTTATGCTGGTACGTACATCTAGAATTTGTCTAACTGGTACATCTGTCCTGTCTCCCCTTCTGATATTCTGAAGCTTGCTACGGACGACCCCTTTTTTTCTACCAGCTCGAAAGGGATGTGTACAAGACTTGCAGATGGCTAATATAATGTGTGGGTAACACGATGTCAGGGAATCAACCAATCCATTCATTTGACCCAATAGCCACGGTATAGTCGAAGGACTGTTATACTAGGCGACTGCTTCAGAATTGTCTTGCGATTTCTGTGTTGGTTCTTCTCTTCAATTTCTCGAGAGATATCCACGAGTTTAGTTTTGTTAGAAGTATTTACAAAGTATTTACAATGTTTAGCATATTGTTTATCGTACTTGGGTTTTATTCCCTTGGATTGTCTGAAGTCTCCCTTCCTTTTGATTTCCTGTACATGTCAACAGACCCGAATCACCTAAACTGTTAAACCTCATGTAGAAGCTTTTTTGTAATAACCAGATCTTATTCCTCGTGGATGGGGTACGCGGTGTTTATACATAAAATATCTTGAGCTTGATTTTGTGCACCATACCACTTCGAACCTTGATCAACAAGATAAAAGAAATAATCACATCTGATCTTTTGTTGATTGATGCAGGTCGACCAATCATAGTGGATTTCTCCCCCGTTACCGATTTTCGTGAAGCTACTTGCAGACAATATGAGGAAAATACATGTAATCGAGGCGGATATTGCAATTTTATGCATCTGAAGAAGATTTCGAGGTAATATGCAAGACACTCTTGTTTTTGTACATTTTGGCTTAATTACCTCCAATCTCTGCTATTACCTGCTATTTCCTGCCTTTTTATCCATGTTCGTATAAAATTAAAGGAGAAATGTTTACCGTTTCTTCGAATTCTGATATGTAGAGAACTCCGAAGAAAATTATTTGGAAGCTACCGGAGGAGAAGTCGTAGCAGGAGTCATTCTCCATACGGGCGTGGTGAAGCACGAGGACCACCCAGCCCTCGACGTTTTGGAGACAGGTATGCTTCTCTGTCGGGGAGGATCTTACGAAGTTCTCAATTGGATGATCTCGTGTTTTGGGGAAAAGCCAGTTGCACCACGATTCCGAGTGTATCACTTCTGAAGACCTAACTTGGCTCCAGTGTTTTCATCGCATGTCTTTTATACTTTGAGTGTCTTCTTTAGGTGATGACATGATGTTCAGTAGCTTGTCCTTTATGATGGGATTCGTCTGATGGGTGGAAATTAAAGACACCATCTGAAGAGTTCGCAGCAATTTTACCTTTAGACCATTTAATATGTTTCTCAAATGACTGCTCGTCTCCATTAATCCATTGTCTTACGTTTCTTTCGCACGTGGCTTAGCTATGTATGGCACTGGGTGACACACATAAAGCCCGGGGAGTTCATCTTTTTAATGGCCTGATCTGGCTAGTTGATAGATTCAGTGTAAACCAACCCAGTTGAAGGGTAGACTCTCATGGGAACTTCTTTATTCAAAACCATTAGATGTCAGAGCTCCGAAGTAGTTGTGGCCTCCTCTCATGTCCGTCCATAAATTGCAGGGATTTTTTTGAGCCGAGAAGGGGAGGCCGAGGTGGTGGCCGGGGAGGCGGTCGTGGATTTGGCCGCAGATTTGACGGGGATAGGGATGACCGTCGATACGATGATAGGCGAGGAAGGAGAAGAGACAGGAGCAGAAGTAGAAGTCCCGGTCAAAGAAGAGAGAGGAGTCCTGTGCGTGAGGGTAGTGCCGAACGCCGTGCTAAGATCGAGCAGTGGAATCGAGAGAGGGAGGAACGTCAAGCTGCTGAGACATCCACAGCGCCGCCTTCAACCGTGAACGGTGCTTCTGCTCCGTACGATGATTAGTTCAAGCATGATTATGTGGTTTGTAATCCACCACCTTGTCAACTTTATGAGTCTTGGGCAATTACTGTCCTCCGTCCACCTCCTTAGCAGTTGTGCCATTGCAACTGAGTTTGACACTAAGTCCAAGCAACTTAGAAATTAAGTCGGGGATCAACGAGCAGAGACGAATAGACTTTGCATGGTCTGGTCGGTAATGGCAAGCGGTCCTTTTACGCAGTACTGACAAAAAGCCTGAGCATGTGCGCAGGTTCAGGTTTATAGTTGCCATGCACTACATGTTCAACATTGTCGCAGGGGCAGTCTAGGCTGCCATTGATATGAACATGCTTTGAGTTTGCGATCTATAAGTGGGAGCTTCCTGCTGCCCATCTACTGGAACAGGAATTATTATTTCAACCTCATGGATTGGTAGCTTTTGAGCATTAAGAAAGAGGAAACTAAGATTTTATGCTTCCTGTAATCATCCGATCTGTTGACCAGGCTCACAGAGGTGGATGAGTGTGACCTGCAGGTGCAGGTAGCCCACTGCAGGTTTTGGTAGTTGACATGCCCTTTGGACTGACAGGTGAAGGTGACGAGCAGGATGTGCAGATCAGACAAACCAAGGCGCAGGTGCAGGTCTTCTTTATGTGGGCAAGTGGATGCAGGCCCACTCTACATTCGACTGGCTGTTCGAAAGCCCACAATTACAGTCACGTTTTGCGACGAGAAGGGTTCAGATCCTTGTCATGCATTTATATCGCAGCAGTTGTTGCCGTGTGTGCAGGTGCATGCAGGGCTCTTTGGGATGAGCTAATTTTTCATTGTAGAGAAGCTGTAGTATCAGAATCTAAGCAGTGCCAACTCATGGGCAGCTAGCTTACAACATAAATTTCAGCAAGATTTATGGTTACCTCTCGGTCTAAGTTTCATGCCAAGTACAGGTCTCGTGGTGTTGGGACGATGTTCTAAGTAGTTAGATCTGGGAAGATGTAGACGGAGGTTCCTAGACTTTTCTTCTCGAGGATGATTGTTATGAGAAATCTGCCACAGCTTTATAAGGATGTTGCAGGTTTGTAAACATGATTTGGAAGAAATCAAGGGTTCCATGATTCCCATCGAATAGTCACTCCAGTTTCGCACGTGTCACATTGAGTATAGCCAACCTATAACCAACGCCTGTAAAATCCGTGCAATCACCTGAAGTTGATCCCTCTCCACCGACATGTTTTCGTTTTTTCACAAAGGTAAGGTTTTTCAAAACAAGCGCTTTGTACAGCGAGCAGTTCTATTACATCCGGTCAATCGGAAATAATTTAGGGCCGCGGAAAGGTACTACGCAATGGAGAGGGGCAAAGTAAAATTCTTGTTACTTGCTCCTTACCTAGAGGCTGTATCAGAAATTCTTGTAGCTGTCAAAGGGTGAAGTGTCCTAAGCGATTTCATGTTTAGTGAACACATCTTAGAAATTGGTAAAAAACCAAAAACCGAAATGTTTCCTTATGAATTAAACAATTCTTCCCAGTTGAAGTACAAGACAGGAGAGAACGTCAGCGAAATGATGTTTCCTTGAACACGTTGACAAACCAAAATAATAATATTCATTATGGTGCGCAAAATCTTACAGCGAATTATGGCATAGAATATATGGTTAAAATTGCTGTACTTGTAAGCCACGATTGTAATCTCCAGAGTAGTTAAGAGCAGGGGTGGAAAAAATCTCCAGAATAATGAAGAGTACAGGTGGAAAAAGTGCTACTTTCATCTAAAATAAATTCTGATTAATTGAAAACATTTAAACATCTGATTTCAATACTAGTTTCTAACCCATTATATTAGATTAGTATTTAACTAATTCAGAACGGGGTGGAAAAAACTCGATTTTTTTCAAAAATAATTTCGTGTTAATCGGAAGTTTGGCTTTTCGCAGGATGTCCACATCGTTGGCTTTTCGTCACTTCCTCTTTCGCATGTTACTTTTTATAATATTGTAACTTGACAACGTTTACAATCTATACAAAACTTGTCATGCTGGTTGGTTTGTATGTTTAACAAAATAATCTTCTTTAGAGTTAAAAGTATCTTTGGAGAACATTTTGAAGCTATATTCAGAAACAAATCTTTTGTTTGATTTTGGTGTACGAGATCGAGTACCATCTACTTGAAATAATGATTTTCATTTTGATAATTACATACTATCAAGATTTATTGCATAATACTGATTGAATGATTGCCGTGAGTTTTAAAAATCTCTCAGAATATTATACTTCACGACAAGAATTATTGAAGTTAAACACTAAAGATGTAATTAAATTTCCTTTTCGCTTCGGTTTCTTCTCTTAAGAAGAAAAATTACTAGTTTTAAAATGCATTCCAATAATTGCCAAATACTATTTCCTTTTCAAGATTTACATAAACGTCACAATGTTACACTTTTTCCTCAGTTACGATACAGGAAATCATTATACAAGCAATAACATGTTGTAATGAGGTGGACAATAATATCTTTACCTACGGACATGTGAGTCTGCACATGACGATGGGTGCAACAAGGATTGGTACAATTCCCTCATTTAGGACGTTGCTGTAACACATATCCGCCAAGTGATATACTAAAGTCGTTTACATTATTGGGTAGCTGGACAGAGATAGGTTTAATTTCGCAGAGTTGCTCCGTGGGATAAGAGTCACGTTTCAGGGCAATTTCCACATCCGAAGTAGATAAGATACAATTATTCATATTGTTGTGTGCATTATCTACAAGCCCTGTAGGTTTCCCAAGTAGGTGTATAATATCTTACAGGACTTACATCTTGATATGCAAATTGGGATTTGGGAGGGTGATCTACGGAAGCCTGAGTAAACATAAACGCAAAAAAAATATGAATGGTCTTCAAGAATATATTTACCTTTCTTAATCGATGGATTGACTGCTGATATCTTTTGTATTCTGTGCTCTAGTTTTAGAGACAATCGGACCTTAATGACCAGGCTCAAAAATCCAAGCTTGTAGATTCGTCATCAGTATATGAACTTTCCCGCACGGTTTTCCCATCTTTTAGGCCGACGGATGTACACTGGTTTCCCTGTTCGACTCTATAGAATGTAGTCTTATTCTTACTCCTATCGTGCTTAGTTAGATTGTAAAAAAAATTACCCCCGTTTTTCCTATCACAATTCTGGCATTCTAAAGAATAGGAAGTTTCACTACTGGGTCTCGTACAACATTTCCTACTAACTCTGACATCCTTGACAGAAGAATCTTCTCTAGTCTCTCTGACTAGATCCAAATTCCTCTGATTTGAATTATAAACAATATACCTACTTACAGTTTTACGTTCTTGGACCCTCGGACGATGCTGGCTGACGGGGTCCAGATCACACTCTGCACAGTGTACAGAATACTCATCTTCTTCTTTCCTTCTGGGAGAACTCCAACCCCACTCACTTTCTCTTCCCATAGAATCATTTGCACTCAAATTATCATTCTCCTCAAATTTGTAACCAGAAGGCGTACTCTCCCTTTCAATCTTGCGTTGATCCTTGCTCCGTTTTGTTTCGAAACCTGGAGTTCCCCTTACTCTGCAATCAACCTCTTTTTCCATCCTCAGTGGTAAAATGTTATCCTCTTGCTGGTCACCACAACCCTGAGAATGTGCCGCACGGCTTTTGTAGGTCGATCTTCTGTCATCGCTCCCGAACGTATTCATTGTCCACTCGTATTCTTCCCTCCTTGATTCCGTAATATCAAAGTCACTTTCACTATCGTGCCTTTTGATCATCTCCTCAACCAAATGAATTCTGGACTCATCCAATCCACCTATAGGATTCTGGACTGTCAAGTCCGGCGCATATCGTCTGACCAAAATTTCTAATTTCTCGTGTAAAGTTGCTTCGTGCTTCTCTCCTAGGCATTTTGGGTGTGTCATTTGGTTGAACCTGGCCTTACAAGTTGCAGTTTTCCTACAGGTGCATTCACGAGTATCAGGATCAGCACACGCACTATTCTATCGATTGAACAACTATATCTGACTCAATGAGTCCGAGAGTTACCTGTTTTTTAGATAAACTTTGCGCCAACAGATACTACCATGAGGTGACATGAGCCTCAGCATCCTGGTAGAACAAGTTCAAACAAGCTGCAGTCAGAAAAAAGACGGCCCAATTTGACAACATTTATACATCGATAATAAATCCACAACGAGATAAGAACAAACCAAAAATCACCTTGTAAGCAGCCGACGATCATCCTCATCTGACCATTGACGATCTTTTTCATCAAGACAAAGCTCCTTGTGCATAGATGGTGCCAGTCGTTCATACCTAAAAAGGACAACGGTAAAAGTTCAAGTATGACTGCAATTGAGTATGAAGGAAGCTTGTTTACTGAAATAATATAAGGCGAGCAAGAACCTCTATATGAGACCATCATCGTAGATTGTGAGTTAGATTATGCGTAACGAATTAATACTGGTGCGTTGGATCTGAACGAAGGGGAGTATACAGACCACACCGCACTGCATTGGTTTGCCGGTCGACACATCCTCAATGCAATTGGTTCCCAGCATAGATCATCTCTAACCTGTAATGTGCATACCACAGGAATAAGTTTAGTTTTCGCAGAGGCACATGAGTATAAAATAATTACTTATGTGTTATAAAAATATGATCGAGAAATTCTTCGAATAACCTTGCGCTTGCCGATTCTCTTTGTAGACTTGAAGATCTTAGTGGCTTTTGCGTCACGAACATGCCTACATAATTCATCGTACTCGTCTTGGGTCCATTTGCCTGTAAAATATAACGACACGACGAAATCCGTAACTTGTTAATCTATTCAAGTTTGCCCCTTCCCAACTTGTTAATCTCTTCAAGTTTGCCCCTTCCCAAATCGCGTGTAGCGGGTTTAACATATGTATTAGATCTAACACGGCAACAGTCACAAATTAGTTACCCCTCTTCCTGAACGTGCATTCGTCCGTTCTTATACTCCTCCACTTTCGCGCGCATGCTCCATTAGATCGTCCCAAATGACATGCGATAGTGGTCCAATTGTTACCATGTTTCTGAACCAGCCTTTCAAGACAACAAATCGACCCATCAGAAGAGTAAATCATTTTTGTATGAATGAATTTACAGAAAGTTCAAACTTCTCCGCGAGAAGAAAAAGAAGCGAAACTTAGAAAATGAGTTGGAGCTAATGTACAAGAGTAGATTACCGTTTCAGCCGTTCTGTCTCCTCCGCGTCCCACCTGCCAGTTTTCCCCTTAAAAAGAAGCTCACGGACCTTCATGTTCACTCGTACAATTGAAGAACTGGGTAGAAATTTGGCTGCAACCATGAATTCCAGACTTCAATGTTAGGAACTTCGACTTAGTATGAAACTATGAAACTTGGAGCATCTATTCACGTGACTTACCAATTTCTTTCCAGGCACCCCGAGCTTCAGCATGTGGATTTCCCCTACCGCTTTGGTGGGTAAGTATTTTGGCAGCCTCCTCCCTGGTCCAATTCCGTGCCTGAAACACGAGCACATTAGAAGATTATCAATATTAGCAAAGGCGTACAGTGATTGGCAGAAAACACATTTTTGTCTGTTGAATGATTTCAGATTAAAGTAAGTTGTTGAAACGTCGTCACAATAAAATATCAACTTCAACTAAGAGTAGCCTTGATTCGTTGATTTCACATTCTCCCTGAGTTAAGCACTAGTATTCTGGAAGCAGATAGTGCATCAGCAGAACCTTCAAAATTTGTCGAAGGTTCAGCCGATACTGGCGACTGTCAAGATGATGCTAAAGTTATGAAATCTAAGAAGCACCGTGAGTACCGAAGTCGTAATAAACTTGCTCTAACGACAAGTGCAACACAGCTATTCTCAGAAGGTGCCATAAAACCGGAATCGGTAAATTATCTGCCTTGGAACGTGTAAAATGCGAAAATCTACGCTCACTAAGAACAAAATAGCTGACACATGGCAGTGAACTGAATATGTATTGCAGATATCCTTCAGAAAAACTACCTCCATTAACTGATTCAAACCGCAGTTCAAGCTTATAATTTCATCTTCTGTGAATTTCCCGTGGTCAAGGTCCTTCCTCCTCCTATCTGAAGCCCACCCCCTCTCCTCCTCATCATCGTCTTTGCATCGTTTGGCCTTGTCATCGGGGCCACAGAAAAGCTTTTTCTGGCTTTTAGCTAGCTTTACTGTGAGAGGTATGCAATGGGCATCTCTCCCACGAATCTGAGAAAGTGGAGTAAACAGGGGAGGCTCAGATTCCTCGGTCATCCGCCTCTTTGTCTTGTGAATTAGAGTTGCTTCATGATCAAGTCCTGATCAGAACGGGGATTTGGTTAGAGAATTCATCGTCGTCGTAATTTGATACACATTTGAAGAAATGGCTTTCTATGATCGCCCTGGCATTTTTTTTATCATAAAAGCCATTGTCTCCAAGCATATTATAGATTCACGTCACGAGTTCAAGAATGAACGCATGTTTAATTGAATCCCCGCCGACAGGATGAGTTTATGAATGCTTTCTCACGATGGTACAGATTGGCATACTCAGCAATCTATATTACAAACAAGAAAAAATCAACTCTCCAAGACACGTGTGGCAAGCACGTTTAAGTTGTTCTTAGAATTCCTACCGGTACTCGGTGTACTCAAACTCCTCTCTTCTGGGGTACACATGGAGACTTCTGAATCCCGAATGCCTCGATTTATCTCGCGTGGTAGACTGCTAGCGTATTCTGGCCCTGTAACATTTAACAACAACGAGCATTTTTTTCAAACCCCGATGTGGCAGACAAGATTTCACGTCTCTAACACATGTAAGAAGTGATCGTCTATTCACTGTTCAATAGCAAGGCGTCCTCACCAGGTACTCCAGAGTAATTTCTGCTCTTACGCGTCCCCATCTCCAGTGTTGAAGTGCGAACAGGGAACTTCGAACTGAAGCTACTCTTCTTATTTACTTCCCCAATCGGCGTGTTTCGAGTATCAGGACCTAATGAGAACCGCTGTTAGTGCACGTAATTGTCCACGTGCATGACGCTGGGTCAAGGTACTAATTGTCCACAAATGCGATTGAACCCAGCATGTCCTACAGAACTTTCTACTCACCGCGTTCTTCCGAATGGTTGAAATCTAATACAAGTGGTTTCTTCATTTTGGCCTCAGGAGTAGAAGGATTATAATTAAGACACTCCGTGCTTCTCTTCTTCGCCTCCTCCTTCCAAGTTACTGCATAAACAATTACAACCATCCAGCAGGTACAATGGAGTAAGATTGACGACGTCAAAGAGCTGATAATCGTCTGTCTTTGAAAGCAGTTTCAAGATAAATTTAAGCATAAATTGAAGTGAGGCATAACGTCGGGTAGAGCAACTCTTACATGACTTTCGAGAGGATTTACTCCTTCGGCTCTTTCCTGCTTGAAGATCTGGTAAAGATGTACTATACTTCGAGAACTCACAGTACTGCCTCTCTACCTCCTCAACTGGGGTCTCTTGATCGGCATGTCCTAAGCAAGTAGACACGTGATCAGGTCAGATTTTTCGAAAGTCCGCGATGTACGAAAGCTGGGCTTATTAAGGCTTGCAAACGCACTCAAAGTAGCTCAATGAAGTCAAGTCCATGGAGTTCTACCATTTTCCCCAGAGTCGTCACGAGAATTGCGCTTCCTCCCCATTGGACTCGAGTGCCGTTGACTAACGTCAGCTGGAGACGCTACTCCTGCGATATCCTCATGCAGACCGTTCCAAGAATCAAAGAGCTTGCTGTAAGAGTTATACAGTACATCCTACATAACAGGTGATCGTTTGAGAAGTACTGGATACGTGACTTATAAGGGTAAGACATATCTATGGCCCGAGCGCTAATCGCAACCATTTTCTTCTCAAAATCTAGTTCACTGCACTTGCTCATGCCCAGAAAATCTTGAGATACAACTGAAAAACAACTAACCTGGAAACAAACACTTTGTACCAAGAGTTTAGACCTCTTGAATTTCCAGTCCCCAGGATGAGTCCGACAATCGACTACCAGAGAGCTCTTCATCCGTATTCCAAAGAAACCAACGTGAATAACGTGGAGCCCTCGTAAATAAACAGCCTTTCACGATCCAGGAAGAAACAAACACACTTCGGTTTCACAGTCCTCTCAGATTTGACTGAGTACGAGTCTGGATCGATTTCGACTGAAGGTTTTGCTCGTTAAACCTTATGAAGGAGATCCTCAGAAGAGCAGATCAATGGGGGCCGCTTCGACCCAACATCCCTGCTCTCTCACACAATTTTGGCAGCACACTAGTCTCCGGCAACTGACTACTGGAGGTGTGAGGTTCAGTGTCAATAACAGACAAATCAAACATTCGCCCTTGTAATCCCCTCTCATTGCTGGAGTGCTGATCTCAAAAGCCAAATCCGAGTTCTCCAAATGTCCAGTACAGGTCAAAGGTTGTCGACAGTCTTCCGGATACTGTATCAATGTCAGTGGGCTGCCCCATTCGTGTGGAGCAATTCAGTTGTTCCTCCATTCGAGTAAAAGCCCTTGGCAGTGACAGTCCAATCCTGCTTCTGATATCCCGGCAGGAGCAGCTGAAGTCTTCGTGTGTGATTTCTCTTTCTTTTTTCGCGGGCTAATTCTATGACAGAATTTAGTCATAAGTTCAGTGGAACAGGACTTGCTCTGATCAGAAACGGCAGTTCCAACAGTGAATGGTGTGCATGTCAAGCACAGACAAGGAAACCTGTCACGTTGGGGAGGCACCCTCCACCAACAACCAAGTGGCCATGACGAACTCCTGTCAACGCCCTCGTACTCGAACAGCATTGTGCCTCGAGTTTTTTGTCGAATTTTCGTCATTAGCTAATACGGCCGAATCTTTTTTTAGAATATAGCGGCTCAAATAAGAAGTGCGTTCACGAATTCAGCTGCTGATATCCTCTTCGTACCGACGAGTATAGCAGATATTTAACAGGTGGACTCTTGTCCTGGAAATTGCCAGAGGTCAGAAGTTGCGACGTGCGAAACGGAAACACAACTTGTTGCTTGCAGAGGGATGACTTTAATGCGATATTAGATTCCCAGTTCAGTGCCCTCATAAGATTCTTTCAGAAACAAACAGAGGGCCGATAATAAATATGGCAAACCTTCTAAGAGATCTCATCCGCTGTGTGATCTGCGCGATGAGGAGAATGACTCGATGGACTAGCAAATCATCGGCTAACTACCGAGTGCCACACTCATCCTAATTAAATGCAAAAACTGCTACACTGACGTCAAGCGTGGGTTCAGAACATTTATTTAAAGACGCCCACCTAAACACAGTCATATCGAGCGTGGGTTCATGGCCAATTGAAGGCTTTTGTCCCCTTCAAGCCCGGGAATGTCCGTTTCGTATGTTCATAGCTTTGGAAAAAGACAAAAACGGAACCTGGAAATTGCTTCCAACCTCACCGGCGGCTGGAAGTCCGTGAGCGATAAAATTTAATGCAACGTCAGTGTGACCAAGTTTAGATTGCAGGTTAAGAACATTCGATGGAGCAAAACATCCGTTCCTGGCGTCGCCGTCAGTCTGAGAGCAGCTGTAGCACCGAAAGCACTGTTTCGGAGTTTTCATGCAGGGTTAACAGATTTGTCTTTACAGCCGGGCCCTGTTGACGATGTTCGACCCCACTAGAAACCTAAAGAAACAGAAAACACAAATGGTCAGAAATCGGCATTACTGCACTGACAGTAAATTCATGACTTGACTCTCATAACAAACCCCAAGAAATTGCATTGACCATATTGTAGAACAAGAAGTTGGCCTCATCCAACAACTCAATTCCTCTTCGGCTACAGGAGTCAGGAGTAATTCTTTTGCCCCATGCCATTCGTTGACTCCTCATAGATCGGAGAAACTCTAGGCAGTCCATATGTAAGATAGCCTGCTACGAGGTTAGAAAAATGCACCTGTTTATATAGAGAGTTAAACTTATATTGATACTGAGGTTTTTACGTCATTATTGAAAGATGTAACTCACGTCACAAGAGTAAAGTGAGTATAACCTCCTAATAGTAACATACATGGATGTTGGGTTAGATATCACTATTGGGAGGAGTAATTTATATTTAAAAAAATTCATATATTTCTTATTGTGCATAGCATCAACCCTAAGACTTTCTATAAATGTGTTGTTTGGATTCAAAATGGCCTTCATGTGCACATCTATATTGTTAACATGGACATTATAATTACATTTATGGACAGCTATGGATTGGGCAAAAGCAACTTGGAATGAAATCAAACCTGTTACGATCCACAATTGCTTTTGGCATGCTAAGGTAGGTAGACCTCTGCACACGATATCTCACTTAAAGCAGGTTATGAATGCAGTCCAAGCCGCTCCACAAGCTCATGAGAATGGAGATGTCACTGATGTGGAAGCAGATGCTATTGAGCATGAGATCGCTGCCGGCATACAAGCTATGGACGTTGCCGCACCAATCTCTGTGAGAGACTTCATTAACCCTGCCGGCGAAGAAGAGAGCTCCTTTGAAGACCTCACGGATGAAGAGCTAGTGCAAATGGTGAGCAACGAATCAACAGGAGAAGAAGATTCAGAAGAAGATCAGGCCACGGACGTGCCTCAGAAAACCACGAAAGAAAAGTTATCTTACTTGACGGAAGTAATGAAACTTCTCAATCTCAGCAATCCTTCCCATGTCCAATGCAATACTGTACTACGCACCCTGCAGCGTGAGTTGCGCGCCTCCAAAGCATCGGAAGTGACCCAAACCACCTTGGATGTGTTTTTTCATTAATAGAAGTTAACTTGATTTTCAAAATTTCTTTATCAAGTATCAAATATCAAATTATCCTTATTCACGGAGTCGGTTCTCCGGGTTTTCTATCAAATTAGAGAATTATCGAGTTATAGAGTATCAAATTAGAGAGGTATGACTGTATTGTATAGTATCATGTCACTATTGGAAATAGTGACAAACCGTTTTTATTGAACAGATATACAAGTTAGAAAGTAATGGTTCTGGATTTTTACGTCACAAATGAGAGGATGTCATTCATAAAATATGACACTATTGGGATAACTTGGTTTAACTTGGTAGTAAAGTTGTTCTCATGAGACCGTATTCGCATGTAGGCTTTAGGGGAGTTTAATGTTGATCCACGAATCCAAAAAATTGTACACTCCATATATTAATTTGCATCACATCAAGTGCATTTAGTGCAATGAGAGGAAGGGAATGAGTGTTTCATTGAAAGATAGATGGATTTAATTGGCTACTCGAAAGTGAGAAAATTAATTTATGGGAAACTAACGTAACACAAATAGTGTAATGACATTTTATTCGATGAGATTTCAGGCAAGACTCACCGGAACCAATGTTTTGATATTTAGCAAGGTCTTGGTAACATGATTTTTTGTTTGTTTGTATAATTATTGTTCCAAGTTTCATTTTTTCTTGGACATATCAAAATTGCCGCTCCAAATTGGATATAGAAGGGAGGTGATGATTGCAGTGAATCACTTTATTCTCGTGAGACAAATTGAAGCAAAGGTCTAATGAGATGCAAAACTTCTCGATCATTTCTAGTAACTCTCTCTGCAGCATTCCGACAGGATAGAGATTCAAATTTTTTCTATGCAATGTGATGAGTGGGTTTTATTTTTCATATTACAATCACACAATTTCCATAGCGTGAATTATGTTGAGGTATAACCTCAAGTCAGAACTAAAACGTGTATAATATGCGGCCTAATTTAGGCACTCCGAAGAAATGAATAACTTTCAAACAAAATTTTAGGGTAATCACATAAGTATAATAAACGCGGAAAATAGCTTGAAGTTTAGTTGGTGCTGTGATATTTATATTCCAAGGTTTGTGTATTACATAACACATTTAGTACACTCTCACTCATGCAATTCTCCGAGAACTTAACTCTCTAAGGTGAAGCACGTTACATTGGTGTCTTTGGGTTTTGCGTTTTATTGTTCGCGACGCCTCATATATTGACAAAGCCAGGGTATGGATACTAAGGCGACTAGTAACCATTTTAAATGTAACAATATCAAAGCTGGCCTTAAAATTTTGATCAATATGGAGAATACGTACTGTGAACTTGCACTTTTTTTTAAAGTATTTATATCTTAACAAGCAAAATTATGATACTTGGCCCAAAACTTGGCTTGAAACTGTGGAACAAAGAAACTGGTTAAGTGATGATGAAAGAGTTTGGACATCAGTAGTATGAGGTCTCCAACTATAGGATTTGAATGGAAGTATAGAAGACAAAAGAAAGAAAAAGTATGACGAGAAATGTATTATGAAATCAAATGTTCAGTTTATTCTCCGAACGGAGTGGATGATTTCATCGTCAACAAAGCCGAGCGATAATTTCCTGTGGTTACAATTCACCGGTCCAATTCATGCTCAAAAGCAAGAGAAATCAGAAAGTTTGACAACAAGCCGAAGTAGCTAAGCATCAAGTGGTTTTGATCGAAAGCGGATCAAAACTAGGCAAAGAGGCTGGCGAGAACTAAGTGCGCACGTTTATGAGCGGTGTGATAGGTCAGTTTTTTTGTTTTTTCGGAAATAGAATAGAAGGTTGGAAAATTGAGGTCGTTTTTAACCTTTTAGGGTAGAAGTAACTAGATTAGAATAGAATAGCTTTGTTATGGTGGAGAGGAAGTAGTAGTAGCAATCCGGAGGGACCCTCAGCCGGTGCGATGGCCTTCAGGAGGGCAGCGAGGTCCGAGTCCGAAGGTACAGATCGGAAAGAAGGAAGACTTACTTTCTCCGAGTACCTAGACAAGTACTCAGGAGAGGGTACTCAATGAGTAACTCGGTACATCTCAATGAGTAACTCGGAGCTTCGCGATCACATGAACGGTAAAGGACACCCGTGGACGTAAAAGATAGTCCCGCACGGGAAATAATTTGAATGGCGGCACCTTCAATTCACACGCATGGGAAACTGTTGCGAAGGCGGGGTGTACCCAAGGAGCCGAGAGCAGGTTTCTCGCATTTCACGAACACATTGTGCAATCGACACGGAATAGAGGCGAGGAGACGAGAACGAAGGGAATCAGCGATGGCGCGACCGATCAAATTGCATGCTCTACGAGTACCCGAAGTTGGATTATGAGCTTATCGCCGCAATTTGATCCTCACGGAGATGGAGTTTCTGTTGTGGGGTTGGAATTGGACGAGCGACGCGATCATTCAGGAATGGGATAACAATGGGTTGCCGAAGCCGCCGGGCTATCGAGGCAATTTCGATACTTGGCAAATCTAGGATTGGAAGAAGGTCCTTGGTCGGTGCGTAGGTGAAGACGGTGATCTTACATTCGATAGCGAGGGTGTTCGTGTGACAAGAGAAGAGAAAAAAGCTTATGTCGAACTGTTCAAACATCCCCGCACTGGGAAGAATGGTTACCGCACAGTGTGGTATCGTGATCGAATGAGACGGAACATCGCGATGGTTTTGATGCAAAGTCTTCGTCCGTCTCGACCTACCTATATGATGACTTGGCAGGTGGGGTTCATCGAGAAACTATGGGAAGGATGTCTCCGTTCTTGATTAACTTCTACAAAGGTATGGGAATATTGACTCCCGCAGAGATTGAAGCCTTTCCATTACGAGCAGAAATAAGGGAAGGAGAAGAAGTGATGCTGGCTAACGAGGTCAATTAGGACCTTGAGGGCGAACCGTGGAACTCGCCCAGCAAAGGAAAAAGCGGTCTAGAAGCCGGCAAGACTCACAGCCAAGGAAGAAACGAAGAATCGATGAGATCACCGTAGGAGAGTACCGGTTACAACGTGCGGCCCTCGTTAAGATGCGATCATAAGACTTTCAGGGACACCAGACAGGTCGAAGATGAAGGCTAGGAGGTTGATTCTAGAAGAAGATAGAAGTACAGAGAGTAGAAGGGCAGCGTCGAGAGAACGTCATGTGCAGGAAGCAGGGTCAGCGGTGATGGCAGCCAAAGAGAAGGAGAGATCGGTGGGGAAGAAGCCCTGAATTATAGAAGAACAGCCGACGCCTCTTAAGCCACGACGAGCTTCAAGGAAAGATAAGG